GCGGCCACAAAAACCGAGCCGCGCGTCGCCCGCTCGGTCCGTCTCCGTCTCCGTCCCGCACTTGACTCGAATCACGGTGACTTAGCCGCCATTTAGCTCTGTCCCCTCGGCGGGGCGGCGCGGGGCCGCGACCCTTTGAGGCTGTGTCCTGTCTCACTCACACATCGCCGGGTTTGCTTTCGTCCCGCCGGACTGCCTTTGACCACCGCGGGCCGAGGGCGGGCGGGGCGAGGGGCCGCCCCGTCCGTTTTCGGAGAAAGTCCGTGGTGGCCGTGGTCGTGTGTGCACCGGCAAGTGCACCGTGTTTTATGTTTTATGCTTGTTGTGCTTTTGACGCGCCCGGCCCGCAATGTGTCGCCGCGTCTCCTCGACGGTGGCGGCGGCGGTGGTGCGGCAGCGTTTGTCGGGGAAAATAATTCACCGTCGTGCGTGTTCGTGGACGCGGTGACGCGGTGACGCGGTTCGCGCGCCGACCGCGAGCAGCCCAACTAGACCGCGGCGGCAAGGTGGACGTGGACGCGTTTAGGCGATCGTGACGGCGCGGCTAGCCGGGCTAGCTCAGGCCGACTCGGGGCTTGGTCGCTCCGTCTCTCTCGCACCGCGACGGGACGACCCACGACTGTGAGAGAGACAGACCAGCCTGCAGGACGCTCGCTGGAAGTCGCGGGTCCTTCCGCGGAATTGACGGCGGAATTGCGCGAAAAGGCGGCGCCCACTCACTCGGGCTCTGTCTCTGTCGCTCTCGCGGAGCGTCCCACAGGCCGCGGGGCTGCGACAGAGACAGAGCGAGCAGCGGCCCTGCGGAACCTCTGGCCGGCTTGTCGTCGGGAAGACGAAGGCGCTTTTCATGAGGCCCGCGATCGCCGTCGGGGAGTCGGCGACGAGGAACCCAGCCGGCGGGACGGGGCTGCACAGTGGGCCAGAAGACCGGTGGAGGCGGCCAAAACTCTAGACGCGTTTTGAGCTCCAGAGTCGCTAAATGGGACTCGAACCGAACGTGTGACCCCACCAATGGATTGCTCTTCAGACGAGGTATCCATTGGTGGGGTCACACATTCGGTTCGAGTCCTGTTTAGCGACTCTGGAGCTCAAAACGCGTCTAGAGTTTTGGCCGCCTCCACCGGTCTTCTGGCCCACTGTGGGCTGACGGAGCACCCCGGCATCACGGCATCCCGCAGGACGAGCACGAGGATCACCCGGAATACTAATTCCACTGTCGGGGCGCGGTCCTCGCAGAAACGCACGCGTATCGCACCACGTCATCTCGGCTGTGTCAGCAATGTGTCACTTTCCCAGGAAAAACAAAACAAAAAGTAAAGCTGCGTCGGCGGGCGTTTGACTTGGCCCTGTTAACTTGAAAAGTGAATTTTGAATGGCGGCCTGGCGGCCTGGCGGTCTGGCGGTCGGCGCGGCCGATGTGGGTCGACGCACGCCATGCGAGACACGTCGCTTCGCCGAGATTCAAAGGAGGAGCATTTGCCGCCTCCGTTTGCCGCGGAAACATTCCGGCCGCGGGTCACGGTCGGAGACACCGCAGGGCAAGCCACCGCAGGCCACGCAGGGCTTTCGTCGCTCTGTCTCTCTCGCACCCCTACGGAACGACGCTCGAGTGCGAGAGAGACAGAGCGACAGCTCGCAGTCAGCCTGCCGCGCTGCGGCCCGGCTAGGCGGACCACCCGGAGGTTTGGAAGCAGGAACACGCGAACGCCGGCTTACAGGCAAGTGGCATCTGCGTTCAATCTGCGTTAGCCGAACGACAGATTTCTTTTCCAACGAGGAAATGGTCTGCGGCCCGCTCCGGGTTCACCGGCCGCAAGAATGCCTGCCTGCTGCCTGAACGGGCGCAGCGCGCCGCGTGTCCGAGTGTCAAAGTGCGGGCCGAACAATGGGCCGTCATGGCGTTGGGCTCGGCCGCGCGTGCCTCGTGCTCCCAGAAGCCTGATCCCGCCTCTCTGTCTCGCCGTCTCGCTCGCGCCCTTTCGGAACGCCCCATGGGTGCGAGAGAGACACAGCGACGAAAGCAGTGCGAAGCGGGGGCGAGATAGGCCGCCCGCTCCACAGCCGCGTGCTGCGGGACGGCATCGCGGCTTCGCAGGCGCTCGCTGCACAGTGGGCCAGTAGACCGGTGAGGCGGCCAAAATTCGAGACGTTTTTTGAGCTCCAGAGTCGCTAAATGGGACTCGAACCGAACGTGTGACCCCACCAATGGATTCCTCGTTCGGAGAGCAATCCATTGGTGGAGTCACACGTTCGGTTCGAGTCCCATTTAGCGACTCTGGAGCTCAAAACGCGTCCGGAATTTTGGTCGCTCCGCCGGTCTTCTGGCCCACTGTGCGCTGTGGCGCTGCACTGTGAGGGTTGTGCTGGGCTGGCGGTCCTCGAGCAGCCTCCAGAGCGGATCGAACCTCGAACCTGTAGTTGTAGTCGGACCTGCTCGCTGCACGCCTGATCCCCAAAAGAGGAGGAAGGAGGAGGGGGGGCTGTTTCTGTTATTCTTGCCTGGGCGGGACCACAACGGCGATGCGTGTGTGTGGTCGGGGAGGACGGAGGACGGAGGACGGGGCCGCGCTCTGGCCGAGGCCCTCCACCAGGCCCTCTAGGTCAACACGGGGCGGTGCGTGCATTTCACGGTGGTGAGGCGAGGCGGGCGGTGCCGGGCGGTGCCGCGCTGGACCGACTGGCGCGGCCAGTGCCAGTGTGCCCGTGCCGTGCCATCCCGGCTGAGTGATTGCCCCTTCCTGTCCGTGGAAACGCCGCGAACGCTTATAGCGTCAAATCACTCGGCGGCCCTGGAGCCTGCAGCCTGCAACCAGGAGGACGCCGCCTGGCGCCCCGCCGAGTCTGCCGAGTCTGCCGAGCCCCCCGGGGCTGCAGCCACCTGCCGTGGGCCGTGGGCCACTTGCTGCTCGCTACTTGGGCCTTGTGGACACAGAGCCGGCACGGTTCAACGAGTAACAAATGCCGGATGCCGGTTTAACGGAATTCGGGATTCGGGATTGTGGACTTAAACGCGGCTTGTACCACGTTACCGGCTAGAGTGGAGGGAGTCGCCGTTCACGTTTCCAATGTTTCACGTCTCCTGGCTGCCGATGTCGGCCGATCGGCCGATGCTGTCAACAGGTGTCGCACTGCTGGTGGCTGGAGTCCAGCTTCTGGCCACCGCGACTTCGGGCCTGCCGTCCTCGGGCCCGCCGACCTCCACCGCGGCGCCGACGAACCTGGCGTCGCCTTTGCAGCGTCGTCGCAGCTTCGACGGCGTGCTCCGCGTCACCGTCCTGGACGTGGCCTCGTCGCCGCGGCCCGTCGCGCGCTCCACGCGGCTGTCCGTGGTGCGGCCGGGCCGGCATGGGGCGTGGCCACGGCGCCGCAGCCCCGCCCCCACGGCCGCCACCTTCACGACCACCTCGTCCTCGAGGCGGCGCGGGCTGCGGCGCTACCGGACGGCCGAGGACCAGCCCGCGACCTCCACCCTGGCCACCCCCACCACCGTCACCAGCCCGACCACCATCGGGGTGCCCACCACGGCCATCAGCCCCACCAGCTCCCGGCCCACCAGCCTCATCAGCCTCGGCACCACGCCGTCGACCAAGCGGCCGGGAACGCGCCTCAGCCTCCATGACGATCGCGGTGGGCGCGCGGTGTGGACCGCCCCCTCCGCCAACGCGGCCACGTCGGACGAGGCCACCAACGAGTACTACAGGTAGTCGTCCTCCACGGCCCCTGCCTCGGCGTCTGCCTCGGCCCGCGCGTGCCGCAGCCTAACGAGGGTGCCGTGTCCACAGGAAGTACTACGCGAGTGAGAGCGGCGCCACGGCCCCCGCCAGCAACACGTCGTGGTGGTCGGCGTCGCAGGCGGGGTCGCCCGCCCTCAACTACGGCGCGGCCACCTTCACCTACGGGGTGCCCGCCGTCAACTACGGGGCGCTCCGCCGCGCCGCCTACCACCGCAAGCACCAGCACGGCCAGCGGCCCTTCGTGGCGGCGCACTGGGAGGACCTCGACTACGGCGACTCGGCGGGCGGTGGTTCACAGGTTTGGAGCGTTTAGAGTGTGGATTTGAACGCAGGGCTTTTATAATGTCCCCTCCAAAAACGGCGCATGCCGACTGTTGATGCTCAGGTCGTGCCCTACGCCCACCCGCACCACCAGCACTCGCACCAGCCCGTGTACGTGGTGGACCAGAAGAAGGAGGACGCCTCCACGGACCTCACCACCAAGCTCATCATCCTGGCCGTCATCAAGCTGCTCATCGTCAAGGCGCTGGGGCTGGGCGCCTTCAAGCTCATCATCGTGGGCCTGATCAAGATCCCCATCGTCCTCGGGGCGTTCGCACTCAAGTTCGCCGCGGTCGTCAAGTTCTTCAAGTTCATCAAGGTGAAAGGCGTAAACTAGACATGATATTCTGTTAGGTTTAATCCGACTTTGGTTTAACGACAAGGTGCTTGGCTTTGGGGAGACGCATGAGGAGCGCGTGCTGGTACTTGTTAATGCTCTGCATGGCCCTAACTAACCTCTTCTGTTCTTGCTGGGTTCTCTGCATTTCCGCTTAAGACCATCGAAACTGTAAGTTGACTTTCGTTTGCGCCTGGCAGTCTGAAGCCGCCCCCTGGCGGCCTCGCTCCTGATGCCCGCGATGCGATGCATGTCCGGCAGGTGTTCCTGGCCGTGCTGGTGATCCCCATCCTGGTGATCGCGGTGGTGCCGCTGCTGCTGCCGATCCTGATCCCGCTCGGGCTGCTGCTCATCCCCCTGCTGCTGCTGCCGCTGCTGCTGCTGTTCCCCGTGCCCGTGCTCACGCCGGGCGGCAACAACGCGGGCGGCGGCACGGTCATCACCATCACGCCGGGCCGGCGTCGCCGCGAGGAGGTGAGCGGAAGCAGGGAGTAGCGACGCCGCGAGCGAGACGCAGCGCAACGCAGCGCGGGGTAGTGACCATTTGACCGACGCGGTGTATCGGCGACGCTTTCTTTTCTGCTCCGCCCCGCAGGAGGAGGCCCAGCTGGCGCAGCTCGAGTCGCGCGTCGCGGACTCCAGGCGCTGCCTGCAGAAGATGGCCTGCGACGTGGGCTACCGCAGCCAGGCCGTCAAGGGCTACGCGGACTTCATCATGTGGTACGTGCATCCCGCTCTGCCCCTCTCGCCCTCTCGCCCACGTGCGAGGGAGTCAGAGCGAGGCAGTGTACCGGAACCGACTGTGCGCAGGCTGCTGGGGCTGCTCAAGCCCATCATGGGGGAGACGCGGCGCAACCAGCTCAAGGGCTACATGGCGGCCTACAAGTCGGGGCTGAGCGGCCGCTCCTGCTACCGGAAGTACCCCTGCTACGCCAACAACATGAGCACCAAGCGGGGCGCGGCGGCCAAGGGGTCGAGCCGGAGGGCGGACGGCGGCCCCGACAACAGCACCGTCTCCACCGAGGCCGTCGACCGCAGCGCCAGCAGCGCCAGCGTGGAGGAGCTCATCGTGTACGACCTCGTCAACGCCACCGCCACTGCCAACGCCACTGCCAACGCCACCGACCTCGCCGGCGAGTGACCCAGCGCGACGAGCGGCATCGCGCACCATGTCGCGCACCGCCCACAGTACAGTGTGGGGCCTTCGCCTTCCCAAGGACGTTTGCGCAGCGACCTTGCGACGAGCCATGCGATTAGCCTTGCGGTTTTGGATGTTTTCGCGGACGTCGGCGAGGTGGCGAGGTCGCCAACCTTATCCTCGCCATCGAGCCGACGAACCGCGCGGGGTGCCCGACCGGCGTCATCGCGTTCAAGTCGCTCACCTTAGTCACCTTCCCCGGGTAGATGCGCGCGAACCATTTCTTTCCAAAGCGCGCCCCGTCAACCTACAGCCCGACTGGCGCCCGAGAACGAAAACGAAACGCCAAAACTACGTTCGTCGATTCGGTGTATTTTGGCCTCAAGCTTGCGCGCCTCTACCCCCGCGGATTTGGTACTCGGTCATTGTCCGTGCCATCGCGCCAAGCCACGCCACGCCGGTCCGGCACCCGAGCCCTGCGCTGCGCGCGGCGCCCCGTGCCCCGCGCGCCTTAGCCCTAAGTATTTAGTATTTATCTCACTTCGATTTAATGTTCGACTGAGTGTATGGAATAAAGACGGGAATAAAGCAGCCTGTCGTTCTGCCTTGGACACCACCACGCCCCGCCACGCGCCACGCGCCACGTCGATACACTGTTCCGCCTGATGGGCTAGAAAGCGAGTCCTGCGCGCTGTGCGCTGCGCGCTGCGCGGTGGAGCAGATCGTCGCGTCGCCCTGGGCCCTTTGCCGAGCCCTGGCTGGGCTGCTTGCCGGACACCTGTCGCTGTCTGGCGGACTGTCCACGCCCACGCCGCCAGTAGTCACCATGACAGCGCCCTGGCTGCGTCGGCCTGCCGCTCGGACACGGCGACGCGCTCTCAGCAGGTGAGTAGTAGCCGGTGAGGGTGAAGAATGGTGAAAGAGCAGAAGGCGGCGCCGCACAGTGGGCCAGAAGCCGGTGGCGGCGGCCAAAGCTCTAGACGCGTTTTGAGCTCCAGAGTCGCTAAATGGGACTCGAACCGAACGTGTGACCCCACCAATGGATTCCTCGTTCGGAGAGCAATCCATTGGTGGGGTCACACGTTCGGTTCGAGTCCCATTTAGCGACTCTGGAGCTCAAAACGCGTCTAGAGTTTTGGCCGCCGCCACCGGCTTCTGGCCCACTGTGCGCCGCGGTGAACCGACGTGCGCGTCGTGGCGACGCCGTTCGCCTCCGCGGGGATGACAAAGAGGGGCGATGAAGACGCGGATCTCGCACCGCGGTAGCCGCGGTATCGCCGTCATCACGTGCTGCGTGATTTCCGGCGCCTCTTTGACGGACCGCCGCCGGGGAGGCCCGGAAGGCCCGGAAGGCCTGCGACCCGCCGGTCGAACGGGACGCAGCAGGGCCTGCTTCGCTTGCTTCGCCTGCTTGTTCCCCGCCGTCACTTCCTTGGTCGTGGCCGCGCGGCCGCGGGTCAAGACAAGACGCTGTCGCCGAGGCACGCCTCCCATGCCGTCTGCAGTGTCGTTGTCGTGGACGTCGAGCCCATCGTCGCTGCAGCAGTGCGGACTGCATCCCCCCCCCCCTACCCGCCCGGAACGGCTCCCGAAATAAGCGATGATTTTACTTTCATAGCGCGGGCGGCTAGGCGGCTGGGCGGCGGCCGACCTTCGCCTTCGCCTTCGCCTCGGTCTTCGGGACGAGGCGAACAGCGAGCCGCGCGCCATAAACGGTGCATCCCAAATGGTATGCAAAGTGCGCCTTCGTCTGGCCTCCGTCGGGGGGTGCGTGGAGGACGACGTCTGGCGTCTGTCTCTGTCTCTGTCGCCAGATCGGCCGGCCGGCCAGCGCGCGAGTGCGACGGAGAGAGGAGACGACGGCCAGGTGGCGCCTTCGTTTCGGCCGCACCCCCCGGACGCTATTTCCGAAAAGCAAGGTAACCTTTGTCGTCGTTCCTTGTTGCTCTCCCCCGCTCGAGGTTCCGGCCCGGCGTGCCGGCGCGCTGCTTTGTCTGGGCACGGGTCGCGTCGTCGCCGAGCTACGCCAAAGCTCGCCACACCCCGCCAAAGCCCGCCAAAGCCCGCCAAAGCCCGCCAAAGCCCGCCAAAGCCCGCCAAAGCCCGCCAAAGCCCGCCAAACCCCGCCAAAGCCCGCCAAGCCCCGCCAAACCCCGCCAAGCCCGCCAAAGCCCGCCAAAGCCCGCCAAAGCCCGCCGAAGCCCGCCAAAACCCGCCAAAGCCCGCCAAACCCCGGCAAGCCCAGCTGATGGCGGCAGCCGCGAGGTGGGCTTCGCGCTCTGCGCTTTTCCGGTTTCCATTGCCATAACAGAGTGGACAGAGTCGTCACCGCGACCGCCGAGGCGTGGCGCCACCAACCCTGCAGCCCGCAGCCAGGCCCGCCAGGCCCGCCAGGCCGAGGTATTGGCGGTTATTGGCGAAAGCGAGGCAGGAGATGGGCTGGGCAGCGCAGCGGCAGCAGTGGCGAGGTACTGTCGAGTTACGAGCGTTGCGCATAGTGTTACAAAATAAGAAAATCGAATTTCAGTATAAAGTTATCCGACGAATTGAGTACTTCACGCTCGACCGTACACCTTAAGTCGGAAGTTTTGACCTCGACGAGTGTAGGGCTCAAAGACCACCGGAAGGAAGGCAGGCCCTCTCCGTCCCGACCCCTGTCGTCCCTGTCGTCCCTGTCGTCGTGATGGCCTCGGTCATGGCCCAGGGGGGACAGGGGGCCGGCACCGGGCCGACGCTGGCTGACGCTTGCTGCCTGACCTAGACCTTTGGTCCTCGCCAATGGCACTCGCGGAACTGCCGGCTGCCACTTGACTTGCGCACTGCCCCACCCCACCCCATCCCACTCCACCCCGTCCCACCCCGCCCCCGCCGCGCCACTCCCCGCCAAGCAGAGCGGATCCGACGCGCTCCGACGCGCCGGCAAGCGACAAGTTCACGACATTGAATTATCTTGTAAATCGCGGCGCACGGAGCACGCCTCGCGCCTCGCCGGGCTCCATGGGATCCATCCCCGGATCTGCCGCTCCGCACCGCACCGGGAGTGTGGGTGGCGAGGCGAGGCGAGGCGCGGAGGACGATCAAGTCGTTCCACTCCCGCTGGGAGGCTCGCGGAAAAAATGTTTCTGGGGCACTGCAGGCCCGTGGATTGCGGGGCCCGGGGCCTGGGGCTTGACACAGATCGACATCTGGGCAAGATGGTCGGAATCTCCCGATCGTCCAGGAAAGGGTGCCGCGCGGTATCGGTGCTCGGTGCCCGGCATTGGGGACGAGTCGGCACGAGTAGAGAGCCGTCGTCCACTTGTAGAGGCGTGCTGCCGCGAGGCAGTGCCGGCAGTGTCAGGGCGTCAATCGGCCGGCATGAGTGGCGTGGCGGTAGGCTGATTGGTAGGCAACCTGCAGCAGTTACAACGCCCCCTCGTCTGACTTCCCTGCGGCCTGAACCCCTGCACCCCAAGTTGCAGGCTGACATGCTGACGCCGCCACTGCTGCTGCTGCTGCTGCCCTGCCTGCTGGTCGGGGTCGTCGGGGTGCGGGGCGCGGCGCGAGGCGGCCCCCGCAAGGAGACGCACATCGCCTTCCTGCGCCTGCCGCCCAACACCCCCAAGCCGCTGCCCCTCACCAGCACGCTGGCGCCCGTGTTCCTGTACAAGCCTCTGCCAGGCCAGCAGGCCACGGCCACCACGGCCTCCACCACACCGTGCTCGACGTCCAAGCCCAGGCGGCCAGCGCCGAGGCCGTCTTTGGGAAGACCAAGCACCCGGCCGACGGCCAGGCCTCTGCCGCCACCGCGGAGGCCGCGGCCGAGCGGGCAGCCCGCGGTGCAGCACCATGTGCACCAGCACTACGGCGTGGGCTACCCGGGCCACCCCCACCCCCTGCACGTGCGCCTGCACGTCATCGCCCCCGTCGACACGCGGACCAGGACCAGGCCACGGCCTGCGCCGCCACCACCGCTGCTTTTGGCTCCGGTTAGCCAACATTCCGCATAAGTTTACAATCCACAGGCCATCAAAAGCTTTAGCTTCGCCTGTCAAGTCTGCCTTCGACTAACGCCCTCCTCCCTCTGCTCTTTCCAGGTCGTCGTGCGTCGGCCGTCGCCCACCCCCGCCGTGCTGCACCAGGTGCTCCACCACCACGTGCACCAGCACCAGGTCGTGGCCCCGAGGCCGCGCGCCACGCAGGCCACCAGGATCGTCATCACGCACGTGCGCGACGACCCCTGGCGCCGGCGGGGGCACGACGATGCAGCCTCTCCGGCGGCCGGGTAGGGTGGGCTGCCTGCCGCCCGGGCGGCCCGGCCGCCTTCAGCGCGGTCTCCAGCGCGGTCTCCAGCGCGCCGCCAAACCGCTCCAGTTCTCTCCACGTGCCATCAACCGAAGGAAATCGCCATCTCCGGCTCGGCTCCGAAAATCGAGTTTGAAGCCGGGCCTCCGATTCAGCGGGAAAAATAAACAGGAAAGGAGGAGGAGGGGGTAGTTTAGCTCGCGGAGAGGGAGAGAAAGGGTTGCGTGGCGGCCTTGAGTCTTCAGGGTCGTGTTGTACTCGCGGGATGCGATGTGGTCATGCGTTGTGGGTGACAGATGAAGACCGAGTGTGTGTGTAAGTGTGTGTGAGCATGCGAGAATGTGTGAGTGAGGGTGAGAGGGAAGGGGAGGAGACCTGCTGTCGGCTGTCGTGCCATGCGACGGGGAAAGGGTGGGGAGGGGCAGAGAGGGAAAAGGGAAGTGCGAGAAAGCGGTCGACTGATGCTGTCCAAGAAGTCCCCCGTGACAGACGGCTCGGACGGCATGGGTGGGATGGGCATGAGCACGGAGGGGGGAGGGGGAGGAGAAGACGTGCGGGGTGAGCATGGAGAAGGGAAGGGTCGGGGAAGAGAAGGGGAAAGTGAGGGGGGCCTGGTGGGGGCCGAGCAGAGTACGTAGCAGAGCGCGCCCCGTGGGCCCCACCGCCCCCACCCCGCACCCCGCGGCCGCGCCCCACCCCCCGTGGCCGCGCCGCGGGCCCGCGCCCGCGCTGCGCGTGTCTGTACAGTTGTGCAAGGCGGCGACGCGGCGGGGCGGCGCGGCCACGTAGTGGAGTGGACCCCGACCAGCCGACCACCCAAAACAACGAGGGGACTAGGTTATGTTTCAACTTTCTCTCCGACGGAGCAGAAGGGAAGCCGCAGCAGACGCTTGCCAGCCTCCGCGCGCGGCACATCAAGCTCGACAACAAGGCCGACAGTCTCCCCAGCCGAAGCATGGCGCAGTGGCCGAAGGACGTGGGCATTCTTGCCATTGAAGCAATATTCCCGGCGCAGTACGTCGATCAAGAGGACTTGGAGAAATTTGACAATGTTTCGGCGGGCAAGTACACCAAGGGCTTGGGCCAAGCCAAGATGGGCTTCTGCACGGACAGGGAAGACATCAACTCCCTCTGCCTGACTGTCACAAGCAATTTGCTGCGTCGCTACAACATTGACAAGTCTACCATTGGGCGTTTGGAGGTGGGAACGGAAACAATTTTGGACAAGTCGAAGAGTGTCAAGACAGTTTTGATGCAGCTCTTTGAAGAAGAAGGACACACCGACTTGGAGGGCATTGACTCGAAGAATGCTTGCTACGGTGGGACAGCTGCCCTGTTCAACTCATTGAACTGGGTTGAGTCGAGTGCTTGGGATGGTCGAAATGCCTTGGTTGTTTGCGGAGACATTGCTGTATATCCAAGGGGAAGTGCGCGTCCCACTGGTGGTGCTGGAGCAATTGCCATGTTGGTTGGTCCTAACGCTCCTCTAGTTGTCGACAGAGGAGTTCGTTCCAGTCACATGCAACATGTGTACGACTTTTACAAGCCAAATCCTTTGTCTGAGTACCCGACAGTTGATGGCCACCTTTCTGTTAAATGCTACTTGTCAGCTCTAGATAAATGCTTCCAAAGATATTGTACGAAAGCTGAAAAGAATCTCGGGATTAAACAAATGAGCCTTGACCACTTAGATGCCATTTTGTTCCATTCTCCATACTGCAAACTTGTAAGGAAGTCTCTTGCACGGTTGGTTTTAAATGATTTTGTACGACTGCCTCTGGACACTAAACTCAGCAAATATCCACCACTTGCTAAATTTGCCGGAGTAAAATTAGAAGAGACCTACACTGACCGTGATGTAGAAAAGGCATCCATTGACAGTAGTGAAGAAATTTTTGCAAAGAAAACTGCTAAATCCCTGAGAATATCAAATCAAAATGGCAACATGTACACACCATCCTTATATGGTGGTCTCATATCGCATCTAACTAGTCATTCAGCATCAGAACTGGCTGGAACACGATTAGCATTATTTTCCTATGGCTCCGGACTGTCCTCGTCTATGTTCTCCATCAAAGTGGCCGCAGATGGCAAGCCAGGCTCACCGCTCCACAAGCTTGTCAGTCAGTTGGCATTCATCAATCCAATGCTGGAAAGGAGAACCCGAGTGCCACCAGAAGATTACACTAAGGTTTGTATTAGTTTATTTTTGTGATTTGTAACTTTTTATGTGCTTAATTTAAGGGGGAAAAGTGAATATAGCACATCACTTTTTAAAGCTCTTTTCAAATAATTGAATTGTTAAGCCTGCATTAGCAAGTCTTCGCTTGTTAGCAGATCACTTTTTTTAGATTTTTTTTGAGGCATAGGTGTCAGGCCTTTATTGGAGTATTATTCATGGGCTCAGCACCTCACTGGGAAAAAAAGGAAGCTAGAAGAAACTGACTTCAACCTTGTCGCCCTGTAAAGCTCACAGGTGACCTCATCATTCTTGATCCTCATGAATGCTTTCTCCATACATTGGGTGCGGATTGTTCAACCATTCATTTTCTTTGTTGAGGGAGAGGGGAATCAGAAGCAGCTCCGTGCTACATGAATGAGAAAATTTAGACAGGCTGCCACATGTGGCCAGGACGGGCCGTAGAAGTCGTGACAGCGTCCTAGAATGCCTTGTGGCGGGGCTCTCTAGTCGCGTCGCGTGGCGTGGCCCGGGTCAGCGGCCTCTCGCTGTCCGGCCGGGGCCCAGGGGCTCATGCCATGGGCCTCTTGAACGCCGCTCGCCTCGCGACATCACTAGGTCAAGGACGGCCTTGCTCTGGGTGCGGCGGGCGGGGCGGAGCGGAGCGGAGCGGAGCGGGGCATGACCCCAACGCAGTGCCGGCGTGCTAGCCAGCCAGCCGGCGGGGCGGGGCGGGGCGGGCAGCTCATTGACGGCTGCTGGAGGCAAGCCCGCCAAGCAACCGGTCGCCGGCGCTGTGGCACGCCTCGCCACGCCTCGCCGCCACGCCACGCCACGCCACGGCGTCGTAACGGTAACGATTCGAGCGCCATCCCGTCTGGAAAGGCTTTGTTGGAAGAGAACAGCCACGACCGAAGGGAGTGCACCAAAAATGGTGCCACAACAGTGTGGCCAAAACAGAATGTTCGAAAGGAATTGGCCACTAAGGAGTGTCTAGAAGGGGGAGTGCCCAAAAGGGTGACAAGTGCGTCCTGACTCGGCGGGCGTGGCCAGGCCGGGCGTGGCCAGGCGCGGCGCGCTCTGTCCCGTGGCCGCCGTGGTCCCCTTTGGCCCCATCAGGGCAGCGAGGTGAAAGTGCAGCGAGTGGGGGTCGGGTCGGGTCGGGTCGGATCGAACAGAGGCATTCCATTCGAGGCTGCTCCCCTCGGCTGCGGCTCTTATTATTTCAGTTTTCCCTCCCCGCTGCCCGCGGACCGTCCCCGGACCGTCCCCGGACCGTCCCCGGACCGTCCCCGGGCTGCCCCGCTTTCCTCTTTCGGGGAAGTCCTCGCACGTCTCTGAAGGTTGGCGCTTCTTTGTTGCAGGTGCTGTCCGACCGGGAGAGCGACCACAAGCTGGCGCCGTACACGCCGTCCGCGCCCATCGACGCCCTGCTCCCCGGCACCTACTACCTCACGCACGTGGACGAGATGCACCGGCGCACCTACGCCGTCGTGCCCTCGTAGAGCTCGTACCGCGCCTCGCCGCGCCTAGCGCACTCAGCGCACCCCTCCACTAAACCAATTATTTATTTTGAAATCGTTTTTGTTGTCTTTGACGAGCTGCCGCGCGCGAGTCCCGCCGGAAGTGAACGTGTTACATGAATCTTTTATTTTCATCGTTTTCTATCTTTATTGTTATCATTTTTGTTATGTTCCTCCAACACTTGCGAGATCGAACAAAGCTGTTGTTGCGCGGTCTGCTTGGCCTGCTTGGCCGGCCATGTCAGTGTCAGTCCCCCCGCGGGACGGGAGACGGGAACCAAGGCTCAAGCCCGTATGGGCGTCCGTAGTGTAGTTGTTGTTGTGCTCGTCGGTGTGGGTGGGTGCGGGAGATCATACCGAGTGTATGTTATGTCATGTTTTCCATGCATTAAAGTTTACGTTATGTTTCAACCTTGTTATCTTAGTGCTTTTGTGTATTACCCTCTCCTGCCCAGCCAAAGGGTATTATCTTTCGGAGTGACCCTTGTCCGTCTCCGAGGCTGCATTATCGACGCTGGCTACCTTGCAAAGCTCCCGGCCGGACCGGCCAGCAACCGCCTGCTGACGCTGCTGAGCGATTCCGAAGGACTGTTTCGTCACTCCGTCTCTTTCTCGCGAAGTCCTGCCAGGCCGGCCAGGCCCCATGAGTGTGAGAGCAGGACGGAACGACGAAAGCACACTGTTGTGGCGTGGCTGGGCTGGCGGGGCAGGCGGGGGGCGGCCCGGCTGGAAAGTCCGCGGCGAAGGCGGGAAAAGGCCAGCCAGCCTTGCGGCGCGCGGCGGCGTGACGACCGTGACGTGAGGGCGTCGCGACGCCCCGTCTTCATTCTCGTCCGAGGAAAAGAGAGGAGAGAAAGAGAGAAAGCACCTGACCGGCCGGCCGGCCCCACTCGGCCCCACCGAGGGAAGGAATGCCGCCTGCCTGCCTCACTATCAGCCAGTATGCCGGCCTGGCCCGCCCGGCCGGTCCCGGCGATGACGAAGCCAAGCCGGCGAGGCTCGCCAACAGGAAGGGCCGCGTTATGCCATGGCGGTATCAGCGGTCACACTGTCAAGGGCCCAAGTTCAAGTTCCTCGTCCACAAATTTCCCATTCAACCAAAACAACAACAATAACAAAACGCATAAAAGAACAAAGTTTCCACACTCAGGAATTCCCTCTCGGCCTGAGCGAAAGCACGTGTCGGGGAGATTGCACAAATTGTGCCGATACTATCGCACTACCCATTTGCATCACACTTGTGCAAAGGCCCACAACGCCTGTTGCTCGTGGTGGGCCTGGCTCAGTAGCGTCGGCTCGCCGGCGAGGCCAACTTGACCGCGGGTTCAAATGGCGCGGCGTTCCCGCCGCCGTTCTCGCGCTTCGCCTCCGCCAATGAGAAGGCGGCTTTGAGGACTCGCTCGTCAGGGGGGCCATCCTGGATAAATAAAATATCAGACGCGTCGTCTTCCCGTGTTGTCCAGCAACACCGAAACGATCCCAAACTAGCGTAGGTGGAGGACGAGGATGATTTGGATGAGATTTGAAAACAGCTCGGAGGTACCCGTAGTACTTGCCACACATGCATCTGAGTCGCAGTGATGGAACGCCCCAGGCTGCGCGCGCTACACCGCTGCCACCACCACAACTACCCAGCATGCACCGCTGGCCAGAACAATGGCTGCAAGTTTTGGCTGTGTTGGGGCGATGTTATTACGCGTTTCAAAGTGAAATATCTCGCAAGACAGCAGTTGTCATTGATAGTTTGTAACTTGTTATCTTTGTGGGCTGTTGCCAGCGTGTTTTAATCATTTGTGTGTGACATTATCGAGCCTTGTTCGTCCACCGAGAGGCTTAGCATTTTCTGTCTTGTTCACGTGCAGTATCTGTAGCGTAGCTCTCAAAAATCTCCATGAAAACAAAAACAAACTCCGTGTTGGACAGCTTCTAATGAACTCCTAGAAAGAGGTACGTTTCAACTGCCTCTCAGACTAGACTAGGTCTCATGTTTTGAGGTGTTTCGCTGCTAGTTTCTGTGAAATAGATTAATCAATTAGTTTGTTTTGGTTCAGGCCTCCGAGAGGGATCAGCGGGGATCGTGTACATGTAGTTTTTGGCTGGCAAAATGCGTCGCACAGCCTCTGTGAAGAGATCGGAGGTATGTGTCATCGTACGCCTTTGTGTCTGGTCTAGTGCCCCTGCCATTTGATTAGCAAAAGTTTCCCTCCGTCTGTGAGTGTCCTTTGTTGTGTTGTCTGCTACTCGGAGTCCTGCGGCTCGGCTCGGCAGGGCTTTGTCGTCCGCTGCGCCCCGCAGTGCTTTGTTTACCTAGTCATGTCATAGTCATAGGTTGCCTGATATGAGGTAACGCGATCATTCCGTTGCCGAAACCACGTCTCATCGTTTGCGTAGCTCATCATTTCAGCATGCCACTTTGTCATGCAATTACTCGGAACTCATGGATTCTCTAAAGTGTTGGTTTCATGGGTGGTGATGGAGATTATCCCCCCTCTATGTCCTTAAGCCAACTTGAGTGCATTTATGAGACAATCTTCTTGCTCAATAACCTTTGTATCTTCACTTTTCCCGATATGGAATGTGTGTTTATTTGATATTATTGGACCATTCTCATTTCGGTGAAAATTAAATTGATTTATGTTGCTTTGTGGCTTTTCAACAACTGAGCATTATGAATAATAGACGTGCAATCTCAGTGTTGATTTTGCTATCTCCGCAACTTTTCAATATGCTCTTTAAAATTTTCTTAATTCAAGTCTGGTTTTTGTATTACAACATTTTCCTTCTTTTAATTCTATGGTTAATTTTAGGTGTCTGCTGGTCAGATTGACATGCCTTGCCCGTCATTCTCAAAGACAACTGTGTGAAATATGAATTCAAAATGGGCACTCGTAACTCCGGAAAAAAAGCAGGTAGGACATTAAGAGGAGTTGCAATTATTTTAAAAGTTTATTTTTAGCTTCTCTTCCTTCTTCTTAAACCTTGTATCATTGCTATCACAGATGACATGCCAGTGTCTGGTGGACCTCCGACACGGCTCCTGCGGCCGCGTGGAGTATGCTTTCGATGTCATTTCCCTTCTCCTGCATCATGTGTTTGTCCAAATACAACCACAGTGGAGGTTAAAGTACGGTTCCCATCCACATTGGTAAGCCCTGAAGCTGCCCCTGCCAGCGTGTCACCAACAGCAGCTAGAAAAAGAAAGCCTACTGATAATAATTTAGGAGTTGTGCAAGCCAGAAGTAAATCTCCCCCTAGCCGAAGACAGTTGTTCCAAGACGACTACTCCAACTCAATCGAACCAGATTTGGATGCTGCTGCATCTATCTTGAGCGACGATCAAGCTTTATCCGAAGCAGATGAAACATACAGTTTAACTTCAAGCTCTGATTGTGAAAGCATATCTAGTCAAGCTGTTGATGATGACACAGCTATTCCATCTACATCGGAGCCCCTGCCTTCGACTTCTTCTGCTGAGACGACTTCATCAAGGCCTAAACGGAAGAGGAGAAAATTAAAAACAGTGGGCCGTCATGTTTGTCCTATTTGTTCTAAAACATTTGGTAGCCCAGGGAAATTGAGTCAGCATATGTTCTCTCACACTGGTGAGAAACCTTTTGAGTGTGACAAATGCATGAAAGCATTTTCTTCAAAATTCAAATTGGTTCGCCATCTACTCATACACTCTGATGAAAGGCAGTATTGTTGTCCTATGTGTGACCGAACTTTCCATCGTAAGGACCATTTAAAAAATCATTTGAAAGTACATAGCCCTGTGAAGAAAACCTATCGTTGTGATAAAGTGGGTTGTCTCAAAGTTTACAGCTCGTTCTTAAGCTACCGCAAACATGCTGCAGTTCATGCTGCTGAAGAAGGAGACCTAGAATGTAAAATGTGTGGCAAAACATTTCCAACTAAAGATGAAATTGTGTATCATTTGAAAGTGCATGCTGGTTCTCGCACTGTTAAAAATCCATCAGATAAAAAATATGGGTGTGACTATTGTGATAGGAGATTCTTCACACGAAAGGATGTGAGAAGACACCTTGTTGTTCATACAGGTAAAAGAGACTTCCTGTGTCAGTTCTGTCCCCATCGATTTGGAAGGAAAGATCATTTGGTGCGCCATATAAAGAAGAGTCACTGTAATGTCAGTCTTGGTGTCAGAATAGCAGCATCCAAAGGAAAACGCCCTCGACCAGTGACAAGTTCAGGGTCAAGTCAGGCTAATGTGTCAACTCCAGGATTATCAACAGTGAGGCAAAAAACAGTTTTGCGGACACATGGGAGGCCAAAGGCAGCTTCTGCACCTGAATCCCTTAATGCTACCAATACTCTTGTTTATGAAGAACACACAAATGAATTTGAATCAGGTGTTTTGTCCAGCTTGGCCTCTGATATCAAGTCCACAAAACAGGAATTGTGCGACAGTCCTCTGAAAGTGGAAGACATAATGATGTCACAAGATGACGACTCATTTCAAGTGAAGGTAGAAGAATGTTCCATATTACCAGACTTGCAACCACTAGTTTTTACGCACCCTCCATCTGCTTCTTATGTAGAACTTGCGGTTGATGATCTTAATGTGCCGACAGACCAAGTTGATGGTGATATCAAATCAGAGCAGCCACTTTCATCGCTTTCTGTTGGAATGGACATGAACCAGTTTATCTCAGGTTATTTGGCCTCCAGTAGCTCCACCTCAGAGCCCGATTCAATACAACCCGATCAACCTGTATCCGAACAGTCTGTGTCTACTCAACCTACCACATCAACTGGGATGTCAGATGTTGAAGCCACTGAATTTTTGGCTCAGTTCTCCAATGATGATGAAATAATGCAGTTCATGGAACTGTCCATCCCAATTACAACAGCAGCAACTTCAGCTTCAACATCTGATTTGAACTCAACTACTGCGCCACTAGGTCCTTTGCCAAGGTTTCAGCAAGCATTCCAGCAGCAACCACCTTGATGTTACTTTTCATCATCACTGTGCTGCCTTGGATACAGTGGTGATGTCTAAAACTGGCCAAATGCCACAATATATACTGTGTGTACAAAATAGTTACTGTAAAAATGCATTTTGAAACCTTGCTTACCTTCTGTGTTTCTTTTTATTTATTGAAAGAGCATTAATGAGGAAGTTTCAGTCAGTATCCATTTGGCATAAAGTTTAATGGTTCATTTGTGTGTGACCATGTTTAGACATCACTATTTCATCCATGGCAGATACAGTAGTTAGTAAAAAATTAGTGTGAAAAACTTAGTCCAGCATTCACTGTGTTGTACAATGTGCAAGTTGACACACTATGTGTACATTTACCCCATTTTCCCCAAATTAATAGAAACTGTCATTACATTACCTTCTATGTATATTTCCATATGTATTTCTATAGAAACGTGTGCAGCATGCTATTTATAACTCATTTTGTGTCTTAATGTTGAAGGCTATCTTTGAAGTACCGTACTAACTCAGCTTCTCACATGACTCCTTTTCATTATTTCTGTAGCATTAGGCTCACTTAGCATCTATTGTCAGGAGAGTGAGGATGTATTCAGCACATAAGTGTTTGGTAATCATGACTGAATCATACAATGAATTGTTTGAGCATTGTTGAAATATTGCTGTGAGTGTTTTCAAAATTTGAATTGACTGGTAATGATTTGAGGAACTGAGGGTTGTAAGATCACTTTGGCTAGTATTGTAAGTGGTCCTTTTTATCATCTTTGTACAGACTGATTGGAAGAAAAGCAATAGTATGGGCAATATTCATGGATCATATTGCTATTGGATGCAGTGGGTTGAAACTCCATTATTAATGTTGTACTTGATTGTCAATACTTTAAATTTTGTTGAAATTTTGATATATTCCCAATATTTTGTCTGGTAGTAGCATTTTCCCATTTAAATGATTCTTTCTGTGAATGTTATTTATTTCCACACCTTCAATTCTTCCCTTACTCAAAGTTGAAGACAAAAAAAAAACACTATTTATTTGGATGCTGATGAAAATTAAACAGGGTGAGGAGATGAAAGTGTTAATGCTTGTTAATTTCTCTATTTGTTCATTGTTTGAATTTGAAAAATGAGAGCGTTGATCGAATGTTAAGTTTTCAGAGAAGTGCAATTTACCTATATTTTTGCAAACATGTGCTGAGATTGACGAGTGACCTTTTCTTATTATTCTTGTCATGAATGTTCTGTGTTAGTTGTTTTTCCTTTGTTAAATTTAGAAGTCCGGTTTTGAGATTCATGTTGCACATAATTTTAGACATGTAAATATTTGTAGTTTTGTCATAGCAATAAGTTGTATTTATTCTTCATTTTGAGGAATATTTTTACATTTTTATACAGATGTGTGCAAGTTTGTGTATTGTTCTGAATTGAAAAGTCTATATTTTGATAGCGCTGTATTGAATAGTATAGTTGTACATTTTTTTATGCACGTATACTGTCGCTTTAGGTTTCCCCTAGAGGTAACTGCCTCATGTACAAATGAAATGCAGGAGAAGAAATATCAGTTAGGTTGTACCATGCTAGATTTGTAAGTTAGCATTTTCAAAATGTGAAGAAAGTGTAGCACTCCTTTAAACCAATATGGTTCTCAGTGGTTTAGTTTCAAAGCAGTGCATTGGACCTTTCATCTTTAGTGCTAGTCTTCACACTTACTCAAGCAGCTTGGAATGTAATTCTCATAAAAAAACCTTAATCAGGAACTTAACAATTTTCTCATTAATCAGCAAGTCTCACTATTCTCTTACTTTGCTCCGCTGTGATGATGCAGTGCCATGTAGTTGCAGTATGGTTTTATCCACATTTTCTCTAAGACACATGCTTTTGTTAAACTTTTTGTGATAATCTTGGTTGATGATAGTTTTATTCTTGACAGGACAAAATCAGTTGTGTTTTTATAGATACTGTTTCCATTGTTAATAACTTTCTTCAAAATATGTCTTGTCTGTATGTTGGCGCCGAAAATTTTGTTTCATCTCGGTTTTCTCAGCTTTTTTCAGCTTCCCTTACACAGTACCAGTAATGGATGATGCCATTGTGTGATTGCACTCTGTATATATTTGGGTTTAAAATTTACCTGATTGAGATGTGGAGCTTGACATTGTGATAATATGGCAACTTATTTTGTTTGTTTGTTTTTTGTTTGTTTGTTTGTTTGTTTGTTTAGTTATTTTTTTTTCCTTTTTTAAAATTTTGGGCTTGTTTTAGTTTTGTCATAGACATATAAGTTTTTAAGGCATTTTTTTCATTCTGAAAGTTTTGTACGGGTATATTTAATTTGCACCTCCCCAGGGCTTCAATTTTATTCTTTGTGATTGTTTTCATGCAGACCCTTGGGTCCTCATAAAAAGTGAAGTGGCTGTATTAGCAGTTGTACTTATTGCATTTAGCTTAAGTCAGTAACTTTCATAAATATTGGTTCATAATCTCTTGGTTTCTGCTTTCACTTCTAATCTCTTGTGAACGCAATGTTAGGACAGCAATTAAAAATAGCTCTGCATTGCCTTTGATCTTTCTTAAGGGGTTTCTACCTTCATGTCTCCATGTAGTTAAAAGACATAAACGCCCTGCCCTTAGGGCAGGTTACACTGGTAAAACAAAGGCATAAAAATTATGCCCTTTGGGGCATAAATACTCTTTTACGCCCTTCCCAAGGGCGTAAATGGTATAGGAATTTCAAGCAAAATTTTAATGCCCTTCCCAAAGGCATTAACGATTTATGCCCTTTAAGGGCATAAGGGCCCTTTAATCGTTTACGCCCTTAAAGGGCATAATTTTAATGCCTTTGTTTCACCAGTGTTTCTTTTTCTGGAATTGAGTTGCTGAAAGGAAGAAAGGAACAGGTGGAAGAAATTATTTTTCCTACATACCGGTAGTTTGTTGTTTCTGTCCCCGTCCCTCTCCCCCCTACCCCCACCCCCGCTAGTTTTGTTTTCATTTGCAACATTAATGTTTTGAAGGAATGTTTCATGTAAGCCGTATCTGGGGAAATGCGAAAAATCAATTTGGTCCCTTAAATTGCGGAATGCTATTTTGATGTTGTTTTTTTGTTGTTGTTGAACTTGTTACACACATGCCAGCCACGATTATTTTTATTCTATTGACAGTGTATCTTTTTATTTAACTCTGAAGCTGGTTCCAATACAATTTGTGTTTTTCCTTTAAAAACCATGTATTAGTTTTCACCTTGGTTCATACTCGTTTACGGTAGCATAAGTTTGTTTCGTTTGTAAGCAATAATTTCAGAAAGGCCAAAATCACTTTAGAAATATTTTTATATTCTATTTTGATAATTATCTTCGTAAATCCAGCTACATAGTTTTGTAAATCTTTTTTGAATCTGTGGATGTAATGGTGGTTAGTGCTTGTAAAGTGTGTATTTTCAGCCTACAACTTACCAATATGAGAAAATTTCTTTGTTTTTATTTTAGATACTCTATATTGTCCCACTTACTGTTTTTGTTGTGGTCACTATTTTGGTACTTTGAGATAAAGACATTTTGAGAATTGTGGAACCATCTTTTTTAATCTTTGATTGGATGACAGGAAATGTGATGAATGTCAGAACCACCTTCCTAATATTTGTTTAACTTTTGGCCCCTCATAGATCTACTTTTGCAGCCATGACAGTTACTAAATTAATCAGTCTACTCTAGGAAGGCTGTATGCTTTTCTTGTAACCTTATTGAGTCAGTTACATGCACCAAATATTTTGAGTACCTTATAGCGGAAAAAATTATACTAATCATTATTTGCTTCAGGGTTTGGAGAATACATGTGTATATGTGTGATTAATTGGTGGTTGAGTTGAGTTTGAGACAATGTACCTTCCTTCTTATGAAAGGAGACATATTTTGTGATTATGATTTATAAAGTAGGCCGTTAGCAACACCAAAATTTAGATTTCAGTTTAGTTACCAGTACCTTGATGAGCTAGTTTTCTGTACCTTATCTTAGCATTCTTTTAGTGATTTCATTGCCATTGCCAAATAGTAATAGGGCGAAGCCTCAGGAGTCAGTTACGTTAGGAGTTACCAGATCATGTATACTATGTCAAAAATACAATACAACTTTGTTAGATTCTGCAATCATTCCAGTGATTTTACCATTTTTATCTGTAATGAATAAAATAACCTGTTCATATTTCAGGGGGAAATTTCTTAATGTCTATATTCTTGGTGCTTTTATGCATGAATGCTGTATAAAGCTTTGCATTCCTTGACTGTGTGGTAGTTGAGTTAATTATTAACCATAGATGAACCAAAGTATAATTTTTAAGTTGTGTGCTAGTGTACCATTAGGAAACCGTGTGTTAGATTACTCCTCAGTGAGGAAGCCATGGAATGTTATTTCCAATTGATTGTAGTACTTAGCCATTTTCCCTTACTTTCCCTTCTACCCTTTTCGATCGAAAAGCTCAACTTTTAAAATGCGCTTGATCTAGTGTGTGTTGCTTTAGAAAGTATAGACAACCAATGATGCTGTGTTATATTGTAGCCAAGCTCTTGCAGTTTTGTTGTGGATGTCATTCTGTTACCTGTGTTTATTGAAGAGAGTGTAAAGTTTTCTGATTCCTTTGTGTTTTCTATATTTGTGAATGTTACTTAATTTATGTGTGAATATTCTTAAAAACCTGAACTGGTTAGCCAGCAACAATTGGCTCTTGCCTGCGTGATGATACTATTCAAGAGTCATTTTCATTCCAGTTAAGGGTATATGCATGTAACATGCCATACCCTTATAGTTGTAAGATTAAGTAATGTGAACCCACATTTGCTTCCCATTCTCCAGTATTATCCAGTAAGCACATGTTTTTCTCTCCCTTTCTCTTTTGTAAGTTCTGAGCAAGAAAGACGGGACAATGTTATAAAATGTGTGTAAGTAGATGTCTCATTTGCACATTTTACTTGTCAGAAGGCGCAAGGGAAGAATGAATAGTGTATTACACTTCCTCTTATTAAATTCGAAAGCTCAGGTAGAAGCGTTGTTGTGTGTGATTGTGTGCTAGACGTAAGCTCCCATTTAAGTTTCTCAAATTCCAAGTAATTTGTGTCTAATTTATTCTTGAGATGCTTTATTTTGCCTTTTGTTTTTAAAAATGGGCAAGTTGTTTGATATCAGTCCAGGAAGTAATTTGTATCCAGACAGACTGCAATGGAGATCTCTTAATTGTGTCTTTTCACTACGGAAAAACCTAAAGTCAGATTTGACAATCAAATCTTGATGAGTGCCGTCTCAGAAGAAGTAATATTTGGACAGAATATTGCAATGGTGTCTGACTTAAACTTGAAGTGCCAAATAATCGTTTTGGAAGGAACAATTGCAAATGGACTTTGATGATACCATTTTAACACCTGTTTTATTTGTAATTTGTTTTAACTCCGGCATTGTTTCTGTCATTTTGAGTTGTTTTTTGCCTTTTGAAAAAGCAACTTAGTATTTCCTAAATATCATTCTGCTCTTATTGTTTTGGGCCAGATTTCTGTTTTGAAGTGCTAAGAAGACACAGGCATTGGTCGTAATTAACTGCTTAGCTTAAGATTTGTCTACCTCAGTTTTGTTTTCTGTTGATTGTGGGAGTATGCAATGTGTGAGTACAAAGTTGTAATGAAATATTTTTTATAGGATTGTCTTTGGTGATAAAGCATGTGGGGCAGTTGAATTGTCTGCAAGTACCTTTGTATGTCATCCATATATTTTTGCATATGTTGTCTTCTTTTTTTTCCCCTTTTTCTCCCCATTTCCAGTTGCACATTTTAGTACAGTCTATTTTTTGAGGAGCTTGTCTGTGATATGTTTTGTAGTAATTGAACATAACTTGTGGTATGTATCTTCCAAAACTTCTGTATATTTAAAATTACATTTATAATTATTCATGTATCAATTCTTTCAGTAATAAACTAGTTGGTTTCTATTACAGTGTTCTTATTTGTTCCCTTCAAATAAAAACCTAGAAAGTCAAAGAAACTTTCACTCAATTTCAATGAACTTTATTATTTGAAAACTTAATGCAACTCTTAGCATTTAACATGACAAGAAAATATGCAGCAATCAAAATACCAGCTGCTACTCTAAATAATGGCATTACTCATGTGCTTTGTTCACAAGAGATGAGCAAACAGAAATATTTGGTTTTGGCTAAATAGAAGCCATTTGTACGTAAAATTGTATTTACACATTTATAACTAATGGGTCGAAGCTCAGCTCAGCTCAGCCCTACGACATCAAGAAATTTACTACCCATAATACGCTTGGCTGCGGTCGGCAAACGAGCCGCCGATTCCGAGGGATCGTTTTGACGCTCTGTCTCTCTCGCACGCATGGTGAGTCCCCGAGGGACCCGAGGGATGCGAGCGAGACTGAGCGGCGAAACGCTCCTTCGGAATCAGGCAGCCGCAGGCAGCAGCCCCGCCGGGCTGGAGGGAGCTCGCTTCTGGACCTGCATCTTGACGGCAACGCAAAACCCCATACTCGCATTGACCATTCACTCACTCACACATACACGTGCGCGCACACACACACACACACAGTCGCAGGCAGCAGCCCCGCCGGGCTGGAGGGAGCTCGCTTCTGGACCTGCATCTTGACGGCAACGCAAAACCCCATACTCGCATTGACCATTCACTCACTCACACATACACACACACACAGTATCACAATCACAACATCCCAGGTACCGAGAGTTTCCGGGCCCGCCTGCGCTGCGCCTTCCTGAGACCGCCCCGTTTGGCGGAGCCGCGAACGGGAGGGAAGGCCCGGCAGGCCCGGCGAGCGAGAAACAGCTGCGGTGCGGAATGGCGCCAGGCGGAGCGGCGGAGCGGCGTGTCGGTCCAAACCGAATGGAACGGCAAAAGTCATTCTGGCGGGAAACCGGCCGATCGACACGCTGCACTTGTATACTGAGATGCACCGCGCTGCACATCGCGTCCGCGCCTATGGCCGCCCCGACAGCGCGTCTGCCAGTGTGCCAGTGTGCCACCGGGCGAAGAGGCAGGAGGGCCTTGGCCTGCCTTGACCCGTACTGCGCGAGTCCAAGTCCTTGTGCAGGCTGCAGGCATGCTGCAGGCATGCTGCAGGCGCAGTCCGCTCAGTGGGCCTTGACCTTGCCGTTGACAGGGACCACGGGGGCCTCGTTGTTGTGGTCCTTGGAGTCGGCCTCGTTGTTGTTCTGCAGGGCGGCTTGCCGCTGTTTGTCCGCCCTGTCCGCCTTGCCGCCGCCGAGCTTCCTCAGCTTGGGCCCCACCACGTACGTGTGGTAGAAGAAGTTGCCGAACATTTGCATGAACAGGATGGCGTTGAGCGCGAGCAGGAAGGCGATGCCCTTGGGGTAGTTGCACTGCCGGAACAGCACCTGCGCCGAGTGGAAGAAGACGATGACGAACTGCACCAGCTGGATGACCGTCACGTACGACTTCCAGCCCAGGTACTTCTGGTACTGCGGGCCCATGGCCGCCACCATGTAGTAGAAGTACATGATGACGTGCACCAGGCAGTTGATGACGCCCAGCAGCGTGCCGTGGCCGCCGGGCAGGAACTTGACGCCGATCCACGAGCACACCGGCATCATCGTGTGGTGGTACATGTGCAGGAACGAGAGCTGGTTGTTCTTCTTGCGCAGGACGAAGAAGACCTGCCGCACAGAAAGGAAAACACGTTGAAATCGACATTTCGATTCGTCATGAGTGGGTCAAATGTTGAAGCCCGCTGCGCGCTGCACGGAGGCTAGGCTCACTTACGGTGTCAAGCAGCTCGACGATCTTGAACATGAAGTACCACCACACGGCACCCGCCATCTGAGCAAACGACAGCACAATTGTTAGATGAGGTATCTCGACGAGACACTGAATGGGAACGCTGAACGCGTAGCCGCTGCCGTGCAAAAACTCACTCTCATCGCCTTGGGGTCGTTGGAGTAGTCCACGGGCTGGCAAGTGTAGCTGTAGTCCCGCAGCCAGCCGGCGTCCAGGCCCTGCGAGGCGAGAGGCAGAGCATGAGCGAGGCATGAGCAGAGCGAGGGGCAATTGAGTGAGAGGCGGTACTTAGAGGGTTGCAGCAAGCAGCCACCGGCAGCCACCGGCAGCCACACCAATCCGGCCAGTACTTATCGGGCCTTTACTGCGCCAGCACACTCTCCGAGTGGGAGGCCTCCCTGTCTCTCTCGCAACCACGGGGCGTCCCGTAAGGGCGCGAGAGAGACAGGCCGACGAAAGCACAGTTCGGAGTGACTCCCCAGGCGTGGCCGCGGCTCTGGGCCGCACGGCGCGCACCGCCACACGTGTTGCGAGCGCAGCGAACGCACCGCACGCTTGTGGCCGTGGCGGCGTGGCGGCCGTGGCCACCTCAAGCTAGGAGTCGTTTCGTCGCCCTGCCTCTGCCGCACTCATAAGGCCTCTCGTACTCCCGCAGAGGAGCGAGAGAGACAGGGCGAGGTTCGCTCGGCTGGATAGGCATCTCTGCCTTGCCCGGGGCCACACTGGCGGAGGCTCGATTCGATACCGACCGCGATAATAGAGCGAAATAAATGGGCGGCGGCCGGGCAAAACAGCGAAACGAAACCAGCGCAGCCACCCGAGTTACTGCTTTGTGATGCCACGATTCCTCACCTCCCAGAACAGCCACGCGCTGCCCACCATCTGCAGGAAGTTGTAGATGATGAGGACGTTGGTGAGCTTGAAGGGCTCCCGCTTGGCCATGATCCTGGGCCCCGCCTTGGTGCACACCCACAGGTACGTGAGCAGGATGGCGACGAGCGGCCACGGCGACGACATGAGCAGCCACTGGTTGGTGCGAGGGTCTGCGGGGAAGGCAACGCAAGTTCTCTTTCAAACAGCCCATCCACCGTACCGCGCACCGCGCACCGCGCGCCGCGTCAAGTGAAGGCAAGGCCCCTGACCGGCCGAACCGCGGCCGGAGCGGAGCCTAGCCGCATAAAGTCTTCCCCAGGACGAATCATCCGGGGGAGACTTCATCCCGGGACGAATGCTCCCCCTACCATGGCACCAGAAGGGGGAGTATTTGGCCCGGCAATGGCCAATAGACACCTCTAGCGAGGCCTGAAGTGAAGAACAAGAAGAAGAACATAAGTCGAAAACAGTTGCCAAATTACGCTCATTTCTTGATGACGAATGTTTATTCTCAATCCAAAAATTCAAGGAAGCTTGATTTTGTAATATAATTTGATTTAAACCTGCCAAAACCCCCGAAAAAAGCCGATTTCTTGATCTGTTTCCGGTCTATGTTCTTCTTCTTGTTCTTCACTTCAGGCCTCGCTAGAGGTGTCTATTGGCCCGGGGGAAGTGTTTATCCAGAAATAAATGCCCCCCCCCTAAAATGTCCGGAATCCAGCCTTTTGGCGGCTCTGTCTGTTTTACTGTCAATAAGAGTTGCGCAGACTGCAAAAGGGGAGGGGAGACTTCACCCCGGGATAAACACTTCCCCTCAGGACGGCTCTGCAACACAGGGGGAGCATTCGTCCCGGGATGAACGGTCCCCCGCAGGGCTGCTGTGGGAAAGCGTGCATCCCAGGCCAAATTTTGGCATTCGAAAAGGAGCGCCACTGCAGTGGCAAGCAAACTCTACCAATGGAATTGAACTGTTTCTTCTACCTTCTACTATGAAATTGCTGAAACCTGCTTCCATTTGAAAAAGTTGCGCACGAGTGGGCTTGAGTGTACAGTGTCGCGCTGCTACGAACATTAGGCGCGCGCACCGAAGTGCCCCATCTTCAAAATGAAGAAGCGATTTCATTCAATTTAGCAGTTTTTTTTTCAATGGCGCCTGGCGCACTTGATCCTGCTCTCGTAGAAAGTCGCAAAGTGCCCCATTATCTACAAGAAACGCCTGGGCTGCATGCTTCAACTGTGTTGCACAGCACAACAGTCTTGCGGGGGACCGTTTATCCCGGGATGAATGATGCCCCTGTGTTGCAGAGCCGTCCCGGGGCGGGGGAGAATCCCGGGATGAAGTCTCCCCTCCCCTTGAACAGTGGACAGTGTATTCGCAGTACGTCAGCCCATTATTTGCAGCCTGCGCAACTCATATTGGTATATTGGTAGAAAAACAGACACTTGAGCCGCCAAAAGGCCATAGAGACCAGATTCCAGACATCTTTTTTTTTTTTTTTTTGGGGGGGGGGGGGGGGGCATTTATCCCAGGATAAACACTTCCGCCGGACCGGCTGGGGCCTCTCGGGGGCATGTGTCTGGCCCGAAATGGCATACGATCATGTGTGGTCTAGCCCTTAATGGCAATGGCAATGGGGCCCCACGAGGGCAGGCAACCCGTCGAGCAGCGCAGCAGGCGGGGACGTATCCCCGGCGTCGCAGGCGCTCCCCGCCGCCACACTGGCAGCGTCGAGCGTCCTGACCAGGTCTCTTGGCAAAGCGTGGCAAAGTCAAAGTCATACAGCCATCTGGAGCGGGCGTGCCGCGGCGTGCGCTCGTAGGGGTCGCCCTTCCTGCTTCACTTTCCAAAAAGCTTCGCCAACATAGGCTGGGCAGGACTTGTTGGCGTCTCCGCGCGTTTAAAGTACTCACCGCCATTCTCGGCCATGAACCTCTGGAAGCCGTCCACAACGTTGCTGACTACGCTGGTCATCGTGGGACGATTTTCTGCAACAAACACGCAAGGAGCTCTCGTTAGCAACGCCATCGTCAACTAGTGTGCAGGTCGCTTGAAACTGCGCTTGAAGCAAGAAGTCCTTAAGAAATGGGAGGAGATGAACCTTGACCCTTCGGTTCCCCCCCCCCCCCCCCAGGTGGCTGTAACACCTGCTCACCTACGTTTTACGGGTTTGACAAGGGTGGCTTGAGGTACCGGTACCGGTCCGACAGTGTCGTCCACTATGTCATGTGGCAATGCCTGGCAGTGCCTGGCTGCGGCAGCTGCGACGGGCCCAGCGCGACGCGTCGCAACAAGCCTTGTTCGTCTTCGGAAACATTCGCAACGCGTAGCAGCGTGGCGGCGCGGGGAGATGCAGCCTCCCCTCCCCTCCCCTCCCCCCTCCCCCAACCGCACCCAAACACCGCGAGCAGCGAGGGCAGCGCGCGGCGCGGCGAGGCCTTCCGAAACGTCACCGCAGATTATGTGGAGTACCCATTGCGACATTGCGACACCGGGGGGGCTGGACCTGTGGGGGACGCGGACGCAGCGTTCTGCGCTTAGCTGCGCTCGGCCGGCCGGGCTGCTGGCCTGGCCGTCTCTCTCGCACCTCCACGGAACGCCCCATGAGTGCGAGGGAGGCAGGGCGACGAGCACGACTCTCGGAATGAGTCAGCTGGCGTGCTGGAGACAAGATCGCTCCTCAGCCGGATGCCGTTGTTTCTCTCCAGAAGACGTCTCTGCCTTTTTTTCGGCCGCCCTTTGCTCAAGAGCCGAAGCAAGCGCGGCTAGCGGCCGGCAAAAAGCGGCAAGCGGCGCCGCTAGAGCGCGCTGGAGCACAGTGGGCCAGAAGCCGGTGGAGGCGGCCAAAACTCTAGACGCGTTTTGAGCTCCAGAGTCGCTGAACAGGCCTCGAACCGAACGTGTGACCCCACCAATGGATTCCTCGTTCTGAGAGCAATCCATTGGTGGGGTCACACGTTCGGTTCGAGTCCCATTTAGCGACTCTGGAGCTAAAAACGCGTCTAGAGTTTTGGCTGCCTCCACCGGTCTCTGGCCCACTGTGGGCTGGAACGGGCCGCGCCACTCTAGGGAAAACGAAAGAGTAATCATCCGCGGTCTCAAAACGAAACGGTGGCAGGCAGGCAACAACCGGGCGGACCTTCTGTTTTGGTGTCTATTGTCTATTTCGGGGCCGAAATGGCGGCATCGCGGCGGTCTGACGCAGTGACGTCTCTAGCCGTGGCGCCGTGCCGCGGTTTCTGTCTCCGACGCGTCGCGACGTGGAAGGGAAGGACACACGGCGGAGGATAGGAGCAGCCCGCTGACAATGAGAACGCGACGCACGCCGCCTTCGCCTCAAGGCGCCTCCGGCTCCGGCATGGCTCGCGGCTCGCGGCTCGAGGCACGCATGTTTCGGTTTCACGCGTTTTATTGTCACCGCCTTGCCTTCGCCTTGTTCCTCGTTCCCTGCTTGGTGTGCTTCGTGTCGCCGGTCGCGTGGCGGCGGAGCGCGGAGCGCGGAGCGCAGTGCGCGGCCGAACCTTGACCGTCCCGTCAACCGTCCGCCGTCCGCCGGCCGTCCTGTCCTTTCGGCACCACGGTGATAATGCCCCGCGCCGCGCCGCACCGCGTCGCCGCCGTGCCGCCGTGCCGCTCTCACCGACGGCGGCCACTGCGGTTCCGAAAGTGCCCCGTCGCTGTCTTTCTAGCACTGCGGCACTGGCACGCCCCGCGAGTGCGACACAGACAGAGAGACTCTTCGGAAACGGCGGCCTGGCGCTCTCCAGACGCTGCTGAGGAGGACGCCGCCGAGGAAGCGGTCATAGGCCGCCCCGCAAACTCGTCTGTCTCCGAGGGGTGACCCACTGTAAAATTTTGTGGACAATGATTGTGTGAATGTGCAAGAATGTGCAAGATTTCTTGCTTTTTTTGCCACACATGTTGCCTACTTACAGGCGTTTTTGCCACCTGAATGTGGAATGTGGTCAAATTTTGTACAACGAATGTGGGAAGCTGTTCCCCCCTCGTCTGTCTCTGTCTCTACACTCATGGGGCGTTGCGAAGCGGCGCGCGCGAGAGAGACGGAGCGATATGGTGGCTGGCCGGCCCCGGCTGTCCAAATCTCCGCAGAAAGTGGTTGCGTCCGCTCCGACGGCTCCGCATTCCCACACCCTGTCGCCCGGCCGGCCTGAGCTGCCTGAGCCAGCCGCCCCATCGCATCGCCCCTCGCCCCGCCGTGGCTTCACCGCACGCGACCTCACGTGTCGCCGTGTCGCTGTCGCGTCGCTTGGCTGTCGCGCTGTCGCGCTGTCGCGGCCGGCCGCTTGCGCTGCCGCACTGCACTGCCTGCACTACTGCACTGCCTGCACGCCGAGATGTGTTTATCCTGCGCGGTGTCCGCCTCCCGCCAGCAGGATGCTTCCGACTCCGAACAGGGTTCCGTCGCTCTATCTCTCTCGCCCTCTCGGGGCATTCCACAGTGGCGTGCGAAGGAGAGAGAGAGAGAGACGGAGTGACGAAGCCCCGTTCGGAATCAGCCTGCCGCCGCACTGCGGGCCTAGGAGACCAGTAGTTTAGGAGGAAGTGAAGTCGGGACACGTTTCGAGCCCCATTTTCCTCAACACGGTCTAGAATCAAACACACGATGGCACATATGGATTGCCCTTCGAAAGGGGAACGCAATGTCCTCATGAGTTCTTTTCAAGGATGGAGCTGGAAACCAGCGGCGGTTTCAGGCGGTGGTGCACGGAATGAGCCCCAGTCGCGACCCTCCTGAACGTCCTGAACCCGGGAAACCAAAAACCATATCCCTGGGCTCCATATGCTCCGAATGTGCTCAGGTGTCCCGGTTGCGACCTGGTCCTAGCGTCCTGGCCCACTGCACGCCGCGCCGCGCCACGCCACGCCGCGCCACGGCTCGTGCCGCGGATTCGCGATTCAATGAGGCGCGACCTTTCGGTCTTTCGGCCCGCGGACGCGCCAAACTAACCTCACCTAACCTCACCTAACCTACGCTAACCTCGTCGCGCCGACACGGTGGCCACACGCTGCCCACACCGCAACCGGTACGACCCGTACGACGAGGTGAAATGGCGGCGCGAGCCTGGCGCCTGCCCCTAGCCCATTTGCATAAATCGGGAGAAAAATCGGCAGTCATCTTGTTGTTGTTGTTGTTGTTGTTGTTGTTGTTGTTTTGCAGAGTGGTGGAAAGTTTGCACTACTGCGATACGACACCGAGGACGGGCGGCGGGCAATGAATGGGAATGAATGACGCGCGCCGCCCATCCCGTCTGCCCCGGTCTGCTCGCTAGGAGCCGCTAGGACCCTGTTTTGGAAACTTCCGAGTCCCGATGGTCCGGGCTCCGACTGCGCGGAAATATACCCCTGGTCAACGCTCCTTGAAAAGTAAAAAGCGAACGTCTTGAATGGATGGGACACTGTCCCCCATGGTGGCCCAAGGTGGCCCAAGGTCCCCCAAGGTGCGAGGAGCAGGCCGGGCAGGGCGGGCTGCATGGCTCCAGTTGCACTGCCCGGCGCGGCACGCTGCTTGCGTTATGTTTGCGGAGCCCCAGGAGCCGCGGACTTGCGCACACAAACAGACCAACAGGCCAACAGGCGCCTGGAGGAGCTGGAGGAGCTGGAGGCGCTGGAGGCGGCTGGAGGCGACTGGAGGCGACTGGAGGGGGAAGGCCCTATCGTCCCAGACCTAGATCACTGCACTCTCTCTGTCTCTCTGTCCCCCTCCTTGGGCCGTATGATTTCCCTTGATTCCTCGTCCTCGGCTCTCGCCGCCTCCAATAGCGTCCTTAATATTTCCTTTTCCTTTCCGTTTCCTCCGTCTTCTTTCGGCGCGGTGATTCGCGTTACGCGCAACTGCCCCGCCTAAACGCAGCTAAACACAGCCCTGCCGCCACGCCGCCATGCCCGTCGGCCCGGCGGGACGGACACGGCCAGGCCGGCATATCCGCCTGCCTGCAAGATAGGCCCGCCGGCCCGCCGCAGAGGCCACTACGTCGCCGCGGTCGCCACCGCAGTCTCGGTGGTCTTGATGACAGCACGGCACGGCGGGGCGGTGGGCCGGTAGGCGCCGCGTCGGTGGAAGCCCCCCGGAGCGAGCTGGAGCCTTCGAATCCGAACCCCCTTCCACGTCCCGCCCTCCCCCTCCGCCAGACACGAGCCACGCAGAGCCATGCAGTGGGTTAGTTAGTGCATCCATAACACGATCGCGCGCGCGTCATAATCGCGCTGACGAGTTTGTGACGACGGCGACGCCGTGCGCCCCCAAACCAAGACATTCGATCACGCGTCGACGCGAGTGTCATCACTCGTTGAACCGGCCGGGCCCCGGAGGGCACTTTTCGAGCTTTCCTCATTCATTTTTAACGGTGCACTGGACAAACTGACAACACGTATGGAAAATTTGGCAGTGGACTACGTGACTGCCTACTGTACGCATTCGCGCGCTCTGAGAGGGAAAGGGGTCCGCCAATCCGGCGACAACGCCGGATTCCGCAAAACCGGACGACGGGATTCGAATATGGGCCAGCCCGGGCTGGGCCGGGACGGGCCGGGCCACCGGGCACTTGACTCACCTCCCGTTAATCTATGAGACTTTTTCACACACACCACGCGGAGCCGCACGGTGTCGACAAGTCACTCCCCTGCGAGAAAGCGCGCGCACCGCGCTAAGCATTCACTTTCAAATCCAGCGGAATATGCATAATGGTCAGTGTAATTGTAGGTTGAGAAAAAAAAGGCGCCATTTGCGTAACGTGCGCCGTGCCGGGCGTTGCAGGCTGCAAGCGGGCTCACTTCGTCGCGCTGTCTCTCTCGCACTCCTTATAGGGTGAGTGCAAGAGAGGCAGACAGACTGCACTGGTTGTCGGAATCACAGGCCAAAGGCAGCCCAAGGCAGACCGTTTCGCCCTTTCGCTCCCAGACGACCGCGCACCGCGCCGCCAAACACCTGCATGAGTACTCTGGCGTCCCCGCTGCAATATTTGTGCATGACGCGGTTGCGCGCGTGTTGGTGCGTGAGTGTTTATGTGCGTGTGACTGTGTCACAGGCGGAGCAGGCGGGAGCGAGAGAGGAGTGGGAAGGAGCAGACAAGTCCCAAGGTCCAAGGTCAGGCTGAGGCCGCGCTGCGGTATTGGAGGGCTTGGGTGGCTGGATGCGGCAACTCTTTTCGCGAATATCCCTTCTTCCCCTCCTCCCTCTGGCAACCCGCAAACTGCGTCGGCACGGACGGACGCACAGTGGGCCAGAAGACCGGTGGAGCGGCCAAAACTCTAGACGCGTTTTGAGCTCTAGAGTCTCTAAATGGGCCTCGAACCGAACGTGTGACCCCACCAATGGATTGCTCTCCGAACGAGGAATCCATTGGTGGGGTCACACGTTCGATTCGAGTCCCATTTAGCGACTCTGGAGCTCAAAACGCGTCTGGAGTTTTGGACGCTCCACCGGTCTTCTGGCCCACTGTGGGACGGGACGGCGCGGTGTTCCGAAAGGTTACCTGGGGCTCCCGTGCGTGCAGTGCACTGCAGTGCAGGGAGAGGATCTCGATGGCCATGGCCACGCCGGCCACACGGCCACGCCGGCCGCGCGCCGCACGGGTTTCGTTGACCCCTCGCCGCTTCAACTGCGGACCTCTGCCGCAGTTTGCCAAAGCGTTCCGACAACCTCAACCTCAGTTTTGCTAAACGCGAGAAAGAGAAATGACTATTTTGATCCCTTGATTACTACCCGCGGATGAATTAGCACCGGCTTCTATCAACCAATCAGAGCCATTCCGAACGGCTCTGTCCCTCTCGCACCCCGACGGCACCTCCCCGTGAGTGCGAGGGAGACAGAGCGAAAAAAGCATCGCGAGGGGAAAGAGAATGTAATTAATCGGGCAGACCGGCGGGCAGTGGTAGGAGTGGCTATGCCGTGCAGCGGCCAGCGAGGGCGAGCGGTTGCGAACCCGCGAGAAGAGCTGACACCGCCCTGGCTTAGCATTGCCTTTCGCACACGCACACACGCGCACACGCACACGCACACACACACACACACACACACACACACACACACACACACACACACACACACACACACACAGCAAGCAGCGGCCGATTAATAGCGCGGCCCCTGACCGCTGGACGACCGCTGCCCAAAAAGTTACAGTTAGCGGCTGTTGGTTGATTGATGGTTGGACTAGGAACTAGTTTAGCAGAATGGCCCAGTGCGAGGCGTGGACTGTGAGGCGCGGCGCCGCGGTTCGTCCAGAGGCGGGCCGCCCGGCCTTTATTTTCTCCAGTCGGGATCCTCTCACTCCGTTTAGTCCACGCGCCACCTAACCGAACCGACTCAAACGCCGACTCGACACAGCTTCAACTCCCTTTGCGCTCCGAGGTCAAGTCAAGCGTTCGCACGCAGCTTCAACTCGAGCAATCCCTGCCAAGTTTTTCGTGAGGGAAGTGCAGGTGCATGCGAAATGTTGCCAGTGCGGTCATGCGCTTATTCACCGGGCCAGTCATTGCCCAGGATGTACGCAGAAACTCACCGATACTTCGTTGCAGGGAATGCTAGTGTAGGCGCCGGTCAGGCCGCGGTGCAAAATCCAATCCGACGGAGTCCCTGCGACTCTGGGACGTAGCGGCCCCGGACGGTACGCAGTACGCCCCTGGCGGCGCCACAGCCACCCGCTGCCACAGACACACTGACACGCACACGCGGGGACGCGCGCACACACGCGCAGGCTGGCGCAGGCTGGCGCAGCCGGGACACCAGGGGCGGTCCACGAGGTGCACGAGGCACGAGGAGCCCGACCGGTGCACGGGGATGTGGAGGAGCGACTGAAGACTGAACCGAAGCGCCGACTTTGGCACTGCGTGGCTGCGTGGCGGGAGGCGGGAGGGGGAGGGGGCCTGCCCGGCCTGCCCTGCCCGGCGCGGGCCCCACGGAGAGGGCTGGTCGCAGCGCGGGGCGGGGCGGGGCGGGGCGGGGCGGCAGGTGGCGGAGAGGGACGGGCCGAGGGTCTTCATGGAGCTCGTTGTTCGCTACAGCGAAGCGACTTCCTCGGCGAGGAGGTGCGGTAACCCATTACGCCGCTAATCAGCAAGATGCCCCCCTCGGCGGAACCCCCCTGCCGACGTCCTGCGCCACGCCCCGCCGCGCCCCGCCCCTCCGCGAGGTCACTGGACCCCAAGGGCGCGGCGGGGCGGGGCGTGGTCAGGAGCGGAGCCTGCCGGCAGCCCGCCGCCCTTGTCCGGCGCCGTGCCCCGCCGCTGTGGGATGGCGGCAGGCTCGGACTGGCTAGGGCAGACAGGCAGAAAAATCTGCCGGGGCTTTCGGGTTTGTGATCAGTAACGTCATAAATTTGGTCAAAAAGTGATTGAATCTCCGAAAGTAGCCGTTTTCGCTGAATTTGAGCGGCCACTGCGTCCGATCTAGTTGCGGCCAACGGCCTCCCTCGACGCCCTATTCTTAAGACCCTACTCTTTCATGCCCTGTATCGGAAAGACGTTGACCACAACGATTTTGCCTTTGACCGCAACGATTTTGGGACCAAAGTTGGTCAAAAAGTGGTCGAAACTCGGAAATTTGCTGATTTTGCTGACTTTGGGCGGCCACTGTGTCCAATCTAGTTGCCGTAAAAGGCCTCCCTTGACGTCCTAGTATTCCTTACACCCTACTCTTTCATGCCCTGTATCGGCAAGACGTTGACCACAACGACTTTGCCTTTGACCGCAACGATTTTGGGACCAAAGTTGGTCAAAAAGTGGTCGAATCTCGGAAATTTGCTGATTTTGCTGACTTTGGGCGGCCACTGTGTCCAATCTAGTTGTCGTAAAAGGCCTCCCTCGACGCCCTAGAATTCTTAAGACCCTACTCTTTCATGTCCTGTACGGGAAGGCTATTGACCGCAACTAGTTTGGGAGCGGTAGCCTCACAAAGTTGGTCATGAAGGTTAAAAACAATGATGATCGGGGGCCTTTTGCGGTCTTATCTGCCAGGGCCTTTTGGGGGCCAGTCCGATCCTGGATGGCGGTGGGCTTGGCGGTGGGCTTGGCGGTGGGCTTGGCGGTGGGCTTGGCGGTGGGCTCGGCGGTGGGCTTGGCGGTGGGCTTGGCGGTGGGCTTGGCGGTGGGCTCGGCGGTGGGCTGGGAGAGTCTTCCCTTTTCGCGACCGCGGATGGGCGACTGCGCGTCACTCGCCAAGTATTTCCCCAATGCCGGAACGCGTGGGTCTAGGTCGGGGTCTGGGTCGGGGTCTGGGTCTGGGTCTGGGTCGGGGTCTGGGTCTGGGTCGGTGTGGTCCTGGGTCGGTGCGGGTCTGGGTCTTGTTGGAGCGGGCGGATCCGCGCGGAAGACAAACGCGACCCGCGACCCTCGTGTCCTTCGTTGACCGCAGTGGTTTTTTCTCACTGCAGACCGATTCCAAGAGTCGGTTTCGTCGTTCTGTCTCACTCGCACTCGGGTCGGGCGTTCCGCATTGGCGCGAGAGAGACAGAGCTACGTGAATCATAGTCCCCTAAGGTAGTCACCGAGTCCGTCCAAGTCGAGAACACGTGGAGACAGCTCTGGCAGGAATATGACACGTTAAATTTGATTTAAAAAAATTTGGTCGGAATGGCCCCCGGACGGCCTGCCGGCAGATAATAAAAACAATCATGTCCGTCCGAGTCATGCACATGCGCACGCACACACACACACACACACACACACACACACACACACACACAAAAGAGCTACCCGCTCGTGGGGCTCCTTTCACCGGCTAGACGTCGCAGGCCGTACACGAGTTGGGCACGCAGTGATGATTGGTGGGCACTTACTTCACTTACCTGCGCACTGCGCCGCGCAGCCAGACAGCCGTTCGGTGTGCCTTTCGGCCGGAGCCATCGAGGACCGTTTGCTCTCGCATTGTTTCGAAACACCGCGCGCGCGCGTGTGTATGTGTGTGTGTGTATGTATGTATGTGTGCTTGCTTGCCTGCATGCGTGCAGTGTGTGTTCCAAGGTGCCACAGTCACGGTCTCACCGAGTCGAAAAGTGCAGCGTTTTGGGCCCGGCCCGGCCCTGCCCGTGAACGCGAGGCGTGGTGGCGGTGGCGGTCGCGCTGACCGTGACTAGCCTTTCGCCATCCCCGAAACAATTACCGTCACCGAGAAGAGGCCTGCTGCCGCTGCTGCCGCCTGCCGAGGTTCGATCGAGAAGCCTTCGGCAGCCTTCAGGCCAAGTCCGCCGCTGACGTCACACGCCGCCGCAGGGCGACGCGTCGGGACATTGTCGGGACGCGGAGGCGACCGCAGAGTGTCACTGAGCCAGGCCGCCAGGCCGCGTGCCTCAAGCCTGGAGCGTGGAGCCCGGAGGCGCGCTCCGAGCCTCGTCTACGGACGCGGACGCCCCGCCCAGGCCCCACCCGGGCCGGGCCCCTGCCGCGGAGCAGTGCTCGCTGGGCTGGCCAACAGTGGGCCAGAAGACCGATGGAAGCGGCCAAAACTCTTGACGCGTTTTAGGCTCCGGAGTAGCTAAATGGGACTCGTACCCAACGTGTGACCCCGCCAATGGATTCCTCGTTCGGAGAGCAGTCCATTGGTGGGGTCACACGTTCGATTCGAGTCCAATTTAGCGACTCTGGAGCTCAAAACGCGTCTAGAGTTTTGGCCGCCTCCGCCGGTCTTCTGGCCCACTGTGTGGCCGGGCCGCGGCTGGCCTGCAGGAAAGCCCCTGGAGGCTCCTCGCCGCCCGCCCCGCCGCGCACCAGAGCTCGGCGGGCTTGCCTACCCGGCCCTTCGCAGGCGGCCGGCCGACGCCGAGGGCCAGGCGACCAGGCGACCAGGCGACCAGGCGGCCAGGCGAGGCCAGGCCAGGCGGCGAGGACGAGGACGGGCCGTGGGGGCCGAGGGGACAGGCGCCGAGGCCACCTTCACCGGAAGCCAGCGCGGCGCAGAGACCCTCCACGCCACCACCGCACGTCATCATGGAGCCACCTCGAAAAAGATTGAGGGACAATGACAATGACGATGACAAGGAGGAATTTGGTGTTTTCGGCGCGCGGCGCCTCGGTGGCACGCCAGGTGGCGTGCGCGGCGTGCTCCGACTCCACGCCTCGAGTCCACGCCTTGAGTCGCCGCGCCGCCCCGGCCGCCCTGGCCGCCCTGGCCGGCCGCTTCCTTGACCGGTCTGGCCGCTGCCGGGTCCACGGCACGGCGGCCTGTCGACTCATTCCGCACAGCGTTTCATCGCTCCGTCTCTCTCGCACCTCCAGGGAATTCCCCATGTGGCCGAGAGAGGCAGGGCGATGATGTGCAGAAGGCTGGTCCACGGCGGCCCGCGCGAATTTGGGGCGCGTCGGGGCGACCAGTGTTTGGCAAGGCGGCCGGGCCGCCGCGGAGCCGCGGACCGGGAACTAGTTCGGGACGGCGCGTGTCCGACATCTGCCGAGCGACTCCGAACCATCATTTCGTCACTCTGTCTCTCTCGCACCCCTACGAGAAGGACCATGAGTGCGAGAGAGACAGAGCGACGACGCCGAGGGCGGTTTGCGGGGTTCGCCGCGGGCCGCAGCCTCCAGCGCACTCAAGTCATACAGTCTGTTAGGTTAGGGTTGGTAGGTTCGGGAAGGTTAGGTTACGCCAGACCGCCTAATGGACACTCTGCAGCGCGCAAGGCCTGCGGTAGTTCGGAGTACGGAGCCGCGCCGCGTCTTGATTTTGTTGTTGTTGTTGTTGTTGTTTTTGTCGTCTTTGTCGCCGGAGGGCCGCCGTGCCGGCCACACGCATAGCGCTCATTTGCGCCGACAAGCGCGGGAAAAAACTCGAGGCTTCGCTCTGTCACGCGGTCGCGATGCAGCCCGGACACGTCGTCGGGTACGTCGGGCACGTCGGGGACGTCGTCGGGGACGTGCACCGCGCGTCGCTGCACGTTGATTCACATTTAATCTGGCGACGGGTACTCACTGCGAGTGCGAGGTGGTCGAGGAGGGTGGACTGCAGTGGACTGCGCCGGAGGCGGAGGCTCCTTGGTGCTGCCGAGGCGGCCCGGGCGGTGGCAGTGCGACGGTACGGCACGGTACGGCACGGTGCGGCAGTTCGGCAGTACTGCGCTGCTTAGCACACGCCCGCCGGTAGGTATGCCTGTCCCAGCCCAGGCCCAGCCGCCCAGGGCGTTGATATGCGCACAAAATTAAAGGTTCTGCCGCCGCCAAGGAAGCCCACCCCGTTTTGGCCGTCCATAATGGCGCGCGGAGCACGGCGTCGATCTCGCGCGTCGATCGGATTCCCACGCACACACGCACGCATGTCGCCCATGCCGCGCATGCCGCGTCCACCGCCAAAACGTCACCCGTTACCCAATCACTTTTATTCCGGCATTTCTTTGTGAGGTTGATCGGGCTGCCGGGCCGCGGTGGCGGCAACGGCCTCGGTAGGCCTCTCTGGTTCGCTGCTTGGCCACGCGGCGGCCGATTCAGCCACTCGGCCACGACAACGTGGACGTTTCATTTTAAGTGCCAAATCGGCTGCACCACTCCACTGGCCGGCACTGCCCCTGCGGCCCTCAGCGCCCTCAGCGGCCTGCCACCCTGCGTCAGCTAGCTGCGCGGTTCCGAGGCACCGCCGCGCCGTCAGCGCTCAGGCCAGGCCGGTGAGCCGGGAGCCATGCACTGGAGGGGAACTCGCCAGCGCCGTGACCGCCACGCGCGCCGCCCTGCCCCGTCCCGCCGCGCCCGCGGAGGCGATGCCGGAGGCTTTGCGGGTCAATGTCACCCTCCCCACACCCCCAACCCCTCTCCCTCCGGCGGCTAGGCTTCACTTTTCCCGTCTCACGTTAAACCGGGGATCGGGATTGGCGATTCTGTGCCTCGCCTCGCCTCGCGGGGGTTTCGAACAGTTTCTTCCAGTGTCGGCCCGACCGGACGACGGTCGCTTCATCCGATCCGATCTGATGCACGTGCCCTGGCTGCGGCCACCCCTCGAGGGCGGCCAGCAAGATTCACGACCGTCAGAATGCATGGGTTGAAATTGCCAATATTTTTTTGCATCGAACAGTGTCAAATTATTGCTCAAATCACGTGAAAAGGACCTATGTCTTTGGTGCATTATAGAACCTTGGTATGGGCTCCCGGGCTCATATTTTCAAAATTTTTATGGAATATCCATGAAAGAAAATGGAGGCTGCGGCTCTCCGCCTGGCACAGCACAACAACTGGAGAGGCTAGGCTAGGCCACAATCATGTATGTAATTAACTCTGGGTTCTGCCAAAACCTCAAAAAAACAAACAAAACAAAAAACGATTTCTGGTACTGTATCCGGCCGATGTTCTTCCTGCTCTCCGCGCGAGGCTCTGCAAGAAGTGTCCACGTTTCACGTGTCATTTCGGGCCCGGCTCTGGGTATGAATGTTTAAGGGGTGGGGGACGCTTCCCCCCCCCTTTTCCCCTCTCCCCTTAGTCGACTCCGATCCGATCGCGACGAGGCAAATGCATGACGGTCGCGCAAATCGCCCGTGGGCCATGCATGGCGGTCGCTAAGCAATGCAGTAGGAATCGGGGAATCGGACGCCTTTCATTAGGCCCTGCTGGCTGCACCTGGCTGCGCCTGGCCTCGCCAGTGGACTGTGGGCGCATTCCGAGCACTGCTTGTCGCTCTGTCTCTCTCGCGCCCTTGCAGAACGCCGCAACGCCCCGTGAGTGCGAGAGAGACAGAGCGACGAAAGCAAAAGCAGAGCTCGGAATCAATCTGCTGGCTGCGCCTATGGCGGCCTATGGCGGCCTATGGCGGCCTATGGCCGAGGGTAGTGGGTAAACTCATCACCTCACACCGGTGTCCGGCCAACAGCGGACCGGACCGCTCCTCTGCCCGCTTGGCGGTTTCGGTTTCGGTTTCCTCCCAGCCGTTTGCCAATTCGATCGATGACTGGAGACTGGCAGTGACCCAGATGTGTCGGCCGCCAACCTGAACACACATTCCGAAGAGTCGTTTTGTCGCTCTGTCTCTCTCGCACTCGCGGGGCGTCCCGTAAGGGTGCGAGAGAGACAGGCGACAAACAGTCCAGGCAACGTTGGAAGGGCCAAGGGCCATCCACTGGGGCCGGGCCGAGCCGGGCCAGCCGGTATCAGCGCCCGTTCATGGTACTGGCCTTCCCCGGGAACTCCCAAGTTTGAATGACTCGACGGCTGACCGCTCGGCTCGGTGTGGGGAAGTGGCAACTGGGAATAGTGGATGCACGAGCGGCGTTTATGCCCCGGCCGGCCTACTTTCGCGTTGCGTTCTTGATGGACGCTGCTTTGGTCGCACACACGGGGCATCCCGCGGGTTGCCCGAGAAACGCTGTCCGGAACTAGCCGGCCAGGCCAGGATAATGGCCTGAAGCCGTACCAGCCGTGCGCGCCAACGGCGAATGGGGGCGTCCAACAGGTGTTGCAATTAAAATCTCACTCTGCGCTCGACGAGGTTCGAGATCGAGTGGTTCCGCTCGATGGGAAGGGCCCGGTCACTCGGGACCAGTAAGACCGTGTAACGGCGGTTGCGCGCACCTCACGGAGAACGAACGGATTCGATAGAAAATTACAGTGCCCAGTATCATTCAGGTGATTCAAGGACGCGTGCTCTGTTTCGTTTCGTTTCGTTTTCCGACCGCCTGGCGGGGCGGGCTGGCGGCGGAGCGCCACGCCGCGCCGAGCTCTATTTAGTTAAGCTCACGCCGTCGCGAGGGAGCGAGAGCGAGGGGGCGAGGGCGTGAGAGCGTGGATCTGGGCGGAGTGGGGGGAGTCTTTATACTTCCAAAAGTGAGGTTATGATCCCATAGCGGCAAAAATTTGAGTCGCAAAAGACTCTCTGCATGCTCTCTGTAGTTTTAGTCTACCTTAAGGTTGCTGTGAGCAGTATTCGGACGTTCCAGCATTAGAATATAACCTCACTTTTGCATCCCTCGGCCCACGCTCTCACGCCCTCGCCCCCTCGCTCTCGCCCCCTCGCGACGGCGTGAGCTTAACTAAATAGAGCTCCGACCGCGCCGCGCTGTCTTTCAAATCCACGCCGCGGGAACACAGAGGGCAGCACTGGGCGGCACCTGTCCCGCCGGCCTGTTGCCATGACAACGAGCAGACGACATAGGTGCAGAGTGTGTTGTGTTCGTGCCTTTCCTGGTCTTTTCGAGACTTAAATTCTCTCCATAGGAGTGCGCCATGTAAGAATTCCTCAGAGTTTTTGACTTATGCCGCTATTGCTTTGCTCGCCGGGCGAAATGGACGCTGCCTTTTCCTCCTCAGTTGCTGTCAGTGTCGCTTTGTAAGGTGCTTCTCCTTTGACAACAGGGGTACTGAAGCAGTCGACGCGACAACCCACAACAAGTTCGAGGCTCTGCGTGACTTGGCCGTCGAAAAGGCCAAACAGAACGAAGAGCGGGTGAAGGCTTTGACCAGAACTCTCATCTTGTGTGGGAGCAAACAAGTAGTAAGTTTGGTGTTTTCAATTTCTAGTTGTACCTTTATGTGACTTTTATTTTCAAAATTTTGTTTTCCAGGGGAAGACAACCATGCTTAATAATTTGTTAGAAAGAAATTTAGCAGCAAGGCCCACTCTTGCCCTGGAGTATTCCTTTGGACGCAAGCAGAATAGGGATGGGGTATGTTCACTGCTAGATAAATTTGACTTTTCAATTTTACATCTTGCTCACGATTTTTTTGTTTCTGTCCAGGTCAAGGATACTTGCAACTTTTGGGAGCTAGGAGGTGGAACGGCATTTACTGCAGTTATTCCGCAGCTAATATACACTCCATTAAGAGAGGGAAGAATGGTGTCTGTTGGTATTGTGTTAGATTTATCAAAGCCCTCTCAGCTGTGGTTGACATTTGATAAATTTATCAGAACTATTAATAATGCTATGAAAAAATATGCTGAATCTAATCCAGATCACTTTAAATACATAAGTGCGAAGCGCATGGAAAAATTTGTGTCTGACCATCCAAATCATCCGGTAAATCCTTTTTCTATCCGGATATTGGTAATCTCGGCAATAATGTATAGAATGTCCCTAAGAAACGCTTCTTTTGAATTGCAGGATAAAGACTGCATTGAACCAACAGTCATCAGAACACACTTGATTGGGGCAAAATATGATGAATTTCAGGTATTTTCTTTTTGGATAAATTTGTGATAAATTAAATTCTGCCCGTGAAAGTTTTTTATTTAATTTGTTCTCTCTCCACCAGAATTTTGATCCAGAGAAGAAAAAAGTAGTATGCCGTGCTCTTCGCACAGCTGCTTTGATATACGGTTCTTCTCTTCACTTTACATCAACTGTGGAAAACACTCTTATCAAACGCGGAAGAGATGTTCTCTATTACGCTGGCTTTGAATTTAATCCACCGTGAGTAAGGAGGCATCCTTTCTTCTCCTTTGCCAAATTGAGCAGAGGAATACAGACATTAATCCTTTTTTTTAAATTTCAGAAGTTCTGTTTCTGTGGACCACAACTCACCGCTTTCTATTCCACCTGGTTTTGACAGTTTAAAAGATATTGGAGCAGTGTCTGGTCGGACATTCCATGCAGTAAAATCTGAGCTAGAGCAATATTTTTTGTCCCTCTTCCCACAGGTTTGTTGGTACTAAGAAAGTTGGAAAGAAAACTAATTATGATGTATGTAAGTAAGACCTTTCTTTTCTTTTCTAGGTTGAAGAAGAGAGTCTGGAGCCTGAAGACCCCTCAGCACATGTGTCATTTAGGGAGCCCCATCTTGATTTAATATTAAAGAGAAAAAGAAGAGAGGTAGTTTAGGAACAAAATTTATTTTATCACTTTTCAGTGGCACAGAGCAGTAAAGAAATTGGCTTTCTAATAGATATTAATAGTTGAATTGAAATACATTGTCTTAAGTGATTAAGCTACAACCTTGTGCACATGTTATGTAATAAGATTGGAATAATTATGTAATATTATATACCTCGTTAGACGTTTCATGAGAAGAGCATCATCTCAAGATTGTCTATACCACCCTTTCCCATGGAAGTGGGGTATACATTGTTCTTTCAGTCTTACATTGCAACTCACACATGTAATAAGCATTCATTCAAATTCAATAACAAGCATATATATTTAAATTTTTAAACATAGAACTTTTTATAAATGTTTATTATGTGTAAAATAATAATTCGATTTGGTAAAGACTAGAGCTATAAGGTTTGGACTGTCAAATTGTGCATTCGTTTTCTCCACTTCCTTTCTATAACAATTTTCTTAGTAATCGGTATCATCATAGTCAATTGACAGACCAACAGGGTTGTTGGCAGAGATCTGTCTCTTGATGTCATCATATGATGGCTGCACCTGTGTAGAAAAATTTAACATGAAGAAAAGAACATCCATCATCAACGTGCCATTGGTTAGTAAAAATATCAAACACACTTATGAAATAACAAAAACCACCTTTATTTTTAAAGTCAGGCATACTTTTGTCTACATTACCACCTACGCTCACTATTTATACAGCAATTGGAATAGCAGCAGAAAACATAGCAATATTTGACTGGTGGCGACTAATTGTAATCAGTCTTCTTCATCTATATCTAATATGGAACAAACATGCGTTGTTAAAAACTTGTCACAAAACAAAAAATACATGCACACAGTATTTTCGCAAGGAAAAAAGAGGTAGAACTTAAAAACAGCAAACATTAAGGACTCTGGACTTGAAAGTCATTGTCATTGGAGACCAAAGGCTGAGTATAACATGCATGAATTTAGCCTTCTCATAAATGTAGGTCGGATCAAGTGATTCCTAAGGGGACTACCTATTACTGAAGTCAACTGTTTACAGCAAAATATTTGTCTAAAATACACAAGTTGTTCGAATACAAACATCAGAAGCAAGACAGATTCACTAACAAGGATCACAAAAATAATGGAAAATAAATGCAAAATAATACTATATCTAATCAAAGTTGTCTTTCAAGATAAATTTTTAAGGGCTTCATCTACTTTGATCTACTCTAAAAACGGGCAGGCAAACCTTATGTTAATCACAAAAAAGGGAAAAAAAATCTTCAAAAGCGGGATTTTATTTACAGAATATTCGTAGAAGCATGTTATGTTAGGGTCGCACAACGATGAAACACGGGCCTACAAATTTGTGTTGTGTACCTGCCAGTACTCCTCGTCCCACTCGGGGAACAGCGTGGTGAACCCGGCCGGCTCCTCGCCCTGCTTGATCTGGATGATGGTGGCGCGGTGCCGGTGCACCGGGGACATCTTCAAGTAATCCTGGACAAGATAACGCGGACCGACTGTAGTGTAGGCCCTCAGCCCACGCCAACTTGAAAGCAGATAAACACAGGAAGCATTAAGCTTACCTCCGCCATCTTCAAACTGAGCTCCTTCTCCTTGGCGTGCGACTTGTCACCGATCCACACGTACACCTCGTCACCGGAGTCCAGGACCATCACGTCATCCTCGGCGAGATCCTGCGCGGTAGGGAGAGATTATTCATGGGGGGCCTTTTTACGGAAGGGCCAATGGGCATGGAGGTCAGGCGCGTTGTTCAGGTCGGAGCTGGCTGGCAAACAGCAGCCCGGTGGGTCACCGAGTTCAAGTTTAAGGCGACCTGTAGCGCCTGCCAGGTAGACCACCAACCCAGCACGCAGTGCACCGGCGTGGAGACGGTGGCCTACCTCGCCCCTGCCGCAGCCATGGCCGCAGCGCCATGCTCACCTCCTGGCTGTAGTTGTCGACCTCATTGACGCGGAACTTGCCCCGCAGCGTGATCTGGCAGTGGAACAGCCTGGCGGGCATGTGCGCGTGCTGCGAGTGGTGTCCCGCGTAGGTGTACTCGCCGGGGCCGCCCAGCGCGGTCCACAGCTCGTCGGGCTCGGAGCCCTCGCGCACCTGCTGCGGCTCCCTGCCCGGCGCCACCAGCCTGGCCGCGGCCAGCGCGGCCTCGCGCTCCGCGGGGCTGGACTCCTGGCCGAACCACACGAAGAGCGCGCCGGCCGTGTCCAGCACGAAGGCGTCGTCCGAGTTGAGGTTCTCGGTGCGCGCGGGCACCTGGTGCACGCGCACGTCGTCCGTGCAGGTGCCGCGGACGCGGAACAGCCGCGCGCCGTTGACGCCGTAGTGCTCGTCGTCGCGGCTGTCGCGGCTCGCGTTGCGGAAGCCGCTGTGGTGGCCGCCCAGGAAGACGATCATGCGGCCCTTGAAGATGGACATGAAGTGGCGAGGCTCGTGGCCCTGCACCACGCGCACCTGGATGGCGCGGCCGCCCAGGTCGTCGTCCAGGCGCACGGCCTGCATGGCGGCGGCGGCGCGCTCGTCCTGCGAGCTGGTCTCGCCCTGCCAGAAGTAGATGACGTGGCGCTCCTTGCCGCCCGCCGTCCCAGTGTACTTGACGACGTACGAGTCGCCGCCGAAGAAGCGGCCGTACGTCTCCTTGGGCACGGGCTGCAGCTCGAAGTCCTCGATGCGCCACACCTCCACGTGGCCCGCGCCCTGGTCGGGCATGAAGCCCACCGCGGGGCCCTGCTGCTTCACCAGGCGCCGCAGGTCGTCGGCGGGCAGCTCCACGGCCTCCTCCATCACGGCTGCAACCAACAGACCAACGTCGTCGTCACGCGTCATCGGGCACCAGCACGCCGAGCCCCGCCCCGCCAGCCCAGCCCCGGCCCTCACCGTTCAGCCGGTTGGGCGAGTAGACGTGGTTGAGCGCGCTGGGCAGGATGCTCTGGTCTCTCCAGTCCACGAAGTACTGCTTGAAGGCGGCCGGCTCGGCGCCCTCCACCACGCGGGAGATCTGGGAAGCAAAACAGCGAACGTGAGGGCAATGGTTCGACTCCCAGACACGAGGACCAAGCAGTCCCAAATGGCCGTACCTTGCTCCACCAGGGCCTCTTGTGCTCCTTCAGGAAGACCTGCGCCTTGTTCATGGCCTGCACCTTCTCATTCTTAGTGGAGTTGCGTCCGATCCAAACAAACAGCCCCGCCGTCCCCGCGTCCAGCACGAAGCAGTCCTGCCAACCGCGTCGGTTCAGTCACGTAGTAATTAAACACCAGGTCGATTAAAGAGGAATTAAGAGAAGACTGCGAATAAGACGCTACCCGCCACCGTTGCGTGCCGCTCGGCTATTTCGACAACTAACTAATTTTCAAACCTACTCCACTCACGTTGCTGTCGAGCTGAGCGTGCCGCAGCGGGTACTGGCCGACCTTGGACACCGTCACCCTCCCGCTGGGGTCCTCCCACACTTTGAACAGGGAGATGTCCTCCTAGGAAGACAAGCGTCGTGTTAAGACCTTGAACCGAAAATAGATAAAAAGGAGCGACGATTCAAAATAGGCGCTGCGTGTGAGTACCTGCTCCTTGATCTCGAACTCCTCGTCCTCGCCGCCGGAGGACTCGTCAGCCACCTCGTCGGCCGAGCCCGAGCCCAGCCTCTCGAAGAACGTGTCCACCTCGCCCTGGTCGCTGAACTCGTCTGCAAAGCCACCGGCCAATCAGAGCCGCCCTTCCCAAGCACCCGACGGGACGGAAGCTGGAGGCCTTACCGACGATGTGCACCCGGGAGCGGCCGCCGTGGTCCTGGTCGCGGATCATGTTGGCGGCGCTGATGGCGCGGATGCGCTCCATGCGCTTGGCGCCGCGGCCCACGTACACGTAGATGTCGTGGTTGGCGTCCAGGATGAAGCAGTCGCCGCGGTTCATGGCCGAGATGTGCGCCTCCACCTGCGGCACGGCCAGAGTGAGGGACTCGTGGAGGGGCTCGGCGAGGGAGGCCAGGCGTGCGACACCTCCGAGTCAAGCTCCGTCGAGCTCGACATCGCGGTGCCGATGGCCGCCGATGGCCTGCCCTTCGAACGAGGCTTCTACCGGCACCACATTTTGCTTGCTGGCTTGCCTGCTTGGAGCTCTATGCAAGGGCAGTCCGCCACTAGCGCTGCATGCGTCAAACCTTCCAACTAACTAAGTTCACCGCCCGGCCGTTCCCCTCGTCGTACGTACTGAAGAGGGAATGCCCAGAATGTCTCTGTCACGGCAGGCCGACGGCAGGCCGACGGCAGGCCGACGGCAGGCTAGGCTGTCGCTCTGTCTCTGTCCCACCTCTGCGGGACGCGCCACGAGTGAGAGGGAGCACAGCCTGCTGACTGGCAGTCCGGCGAACGCGGCTGCACGCTGGGCTGCCTACCCGCGCGGCGCTCCAAGCCCAGAGTCCCTGATCCCGAACGGCGATTTCGCCGTTCGGTCTCTCTCGCACTCGTGGAGCGTCCCGCAGGCGTGCGACAGAGACAGAGCGGCCGCCTGCTGGCCGCGGCGTGCAGTTTGTGCGTGGCGCGACACGCGAAAGACTCTGCGTCACGCGAAGGGCACTTGGCGTGCGCCAAGGCACGGCACGCCACGCCACGCCGGCAGGACTTGCCGCCTCGGGGCAGAAACAGAGGCAAACGTCTGAAAGGCGACATTTTTAACTTGGTTCGGCTTTTCTCATGCGGAAGCAAGAAAAACTAAAAACTGAGAGGACCTCTGGGACGCGGCCAGGTGCGTTTCGCTATCGCGCTCGCTGGACGCGCGATCTCGACCCGGCCTTATCCTCGCTACACTCGACTAGGCAAGCGTGTCTATCAGTCTATCGAAAACGTCCAACGACCTCTACATCCGCGACCTCTAGAGGGCCACTCGTGCAAAGCGGCGCTACAGCTTGCGAACAGTACCACACGACAGGGCTAATTATATTGTTTTCCATTTGGCGGATTAAATAATTGCTGCTTGATTGCAGAGCCGAAGTCACGAGGGCAGCGATATCCAACAAAAGAAACGAAAGTCTACGAGGCGGTTCTATCTTTTGTTGTATTTTACCAGATCACTACACGTGCGGACGCGTGCGGAGGTTCTGAGGAATACTCGAAAAAGAAAAAAAATGAGTTGAAAAAAGTAAAAATAGAAAAATGGGAAGCTAATGTACCGTGCTGAGGTTCTGAGATACAGTTGAAAGTAAACGAGTAAATAAATACGTTAAAAAGGTGAAATTGAAAGAGTACAATATACCAGTACTTACGTCTTCCTGCCCGTGGTCGAGAGCAAAAAGTGAGAGTAGCGAAAATACAGAGCATTACTAGATTGGACACAGAACACACACCGAATCTAAACATCTAGTCAGTGGTCCTGACGTCTATTTACAGGCCGAAGACGGGCAGCCAAAGCTTCAAACTTTACACATGAAGACAAGCTCGAATTAATTTTTCATTTTCCCTTCCTTACCGATCACTCTATTCACTGCTACTATCCCGTCTGAACATTGCTCTATCAAAACGAAACGAATGGCCTTGACGACGGCATCCCAGCCATCTAGCGGCCGCACTGAAACATTTGCAGTTCGTTTTGAATCATCTTTCTCTCGCCGATGGTGGAAGACTCGGGGCGAGACATTGCAAGGCGTGAGTGTTTCTATACAGGCGGTGGTGACGTCACTGCTCGTAATCCTATTTCGGTAGCGTCGAATTTCCGCGGCCTCGCTGCTAGGTTTATGTACAGTTACAGTGTACACCCTTCACGCTCAGCGGCACTCCGCCGGTTCGAGAACGCAGCGCGGAATATTGACTGGATGTTGCGGAGTGCGACGCTTCTGTTTACCTTCTTGACTCGCACGTTGCGCTTGCCCTTCACTTGGTACAGGCAGTTCTCCCAGTTGTTGGGGTCGAAGTGCTTGAAGCCGGTGGCCACCCCGCCGGGCAGGTAGCGGATTCCTGCGGCAGTCCGTGCAGGTCAGTTGCATAAAACAACAAGAAAACAAAACGACAAACAAAAGCGTGGGGTCCACCTTACCGGACTTGAAGTAGGAGAGGAAGAGGTCGGTCTCGTGGCCCTGCACCTCCCGGTGCTCGATGGGGCCGCCGCCGAGGTAGTCGTCCAGCTCCACGGAGAACACGGCCACGGCGCCGGCCTCGTCCTGCGGCAAGAGAGAAAGCGCGCCTTGGTCGTGGGTTCGAATCCCGGCGCCGGCTCCCCGAGTCGGTCGGGCGGGGCCGCCGCTCCCGACGCCCGGGACGCCCCTCGCCAGCCTGACATGCCTCGCCCTTAATTGGGGACGAGACGAGATGCTCCCTCGGCCGCGGAGGGTGGAGGCCGTTGTTCTTGAATCCCAATGAGCGGCTTCCTCGCAGAGGGAAGCCGAGGGGTAGGGGGGCGAAGGAGGGGCGCGTCACAGTGGGCCAGAGACCGGTGGAGGCGGCCAAAACTCTAGACGCGTTTTGAGCTCCAGAGTCGCTAAATGGGACTCGAACCGAACGTGTGACCCCACCAATGGATTGCTCTCCGAACGAGGAATCCATTGGTGGGGTCACACGTTCGGTTCGAGGCCTGTTCAGTGACTCTGGAGCTCAAAACGCGTCTAGAGTTTTGGCCGCCTCCACCGGTCTCTGGCCCACTGTGCGCGCCACGCACAGCGCCACGCACAGCGCCACGCACAGCGCCACGACATCCCTGGTCCCGGCATGGTCCCTCCTTGCTGCCTCGCTGCCGTGCTGGCGCCGCGCTGCCGGTGGCCTTCTAGCCCTCTGCTTCTACGCCGCAGTGCCGGTGGCGGGGCTGGCGGGGCTGGAGGGCGCCGCGGGAGACAGCACGCAGACTCCGCCGACGTGCCCCACCCCACCCCCTATTGCATGGAGCTCAGCAGGTCCGGCAAGGCGTGCGGCGTGGAGGCCGCCAGACGTCCCCCCTCCACCCCTTTTTCCTCGAAAACCCAACGACACCCTGCATATCTGTGCGAAATTTGGCGCGGATCCCCGCCAAGTGAGGCAGTGTCAAAGGAAGAGCGTGGAGCTTTGTAGGCTGAGCTGCAATGCGAGGTGGGTACGCAAAGTAAACCCAACGGGATACAGAGCAGTGCACCCGCCCAGAGCCAGCCCAGCACTCCCCGGGGAAGGCCTGGACGCCTGGCTTGTAAAACTTTTTACATTGTGGCGGTGGCGTGCCCGGGACGCGACGCGCGCCGTTCAAAGGCGGCGCCAAAGGGCGAACCGGCCCCACCCTTCCCAGTGCCCACGCTGTGCCTGCGCTCCCCGGGGATCGTCCGGGCGCCCCCCGGCCGGGTGACCCTGGCCGCCCTGGCCACCCTGGCCACCCTGGCCGTGATGAATGATCGAGTGTCGTCCCTGGCGGGCTTGGCCAAGGCTGGCCGAGGTCCTGCCCTGGCCCCGCCCCGCCCCGCCCCCCGCACGCACTCGTTGGGCGCCACGCCGAGAAGCACTCGGGCGCGGCCACGCTCATGCACTATCACTCGGCCGGCACCGCGATGCGGCGATGCGGCGATGCGCCAGAAGTGGCAGAAGGTGTCCGCTTATCACCGGCGCCGCGCGGCAGCGCGCCAACCAGCCGGCCGGCCGCGTCCACCCCGTCAGTGTCCCACACGCCCCGCCCCGCCCGCATGTTTGCCCGAGATAGCGAGCGCACCGCACCGGCCGTGTGTTGCCGTGTTGCCTGCTGCCAGGACTAATCGTACGCGGCAGGCAGGCCTCTGTCTCTCTCGCACCCCCACGGAGCGCCCTATGACTGCGAACGAGACAGATTGGTGTCGGCACACTGTTTGGAGTCAGCCTGCTTCACTAGGTCGTTTCCGGTTTTATTTTGGTCGATTGTCGGGTGCGCTGCGCCTCCAGATAAAGTGCTGGAGTTGCTTTTGGAGCGTTACAACGGCGCGCGCGGCCCGGACGGGACGCACCCAGACACACATCCGGGCCCCGGAAGGAGAGTGGCCGGAGTCGAGGACTCGGTGGCGCCGGGCAAGGCAAGGCGCCGGGCGTCTAGCGGCGTCGCACTGCAGTCCCATTCCGAACGGTATTGCTTTCATACGGCCGTCTCTCTCGCACCCCCACGGCACACGGCGCACCACACGAGTGCGAGAGAGACGGAGCACCGTGTCGGTGGTGGAGGGGCGGCACTCGATTGCCTTCATGGGCGCGAGCGGGATTAATCGCCGCTTGTTCCTATGGCGCGGTGCTGCGGTCGGCTGCGATATTTTCGGTCGATAGCCCCCCCCCCTCTTATTTACCAAGTCGTCAACAGGCACCCGGGCGCACGTGAAGCTCACCTGTGAAGTTTCCTGGCCCTGCCAGAAGTGGATGTCCCAGGAGAAGCTGCCCATGCCCAGCAGGCCGCCGCACTTCTTGGTCTGCAACGCGGAAACAAAGTTCAGGCATCCCCGCGACTTCCATGTGGAAACTCCTCTCTCTATCTCTCTCTCGCTCTTACCGACAGCACGAGGTACGAGTCGCCGACGTAGAACTTGCCGAAGTCATTTTCAGCGACGGGCTTGAGGTCGAAGTTCTGCAAAAGAGAAGAAACGCTTTAAATCCCTGCGCAACAAGGGCGCCGTTAGACCAGGCCGCTCATGAGACTGGTTCGGCGACGGGGCCTCGAGGGGGCGTTGAGGGGGCGCCTCGCCGGGGAGGGGAGGGGGGGGGGCAACAGGGCGGCGGAAGGCGAGCAATACCTGTCCGCCGTCCGTCAGCCTTGCCGCCCTGCCGCGCCCTGCCGCGCCCTGCCGCGCCCTGCCGCGCCCTGCCGCCAGGTCGCTGCACCCCACTGGTGACCTTTCCACCGGCCTGCATCCCTCCTTCTGCCGCGGCCACGCCCGCCCCGCCCCGCCCCGCCCTCTCCAGCCGCGGTGCCAAACAGTTCCAAATCCAGTCTCCTTCGGTCCGCACCGGTTCGCGCCTCCGCAGCCTAGAAAAGGTTAGTTTTGATTGGCCTTTGATAAAGACGAGCGACTCGTCACAACCTCCTTTGCCTTGGCCGCGGCGCCGCGGACCGAAGGTCTTTGATTACATCCTTATCGTAATCTGAAGGCCGTGCCTGCACTGCAGGTGGTTGGCTAGAGTCCTGCACGCGGACCCTAAAGAGGAGATTAGAGAGGGGGAGTACACGCAAAAAAATAAATCGATTCAGAGCTAAAAAGTTAGCACCAGTGCTAATTTATCTAGCTCTGTAGGCCCAGCAAAATTTTTAGCTGCACAGCTAAAAATTATTAGCTGGGTAAATTTAGCTATGGAGAAAACGGAGATTAGTGGCAACTCTAGCTGCATTAGCATTGTAGAATTCTTCATGATTATGATATTTATTAGAAGGTGCGGGATGTTCTGTCTAAGACGGACCAGTCATCCTGAGGCGTAAGGCTCCTCCGGGGCAGTCGTGTCTCAAGAGACTTTAAAAATTGCTGACCATGGGAGATGTCACGGTGAGAACATGGGGAGCATCCGTTCCCCGACTAACCCATCTCTCACTGCTAGCCATCAGCGCGAGCGAAGCGCCACGGAACGAACCTAGCCTTGCCCTATCTCCTAAACATTTTTGCTGCATTGTAAATCCCATTTTTGCAGCGATTGATTAGCACTGCAGCAAACTGAAGTAGCTGAATCCTCCAGAAATATAGGTTCCGGGAAAGCCGATCTCCGGCAGACCCTCAGCTAAAGGAGCAGCGCTACTCAGCAGAGGTCGCTAGCAGAGTTGCAATTTTTTTAGCTGTGGTGCTAAAAAACGCCAACTAAGAAAGTTAGCTCTGGACTGACTTTTATTTTTTTGCGTGTAGAGACGCGTCTAGAGTTGGTTAGAGTGCCACCCCTCTCCCTTCAGGCATCCGGCATTGCAGTGTAGGGTGCCCAGCGACCCTCGGTACCGGCACCGGCTTGCGCTCGCTCCTTGCCTTCAAGCTGGGAGCGCTGAACGCCGAGCGGCAGCGCTGCGCCTGACCACGCCTGACGCCTGCGGTGGAGCGGGTAGACTGTCCCGGGCGGCCGGGGTGTCGCGCGGGCCGGCCCACCCTCTCTCGCGCGGGCGCTCCGGGTCGCCGCCTCGCCGCTTCTCTCTCTCTCTCTCTCTCTCTCTCTCTCTCTCTCTCTCTCTCTCTCTCTCTCTCTCTCTCTCTCTCTCTCTCTCTCTCTCTCTCTCTCTCTCTCTCTCTCTCTCTCTCTCTCACGGCCGTGGTGCTTTGCAGCCTGCATCGCGATTCTGCACTGCGGTTCGTCGCTCTCTGTCGCACTCATGGGGCGTCCCGTACGAGTGCGAGAGAGACAGAGCGATGGGCGGGTCCGGGTGGCGCGGTCCAGTCTTGCCGCAGGGCCTCCCCTCCGCTCTGGAGACGTCCCGGTCGTCCCGGCCGCGTAATCCGAGGTGCGGAATGTGTGCCGGTGTTCCCGGTCGCGCTGGTCGCGCTGGTAGTCGCGCTGGTAGTCGCGCTGGTCGCGCTGGTAGTCGCGCTGGTCGCGCTGGTAGTCGCGCTGGTCGCGCTGGTAGTCGCGCTGGTAGTCGCGCTGGTAGTCGCGCTGGTCGCGCTGGTAGTCGCGCTGGTCGCGCTGGTAGTCGCGCTGGTCGCGCTGGTAGTCGCGCTGGTCGCGCTGGTAGTCGCGCTGGTCGCGCTGGTAGTCGCGCTGGTCGCGCTGGTAGTCGCGCTGGTCGCGCTGGTAGTCGCGCTGGCCGCGGGCGGTTAGTCTTCGCTTCTTCTCTCTCGCACACGTACGGTCCAGTCCACGAGTGCGACAGAGACAGAGCGAACCGCCTCGTCACCGCGACCGTGGTCAAGCCGATGGGCCGATGGCCGGTGGGCCAATCCGTTGTGACGGAAAGCCGGCCGTGCGGTCGCGGTGTCGCGGGGCAGCCCCAGCTTGCCTCAGCCTCAGCGTGACTCACACACACACACACACACACACACACACGCACGCGCCGCACGTCGTGTGAGTCGGAGTGACGTCGGACAGGTGCTCTATTGAAGGGTCGTCGATGACGTCCCTAGTAGCACAGACCCGTCGCTTGACGGTCGCCTTCGACGCGCCGCGGCGACACTCGGGAGTCGCCGCGGCGACAGCCTACCATGGCCCCTCCGGCTAGCGCGCCGCACGTTGCTTGTAAATGGTGCCCACGCGTCATCTTGGCGACATCCCTCCCGAACGCTCGGAAACCTCCCGGGTGGAGTTAGCGCGGCGACAGCCCCGTGGCGACTGCCGGCTTGGCGGTGACGCTCCAACACTCTGGTGACTCCGTACTCGAACGCCCGAAAACCTCTTGGGTTGAGTTAGCGCGGCGACAGCGCCGTGGCGACCGGCGACTGGGCGGTGACGCTCTAACACTCTGGCGACTCCGTATTTGAACGCTCGAAAACCTCCCGGGCGTAGTTAGCGCGGCGACAGCGCCGTGGCGACCGCCGACTTGGCGGTGACGCTCCGCTACTCTGGTGACTCCGTACTCGAACGCTCGGAAACCTACCGGGCGGAGTTAGCGCGGCGACAGCGCCGTGGCGACCGCCGACTTGGCGGTGACGGTCCGCCGCTCTGGCGACCCTGTACTCGAACGCACGAAAACTTATCGGAATCAGTTATTGTGGCGTTTGCGCCGCGGCAGTAGCCAACGTGGCAGTAACGCCCAGATACCCAGGCGCCTCTTTTCCAGGGTGCCCAAGATTCTCTCGGACAACGATATTGTGGCGGCAGCGCTCTGGCGGCAGGTGCCCGGGCGGCCACTCGTGGAGATGAAGAATATGCACTGATCGTCGGACGGCTCCCCTCATCGTGTCTTCGTAGGTTCGGGGTAGCGTGCGCGCTCTCGGATCTACAAGACTAGGGTTCAAATCCCGCAGTGTCGAATAAAAACTTGTGTTCAACTACACACGTCACTCGAGACACATTTTTTTTTCATGCTAGTATTATGAGCGGTTCGGTAACCTGGCATGATCGCCGAGGCGACTGTCGCCCTGCAAGCGCTGTGGCGGTTGCCGCCGGCGATGCTCGGGCGACAACCCCAGGCGCTAGGCGCAAGGGCGTCCCCATTTGTGCCACTTCGTGTAGCGCTCGGCCGTCGCCGGCGCTAGCGCCACGTTAGCGAGCGTCGCCGCGGCGCCGCGCGGGCGATTGCCGGGCGGCCGGTCTGTGCTACTAGGGGTGGCTGATGACACATGCGATGAGACACGGCGTCGTCACGGCCCGGCAGGGACCCTCTCTGCCAAAGATCGGTCAGAGCTGCCGTCACGGGCCCTCTGGTGAAGATGGGTGGTCCGTCCCGTTCGGTCGGTGCACGATCCAGGAACGGTATCGGGAAAGCGGAGGGGGCGGTTTGCTGGAATCAGCTGGAGCTGGCTGGAGCCTGCGCACAGCGTCGCCGCCGTCGCCGGTGCAGCGCCGCGGCCTGGGCTGGGCTTTGGCGGAGACGTCTCAACCAGTGCACCCCCTCCTCTCCCCAAGTTACAGTGTTGCGACGCCCATTTTTCACGTCTCCGCCTGCGGAGAAAAATTCTCCTTCCAGGCGTCGCGGCTCCTTGCCGCGTGACGAAGGCGAAAACAAGCAGGCGGTGCGACGAAGCGTGCCAAGCCGATTTCCGCCACTTTTTCGTTTTTCTTCCCTCTTCCTCTCCCTCTCCCTCTGCCTTTCCCCGTCCGGCCCATTGATTTTGCAGTGCCGGGCGCGGCGCCGCCCCGGCCGAGCAGCAAGGCAGTGACAAGTTAATCCGCCGCAATCTATTATGGACGCGACACGACGAAATGAGCCTCCACGTCATGTCGGGTCATCGTCGCCGCCGGGCCGCAGCACAGTGGGCCAGAAGACCGGTGGAGGCGGACAAAACTCACGACGCGTTTTGAGCTCCAGAGTCGCTAAACAGGCCTCGAACCGAAGGTGTGACCCCACCAATGGATTCCTCGTTCGGAGAGCAATCCATTGGTGGGGTCACACGTTCGATTTGAGTCCCATTTAGCGACGCTGGAGCTTAAAACGCGTATAGAGTTTTGTCCGTCTCCTCCGGTCTTCTGGCCCACTGTGCGCCGGGGAGAGAGGCCAGAGTGGCCGGCATGGCAGGCCCGGCAGGCTGTTGCTGCCTTGGCCTAGCGTTAGCCATGCGTTAGCGTTGTCACTGTCGTGCTTTGCATCCGTAATGGCTCGTTGGCGCTAGAGCTGCTTGCCCTGAACTCGGTGCTGGTAATGATTGCCGCCGACGTGGTAGTTACACCGTCAAGGACACGCCGCGGCCGCGACAAAGAGCCTCTTCGTCTCTCTGTCACCCCTACGGGACGTGGTAGTTACACCGTCAAGGACACGCCGCGGCCGCGACAAAGAGCCTCTTCGTCTCTCTGTCACCCCTACGGGACGTGGTAGTTACACCGTCAAGGACACGCCGCGGCCGCGACAAAGAGCCTCTTCGTCTCTCTGTCACCCCTACGGGACGTGGTAGTTACACCGTCAAGGACACGCCGCGGCCGCGACAAAGAGCCTCTTCGTCTCTCTGTCGCCCCTACGGGACGTGGTAGTTACACCGTCAAGGACACGCCGCGGCCGCGACAAAGAGCCTCTTCGTCTCTCTGTCGCCCCTACGGGACGTGGTAGTTACACCGTCAAGGACACGCCGCGGCCGCGACAAAGAGCCTCTTCGTCTCTCTGTCACCCTACGGGACGTGGTAGTTACACCGTCAAGGACACGCCGCGGCCGCGACAAAGAGCCTCTTCGTCTCTCTGTCCCCCTACGGGACGTGGTAGTTACACCGTCAAGGACACGCCGCGGCCGCGACAAAGAGCCTCTTCGTCTCTCTGTCCCCCTACGGGACGTGGTAGTTACACCGTCAAGGACACGCCGCGGCCGCGACAAAGAGCCTCTTCGTCTCTCTGTCACCCCTACGGGACGTGGTAGTTACACCGTCAAGGACACGCCGCGGCCGCGACAAAGAGCCTCTTCGTCTCTCTGTCACCCCTACGGGACGTGGTAGTTACACCGTCAAGGACACGCCGCGGCCGCGACAAAGAGCCTCTTCGTCTCTCTGTCCCCCCTACGGGACGTGGTAGTTACCCCGTCAAGGACACGCCGCGGCCGCGACAAAGAGCCTCTTCGTCTCTCTGTCCCCCCTACGGGACGGGGTAGTTACACCGTCAAGGACACGCCGCGGCCCGCCCAAAACCTTTCGTCTTTTGTCCCCCCTCCCCTTGTTCCCGTAAAACACCCCGGCCCCGGCCTCTTCGTCTCTTGCCCCCCTACGGGACGTGGTATTTAAAGGAAAGGACCCCCGGCCGCGACAAAGAGCCTTTTTCCTTTTTCCTCTGTCACCCCTACGGGCCCCGGGGGGGGGTTTTTCCCCGTGGGGGGGACACCCCGCGGCCGGGGCGGGGGGGGCCCTTGGTCTCTTTGTCACCCCTTAAGGGAAAGGGTTTGGTCACCGTCAAGGCCCCCGGCGGCCGGGGCAAAGGGCTTTTGTTTTTGGGGGCCCCCCTAGGGCGGGGGTGGGGGTCCCGTCAAGGCCGGGGGCCCCGGGCGACAAAGGGGGCCCTTGGGTCTCGGGGCCCAATAGGGGGGCGGGGGGGGGGGGTATTTCCACCTTTCCGGGGAAACCCCGGGGGCCCCCCGGGGACAAAAGGGGGTCTTTTCTCTCTGTCACCCCTAGGGGTCCCGGGTTGGTTTTTACACCGTAAAGGAAACCACCCCGGGGCCCCGCGCCCAAAGACCCTCTTCGTCTCTCGTCACCCCAAAGGGACGTGGTATTTACACCGTCAAGGACACGCCGGGGCCCCCGCGACAAAGAGCCTTTTCTTCGTCTCTCGTCCCCCCCTACGGGGTGGTATTTTTCACCGTCAAGGAAACGCCGGGGGCCGCGACAAAGAGCCTCTTCGTCTCTCTGTCACCCCTACGGGACGTGGTAGTTACACCGTCAAGGACACGCCGCGGCCGCGACAAAGAGCCTCTTCGTCTCTCTGTCACCCCTACGGGACGTCCCATGAGTGCGAGAGAGACAGATAGCGGCTCTTGAGAGCCTAGTCAGCCGCAGTGGGTCCAGAAAACATTTTGAAAAGTGTCCACGCCCCCAGAAAAGGGCACGAGACCCCTCCTTAGGCCCCGCCACCCTGCTACGCTGCTACGCCCTTTCGTCGAGACAAAAGAGCACCAAAGAAATTAGCACGCTTGTCGGAGGGCAGCGGGGCAGCGCGGCGAAAGGGGGAGGGTGGGGGGCCCCCGGAATATGGCTCTGACGCGAAATATGACTCATGCATTCGCGCGTTCGCGTGCGTTGGCTTTCCCACGGAAGTCCAGTCAAAAGACTCGGAAGGCGGACCGGGGAGGGGGCCGCCGGCCGCGGCCGGGCTGCCCCCGATGTCGGGCACAATCACTGTACTATCGGGACCACGCGCGCACGCACACGCTCACGCACACGCACGCTGTCCGCGCGGGACTTTTGGCTACTCGACAGGAAAGGACTCCCGATGACGAATTCTTATCACTTTTTTTTATGGACCATCTCTTGCGGCGGTCCGCCGCCAGTGGATCGGAAAAGCCTATTTTTTGGCCGGTTTCGGTTCGGGGGTCGGGGGGCCGAAACGGAGCAAGACCGGGCAGACCGGGGTGTGGGCAGGCCTGCTAGGTCTCCAAAACGCTGGCGTGTGCTGCCCGCGCCGGAGCAGCCGAGCAGGACCGTTCGGAAACGACCCACCCCTCGAAACCCCAAGCGACTCGTGGGCCCCGTCTCTCGCACCCCCGCGCAACGCCCCACGCCCAGCGAGTGCGACAGAGACGGAGCGACAACAGTGCGGCACCGGTCAGCACCCTGGCCGCCAACATGGAACATTTCGGCGGGGCCTCCATGAGTCACCGAGTGACAGTGACTTGTAGTCCTGCGCCACCGCGCCGCCGGTAGAGAGAGAGAGAGAGAGAGAGAGAGAGAGAGAAAGAAAAAGAGGGGGCCAAAAAGAGGAGAAAACAAAGAGCGCCGCGTAACGACTGGGGCCTCGGCCGTCGCGCTCCCCGGTAGGGCGGAGCAGCGAGCTGTTTCCGAACAAAGCTTCGTCTCTCTCTCTCTCTCTCTCTCTCTCTCTCTCTCTCTCTCTCTCTCTCTCTCTCTTTCCTCTCCCCTCCCCTCTCTCTCTCTCTCTCTCTCTCTCTCTCTCCCCTTCGCTCTTCAACGCAAGGCCCCTTGAGTAGTGCGAGAGAGACAGAGCGCCGAGAGCACCGCCTCCCTGGGGAAAGGCAGAGCGCAAAAACGGTCTGGGATTCGGTGAGCCGGTCGTCGTGGGACACTGCTTGCTTGTGCGCGCGCGGGTCGCGGGTCGCGTGTGCGCGGGCCACTGTTGACCCTCCCAGCCTGAGCGGCGGCAGCCACGCTGACCGAGAGAGCACCCTGCCCAGGGGGTGGCAACGGCCTAGGGAGAGCGTGAAGCGATGCTCGCGCCGTCAGTGCCGAGGTTGCGCACTTGTTCGAGATTATGAAAACTAGACTGTGTTTTTCAAAACGCTTTACACCGATGGAAAGGGCTTGAAATTTAGGGTGCATTAGGCTAATTGCTCTTCTCGAAACTCCCCCCGTACCTAATATTAAAGTGCAGTAAAAACACCGAAAAACACAAAAATCTTAAAATTGAGGAAAAACTCGAATGCGCCATGTTGATGTAAATGATTTCGCCCTTGTGTTCGGTTGCATTGGAAGTATCGGGCAGTCTACTAGGCCTAATGCACCCCAAATTTTGTGCTCTTTTGATATGTGCAAAGCGTTTTGCAATCAACGGGCTAGATCTTACAATCGAAGCAAAATAAGTAACCCCTGCACCTTACTCGCGCATAGCTTCACGCGCTTCCTAGGCCGTTGCCGCCCCCTGACCCTGCCTCTGCCTCCCCACTTGTGGTTGCCCTAACTACACTTTTTTTTCAGTGCACTGTCGGAAAAGTGGGAAAATGGAAAGCGAGCCGGCCGGGGAGTCCGTCGATACACTCCGCCACATCCAAAGTAAACACGGGAAGGTTATCCAGGTCACGTGAGGGGAGGAGCCCGGAGCCCGGGGATGAAATGGGGGGGGGGCATGGAAAATGGCCATGAAGTTGGTGTGCGGCCCCCCGGGTGCCCCCCGGCTTGCCGCGCTGGCTTGCCGCGCCGGCTCGCCCCCTCGGCGATCTGCAATGCCCGGCAATGCCGCCTCCCCCATCCTTGGCGGCAGTTAGGGGTGGTTGAGGCTGCGGGGTGCAGTCCAGTCCACAGGCCGCCCAGCAGGCCGCGAGTGGCCCAACGTCCAGACGGCGCCCGGCCCGTCCGTCCGGCCGCCGCGGGGCGCAACACGCCCCATGGGGTGCAAAGAGGGAGGGGGGCAGAAGCAGACCCAAGTGCAATCTCGAGCCTCGGAACGAGGAAATCAAATTAGGCCGACTGGAAGATACGGTCGCGGACGAACTGGGCGAGGAGCGGGGGAAGTGTCGCCGATGAAAATGGTCATCCCGGAGACATGCCGCGAGTAACGAGAGCAAACAAGAGCAGGAGGAACCGGCGCCCTTGTTGTTGTTGTTGTTGCTTGGCCTGCTCACCTCCACCCGCCAGATCTGCAGGCCGGCCGCCTTGCCCGCGTTGGCGAACTTCTCGTCCGACATGGTGGCGCAGCACAGCTCCAACGTGTCCTTCGCTAGCGCTCGCTAGCCGCCCCTCGCGGATCCGCGGATCGAACCGGAGCGGTTGCGCCTCGAGTCCAAGTGCGTCGCTGCGTCGCTGCGTCGCCACGGAGGCTGCTCTGCGATCTGCGCTACCTGGATCGCGGCGGTGTCGGCGTGCTCTGCGGCGAGCGGTGCTGTGACTGCCAGACTGCCGCGGCGGAGCGCGGAGCGGGGGCTCAACTGACAACACTCCGCTGGGAGCGGGGCGGAGTGGTTCGGCTAGCGGGCTAGCGCACCGCGCACCGCTCCGCGTCGCCCCCACCCCGCGGCCCTTGCGCCTTGCGCCCACACCCCCACGGGGGTCCCCGCGGCGTCGCAGCGAGTCGCAGCCTGCGGGCGCCGCCGCGCAGAGGGCAGCACCGCGTCGCACCGCGGACCGCGGCCACGGGTCACGTCGTCACGTCGCCACCCGGTGACGTCACGTGACGTGACGCACAAATTTGAGTTTCAGATAAAGATGAAGCAGCGCCGCTGAGGGGGAAGGCCACTCCTGGACCGGTGCAAGTGGCGCGTGGCGCTGTGGTGGGGCGCGGCCGGTTGGAAACCGGATTTGAATTTGAAGGCAGCGCGCGCTTCGCCTTGCACTTCCGCCGCCCTCCACCAATGGGAGCGCCGGCTCACCTAACCTAACCTGCAGCCGGGGGCCCTGTGGGTCACAACCACAAAGCAAGCAGCGAAGCAACGGCAACTCGCCAATTTCGCCCTTCCAGCTCCTCCAACAACCATGAGTGTATGCCTTCTGTGCAGGCGACTGACGCGTAGCAAGCTCGACGCACTGCTCCGAGCGGCCTGTAAGTTGTCATCACAGTCGTCGTCCGCAAGAGCAGATTCAGCCCCCGCAGCATCCACCCCGGCAGTGGACGAGGAGACTGTCAAGCACCTGGAGAGGCTTTCCCTGGTCGACTTCGCCAACAAAAGGGGCGTTGCTCGCCTGGAGGAAGCCATTCGGTTCGCCAACAGACTCGATGAAGTTGACACCACAGACGTGGAGCCTCTAGTCTCTGTTCTGGAGGATGAGTGAGTTCCTGTTCATCCAGTCCGGTCCAGAACCACCAAGTGTCTTTCAGACTGTAACTTTATCTTCTGTCTTTTCACAGGGTTCTTTATTTAAGAGAGGACAAAGTGACTGAGAAGAACGATGTGAAGGTCGTTTTGTCAACTGCAGTCGTAACGGAGGAAGACTTCTACGTTGCCCCACCAGGAAACATTCCGCTTGTTGTTCGAGATCTCTCAGAGTTGAAGTAGACTGCTTTTAATTAACTTAGGTTTTTTTTTACCTCTGTGATGATGGCTATGAAAAAAGTTTTGAATTTGTGTGATAAACACGGCTTTGTGAAACCTGTCTGGAAAGGTGCCGAGGTTTCATCCTTGAAATTTGGACCCATTGGGGAGTTTTTAGTTAATAATGTGAGGCAAGAGTGGTATCTTGGCAATGTCATAGATAGGAATGATAATGTTTTTCCTATCCATTCACATGCTTCACAATTAAGTGGTTTAGGTAAGAACAAGTCATGCAGAGCAAATGTGTTCATTTTGATGTTTTTAATTTCTTCATCTCTTTTCTTTTTTTCTTTCAGGCATTGAAGAGCCTTTCTGCCAAATTAAGAGTTTGTGTCAAGGTGTTTTGCCTTTTGGGATTGCACAGACAATATGTGATGGTACTCTCATTCATAAGCAAATCAATGACACTACACCACCTCATGCTGCATTTAATCCGTCTCATAGAACTTGCTTGCGGTCTCTCTTATTTGTGTCACCAACTGATGGACGTCAGAAATTCTATACTTGGCAGCAGAAGCGAAAGATGTGGTGGAGAAAGTTTTCATCTCATCCTGGACGCTTCTCACTTTCCGACATTATAGAAACTCGCTCAGAGGATAAAAATGTTGATGGAAATGACCTTAGAGTCAACATACTTGCTGAGTTTGATTGGGGACCTACAATTGTTGAGACTGTTCATCTTTCCTCTCTAAGTTCTTCCCAGCTTTCTAATGAACAATTGGAGGCTTTGAAGGTATGGTACTGTTAAAATATTACTTCCCTCACAGCTGCTTTCCTGTTCCAAGTCTTTTGTTCCTATAACTTTTTCATGCTTTCAGGTAAAACAGGGGCACAAGCACGTTCTTCCAGATGTAGTGGAATGCATTTTGTCCCTGGAAGTGGCATCACTTGCATTCTTATGCGATGCCTTCTCAGAAAGTTCAAAGAGACTATTATTAAGACTCCATCGACGACTTGCTCCATTAAAAGTTGGATTTGTTGTGAACCTTTCAGGTACTTTGAAGTTTGCTATAAAGTAATCAATTTTATTGCTGGGGAAAGGCATAAACAATGTATTTTAACCAATTTTAGATTCATCTGTTTCTGATAGACTGCTAGAAGTGGCAAAACATCTATCACTTTCGTTGCGCCAGAAAGCAGTCAGCACATTAATGCTACCTGATATCATCAAAAAATCTCAAGACCTTCAGATTAATAGAAATGATGAGATGGGTATACCTTTCACAATTATACTATCAGATTCTACTCTGAACGATGGTATTATCCATTTGTACAGCAGGGAAACAACATTAAAGGTAGGAAGAGACTTCATGTCCATTCACAGGGTTTCATCTTTTGATTACTCTATAACAATTCCTTTTTGTCTTGCAGGAACAGGTCCACATTAGTAAAGTTCCTGATTATGTGAAGCTTCTGGTGAAGAACTTTTAGGGGAACATAAAATGAGGATAGATATGGTAGATACGAGAGAATTGCATTGAATTTACACGCCTTCAAAATGCTAAAGAAGAATGAAACTGATGCAAGTGTGGACTTATCAAGAAATAAATAATGTATAGATAAAATGCTCTTTATTCAAACTGAACGTTTCATTGGAAATACAACTGAGCCATGAATGCCATGTAAACAAATGATCTGCCCTATAGCCCCTCTCTTTATCCTAGGTAAGTATATTCTATCTAGAAAAAAGGACTAGCAAAACAATTGAAAATATCCCACAATTTCAGAAATTGTTGAAACCAGATCAAGAAGAGAGAGAAGGTGAAATTTCTCTTACTTAATGTGAGGAGACAATTTAATGTGGGGTGAGAACCTTTCAAAGCACACTTCCTTAGGATAATCAATTATGGACTAGCAGATACATAAGGCTTAATGGTTTAGTTTGGAATAAAGGGGACTGCTGATGGCTTGCTGATCTGATGGATGGATGAAAGCTTGGGCTCAACTGTGAAAAGGCTCAGTTGCTGAATCCTGACCAAATGAATAAATAAAAATTCATGAAGTAAATTGCTTACTTTCCTTGTGCTGTATTGCTAACAATTCCTTTGGCACTCACAGGAGCTTTGCATCTGATTAGCATGATTATGAACACAGAATAAGACACTACATACACAGCTGTCCAATTTGTACCATAAATTTGACATTAAATCAAACAAGCATACATTGTGGAAAGGGAGGCAAGAAAGAAGTTCCACCCATGATTTTAAAACTTGATGAAAATAGTGGTCAATGGTTTAGTCAATTGTGTTAATTAGGATTCAGAGCAATTCATTAATAAAATAATGTCCCCATAGAAAAAAATCACGACTTTATGTAGTGATTTGTCAACATTCAGTCACACCAAATCTCACAATAGATCATTTTAAAAACTTTGAAAGAAAAAATATTTATGTATTTGAAGACTGTCTTCATCTTTCAAGATGGGATCACAACATCAAGAATAATGGATTGAAGACAATACTAAAAAACCCTACTCCAATTTCACAGCATAATGTAATGAATCATGAAATAATTACATTAAATTTAAGTTTTGGAAAATCCCATAAAATTTAATGCTAAACAATAAAAAGTGCATCCTCAAATGCTATTATCTACACTAAATATATATCATACCTCTAACGCAAGAGTAAAAAAAAAAAAAAAAGAAAGAGAAAAAAACACTCACACATTCAAACAGAAAATTACAAGTCTTGGTTAACAAGAAGCACCATCTTCACGGCCTTGTCACTTATGTAAATTATCTCCCTCAAATAATTTAAGTGTTATGCACAAGAGTTAAATTGGAACACCCTTTGACTATGAAGATATTGTAAGATCTCTTCTGCCTTTGCAATATTGCAGTCATCAGTCTCCATTCTCCATACCATCAAATATTTCACAAGATAAAATTTAAGTTTTCTAGATGCTAGAGTATACATTATATACTAAACAGGAGTTTGACAAAACTTGATGGGAGGAAAACAATAATGCCCAATAACTGCAAGCGATCTCACTACGCATATGCTTAACAGAGCAAGACGTAATTTTGTACATGCATGTTACTTTGCAAGGAAATAACGTCCCACAAGGAGGAACAAGTACAGTAAAAGCTTTGAGTAGACATTCTTCTTGTCTCTTATGCAGGTAGTTGCAACTTCTTTCCCTTAAGCACTGTAAACAGAAATAAACTAAATTAGGTATTTTAACACACATGTAAATGATTCATTGCAATAATCTCTTGAAAAAAAAAAAAAAAAAAAAAAACCCTGCAAGAACTAACCTTTGGTTACATAGAGATAAAAGAAGTCACAGTACAACACAGTCTGTACAACACCAGCCACAATTGCAATGAGATCATAGTGGTCCTCAGCATAATAGCGGTAAATCCAGTTCAGCAGGTACAATGCTCGGTATGAACCTGTAATAGAAACAAGTAGTAACACAATTAGACAATGTAAGGTAAGAACAGCAAAGCCAAAGAATTTGCTATTTGTATGAATTACCCAGAGCAAAGAGGTAGTGGGATGTGATGCTTTCAGCTTCTCCAGTTTTTGACACAAGGAATAACTGGGGCAGAATAGCTACAGATTCCAAATAGATGCTGAATGTCCACAGAATCTGTTACAAGTTACAGTATTAGATAAGAAAGCATTCAAAAAATTTATTTGGCAATAACTTAAGAACAAGAAATATTACCTCAAGAACAGCAAAATCATGATTAATGAGGATGGAGAGAACAAATGCAGGCAAGATCAAAAATTCAACTCTGAAAAGAAGAAAAAAATGCAAACAAAAAAAGAAAGACATTAGCAATCAAAAAATTGTTAAATGAAAATGAGAGTTGTAGAACATAAGACTGTCAAATATAAGTGAGTCCCACCTGAAGGTGTCATGATTGTGGTCATAAGTGGCCTTGAACTTCATGTAGATTAAATACACTGTTGCATATGAAGCAGATATGAAGACAAGCTTCATGAATGTGTTATAGGCAGAGATGTATGTGCTGAGCAGATCCAGATAACGGGTGGTATACACAAGCGCAAACAGCAGCTGTGATTTTCCAGAGATTCCTGGAACAAAAATAACACTGTTAAGAAAAGAACAGACAGGAATCTTTGTTTCTTCAGGAGTAAAGGCATTCAAAATTAGTTTTGAAGTCAATTGATAGCTTATGGTGGTAAATAGGCTTTTAGAATCTATGAATCCTTCAGGAAGCTGACACACAGCTGACACATTGACTGACTAATGGTCCATTCAGTTCATACGAAAAAAATAACAAGCCACCAAATCACAAAACTTAAGACCATAAACAAAAAGAAAATAATACCCAAAAGAAAGGGAATAAGATAAGAGGAAAAAAGCTGTCACAAGTGAGGTTAGCGCAGCACAAAAATCAACGAACAAAGTCATTCCGGAACAACAGATTGCCAACAAACAGAATGAATAGGGAAAGGTGGGCCAAGAAAGAAAGAAACAACGAGCTAATTGATGAATTTTAATTTAGGAAACAGGTACTAACGTGTACAGACACTAGAGGAAAATTCCTAGCCGGTAGCTTAGATCTGGTCTCGATTCTCTTAAAATTAGAATCTTATACTTACCAGCACATGATCGTGTTTTCCAAATCTTCACGAGAAGAACAATAATGGCTAAAAGGTGGGAGAGATCTCCCGTTAGCCTAAAAATATTCATTTTGATCGATTAGATACTCGCCAAAACACCGAAAAATGACGTGGCCTGTCAAGCTCCGACAACAGAGGGCAGCACACGCCACACGCACACACACCTATCAGTCGCCGCCTTCTTGAGTCCTTGAACTTCTTGAACTTGTTCAACACGGATCCTAGATTTCTCATACAGCCACTCCAATGTGAATGTTAATGTAACTGAAGGTGATTTACACTTCTTATTGCGATTGTTTTGTTACTAGGCGCACGCGCCGTGCACGCGGTGGGTAGGCAACAAGCCAAGCACGTTCGCGCCATTAGCCTTGTGAGAGGCTGACCCGTATGTTCTGAATCATCATGTGTATGAGATTTCACACGTTTACATCTTCATGCCAATCAGCAAGATTACTTCGGAATCGCTGTAGTATAGCAGGTTGTTTGCCGTCTTGATCGAGTGCTTAGTTTAGGAACAAAGTAAAGGTGCAGCAGACAAAATGCCGAAAGGAAAACGCAAGGGAAAGTCAGGTAAGCCTTGGGACCGTCTTTTGGGGGATTTAGCCTTGAAAATTTTCCTACCATATTTTGTTGGGGTTTTACGTTGCTGCGATGATTTAGATGTCGTTAGTAGTCAAGCTTGCAAGATATTGTCATCAATGATACGCAGGTTTCGTGCGTTTTTGATGACATTGTTTATGAAATGTTTCACAACATTGTGCGAGCATTGTTTTGGCTTGAGGTTACCTAGGTCATAGCATACCTACTTTAACCTCTTTTAATCATTATCCTTTCAAAATTTTACACCATGCTCCACTTACCTATCGATTTTCTTGTAAAATCCAATGATCGCTTAAAACTTTTTTCGGATCAGGTTTGTCTTTGTTAAATTAAATAGAAATCCTTAATTTTAAAATTCTTGCCATTGCATTGTTTTACTTATTGCTCATTTTCTCAACACACTGCACCATTTTTATTGCATTTTAATTCAAACCAATTTAAGTTTTGTCATTTGAGCTGCAGCCTTGAAAAATAACCTGACCAAAACTGGTATGTGTTGTCAGGGTCATCAGGCCAGAAGATAAGATCAGATGGTCTTGGAATAACGTCCGATGAAGATTCCTTGAATGACAATGCCAGTGTGTTCAGTCTACCTTCAGACACTCACAGTGTTGTAGACGAAGGTACCTTGTTTTTATGGAAGCTGTTAATTATTACTATTTGTACCTTCAACTTGCAGCTATAAATACATTCTTTGTTTCAGTCAATGAACAGGAGACTGATGAAACTGCCATTGAGGAAGAGTTTGAAGAGCGGCTTCGTGATGCTATTGATGGACTTAGTCAAAAATCGGCTCAAGGACGCACTCAGTGCTTGGAAGCTGTCAGTAAAGCCTTTGTCAAACGTTTCATCCCTGACTTCGTTGTTGACAGGTACCAGTCATACTGTTTTTTTTTTTAGTTCAAACGCTTGTTTGTTTTATTGGACATTAAGTTTGATGGTTATCTTGTAATTTAGGCGCTTAACTATCTCTGATGGCATTGAGCGATGTCTCAAGAAGGGCCGAGGTGCCGAGCAAGCGGCTGCCGCACAGCTGGCCCCATTGATGTGTGTCCAACTGGGACTTAATGACTACTCTGAAGAATTATGCCGTGAGTTGGCTCCCGTGTTGATGCTTGTTGCCAGAGACCCTTCAGTATCCCCCTCAGCACGCTCCAAAGTAAGAAAAATCTTTTACAGTATTAATGGTGTCTCATGAAGATTGTTAGTCTCATTATCAGTAATTCCTTGAACTTTCTTCATATATTCACGATGTTCTTTGTTCCTAATAATTTCAGTGTTGCTGGGCATTGGGCCTTTTGACGTTCCTTGCTGGTGGAGAGATGCAGGATGTCATGGAACGCATGAGAGCTTTAGAGGCAATATTTTCTGGTTCTTACCTCAAAGGTGATGGAACGATGCCTACTGTCACCCCTGAAACTGGTGGTCTTCATGCAGCGGCACTTTCGGCTTGGAGTTTATTGCTGACGTTAATGGCACCTGGAGATGTTTTCATGTATACATCAGATGAAGATTGTACTTACCTTCCGTGAGTATTGTTGTTAATTATTTGCTGCTGATGACTAGAACAAAATTCTTATATCCTTCATTTGTCTTTTCAGCAAATTAAATCAACTGAGTGAATTACTGGAATCTGCGCACCTAGAAGTTCGTTTAGCTGCTGGTGAGCTTATTGCACTTCTTTATGAACAAGGTCGTTCACATGATTCAGACTTCTGTTCAGACTTTACTGAAGAACTGGTTGGTAAGATAAGGCAGTTGGCTACAGATTCCCACAAATACAGAGCTAAGAAAGACCGAAAGCAGCAACGGTCTTCATTTCGGGACATCTTACAGTATGTTGAAGTAAGTACTGATTTGCAAGTAGAAACAACATTCCTCACACTGTTATTTGTCTTTCTTTTTTTTTTGTACACCAGAATGTTCAGTTTTTTAACTGCTTTGCTTATGTCTCCCTAATTTCTCAGGAGGACATACCACCTGAAGTACAAGTTCGCTTTGGCCAAGAAGTGTTATTGCTAGACTCCTGGTGCCGTAGAAAGCAATATGATGCCTTCTGTCAAGTCCTTGGTTCTGGTATGAACTTGCATCTTACTGAGAATGACCTATTGCGAGATGTGTTTGAGCTAGGAGAAAAGTTATCACCACTGAACTATGCAGCCAACAAACAGACCAAGCAAGAAAGGGTAAGAAGCCTGCAAGAGTGTTTTTAAATTTTTCTGTTTGATATCAGTGCCTAATTACTTTTGATTTTACAGCATCTTCTGAATGCAGCATCTTTTAAGGCAAGGACGATTTCCCGCGGCAAGTATCGCGACAAGAGGTCTACTGTAGTTGGTTGCTAGAAAAATTTCTGTGTGTTTAACGACTCCCAAGTGATGCTACAATCATTCAAAGATACTTGGGAAATTTACAGTGTATATGTGCCACAGTTTTTCATGAGCTCCCTGTGACTGAAGACAAGAAGACAAGTTTATTAATGTTCTTTGAATCCATAATGACTGTTTACCCTTTCCCCTTTATTATTATGTGGAAGGGATTGTAAAAACAGATTTTTTCAAGAAATATAATTATGTGTCTCTCACACTTATATTGCCAGAATTTCCTGTGGACATTGCAATGTAGGAACTGTATCATGTTCAAATTGCTGTAAGACTGCCAAACACAACAATCATTGGTTTATGTAGTCTAGACATGTGGTTTCTCACAAATGATGCCAAAATTCTATATTGAATTATTTATCAATGGAGGACACCAACATGATTTTCTTTTAGAATTATGATGAATTCAGTTCCTTCTACAGTGAAATCAATATTATTGTATTGGGCCTTTTTTTCTTTTCTTTCTCTATTTTGGTTGTTTGTGCCAGTCTTCGTTGTCTGTATCCTCTTTTGCCTTCCCCTCCCTGAATTTTATTAATTTGTATTCCCATGTATTTGCTGATGTGTCTTTTTCTAGCCTCCTACTGTGAGGCAAGATGGCATAGTTTAGTTTGTCTTTGTGTCTTTTTAACTACTGTGGCGTTGCTTGGGTGTCCTTATTTATTCATCTTATAATTTGGCTGTATAATTATCAAGAATTTTGTGTGAAATCAATTTTGTGTGAATTTCTTTCTGTGGACTCGACATTGACAAAAATACTTTGTCAGTCCTGTTCGCTTGTACATTCAAATATTTTGTTTTCCAATCATCAACCACATTAAATCAATTTTTCAACAGAAACTGTGAATTCACACAAACTCTATTAGTTGTATTTGCTTTATGTGTCAGTCATATTGATCTGGGTATGGAATGGAACATATTGAAGAGAAGCTACTAGTACTATTTTTAGCTGGATTGGAATGCATTAGTTCAGTCGGCTTGTGGCTAATTGTAATTTATAGCCTCAGGTGTAGAGGCTTTAGCTCAAATTGATATTTGTTATTGTTTTCTGTGTGTCATTTTGAATGTAAAGCACATTTTTCCTGGACCACTGGGGGAGTTAGATATTTTGTTACCTGTGATCTCAGTTTATTGTTTCCATTATCTGGCCACAATGGTGTCCAGGAGGGTTTGCATATGCGCTAAGTTTCATGCCAAATATCATAACGCGGGCACAAAATTTATTTACTGCATGTATTGTTTTCAGTTTTTACTTAACTTCTGGCCAGCTGAGTTTTTTAGATGATACTACAGTATCATTAAATGAGCAATGGTGCTATCAATCCATTTTCCTTTTTAAGTGTACTTGTATGTTGGTTTTTTTGGGTTGTTTTTATGCATTATAAACATGATGTTTCTCTAAAAGAGAACTTTCATCTGTTCTTATTTATGACGGACAAATATCTTGGGTTGTCTTATGTCTAGCTTGATTTTATGCCATTTTCCCATTAGGTACAAATTTTGCTTTGAGCATTGTTATGATAGTACCTATTTCTTTATGAAACTCATTTCAGTTTCATCATTTATCTTACAATAACCCAGCTGATGTCTGGGCAACCTGGCAGGCCAGGCAACCAGGCTGATTATTGTCAGTATATAAATGTCTCAAAAAGAAAAAAAGAAGAAAATGTGTGCATTATAATTTGTGACAATTTGTTAAATAAAAGTTGCAGTAACCTCTTTGTATCTTTCACCAGTTTATTTCTCCTTGCGTTTTCATTCATTCAATCAATTAAGAATCAAATTTCCTGCAAACAATCATATTCCATGTAGCATTTGACCATCTGCGAATCAGACTCGGACTCATTCAAGAATACTCTTATAGTCTTATATAAGGCTTCATGTCTATTGAAATTGACCAGTAAGACGTGCTTTTCGGTAGAAACCTTGAATGGAAACGAAATTTGTAATTCCCTCCAAGACCGGAAACCCGCGAGTCCACACTTCTTCGGCTTCCGTGGAGTGGTCGTTCCCTGCCTTGCAGCGCAGTGGCCTCGCCGGCCGACGCCACGGACCGCGACACGTGACCGCCGGGGGCGGAAGAGGAGAGGGGAGAGGGGGCATGAATGCCTGCCTTTCATGTGCACGCATTTACGTAAGCAGAAGCCGTATTGTGTATTTAGTCTGATCGGCGTCTTTCTCTGTACTCGGCCAGTGGCATTCAAATCTGGGCAGGCGGACGAAGCTCAGAGTTGCTCAAGTTGTGCTTGCCTTATGTATGAACGGTGACAGTTGTTCTCAATATTCACATAATCAAATATGTTGACCAAGTGTCCAAAGTTTCTTGCAGACAATCACTGAAGTGAAAGTCTGGCATTAATTTTTTGTCAAATAGAATGGCATTAATAGAAGAGATAAGTCCAAAAGGATCTGTACTGTGGTTTCGTAGAGGGTTGAGATTGCATGACAACCCTGCTTTATTGAAAGCTTTGTCGGTCAAACAAGAATTTTACCCCATTTTCATATTTGATGGATTATCAGCTGGTAAGTTGTTGCTCTCCTGTCAGAAAAATGAGAATAGGATCATGTTGACTCATTTCAATTTGTATTTTGTTCATATTTTTCAGGGGTTACCAAAGATACTAGCTACAACAGAGTTCGGTTTCTTCTGGAGTGCTTACAGGACTTAGATGAACAGTTACAACAACGTATGGGCAAATTATACTTCATTCGTGGTGATCCTAAAAATGTTTTTGAAGCAATTCACAAAATTAAACCTTTGGAATCAGTATCTTTCGAATTGGTAAGTGACCGAAATGTAATTTTTCAAAGCAGATTATGTTTTTGGCTAAATATCTTTCAACTTCTTGCAATCTCTATTTCAAGGATCCAGAGCCTATTTGGGCATCAAGAGACAACAAAGTTAAAACGTGCTTGGAAAACTGTGGAATTAAATGGACTGAAGAAATTTCCCATACACTTTGGGATCCTCATGAAATCATTGAAACAAATGGAGGGATACCACCCTTAACTTATGAAATGTTTTTGGTTTGTATTGGTTCCACCTTATTCTATTATTTTATATTGTCCTTGATAATCATCTAAATCATATTCTTCTGCCGACCCTCAGCACACTGTTTCAATTATTGGGGCTCCTCCGAGACCAGTAGATGATCCTGATTGGACTGGGGTTCAATTTGGCAAGTTACCTCAACATTTAGGAGATGATATAGAGGTACAACATTATTATTATTTAATCATGAAATTATTTGTAAGATCTTGCACTGACCACTAATCTTCTGGATATTACAGGTGTTTCAATCAATTCCTTCACCAGAGAAGCTAGGATATTTCCCTCCCAAAGTATTTTCTGAGAAAATTATTGAGTGGACAGGGGGAGAGCAGAAAGCACTCCTTAAGATGAATGAACGTCTCAAAGTTGAAGAGAATGCTTTCTTAAATGGATTTTATCTCCCTAATCAAGCCAAACCAGATATTCTTGGTCCTCCTACTAGTCAGAGTGCAGCCCTATGCTTTGGATGCCTCTCAGTTCGGAAGTGAGTACATGAGATCAGATCTTTGCCCCCCAAAAACGCTCTTCCTCAATAATTTTTATCGATCTGTGTTTTTTAACTCACAGATTTTACTGGGCCATACATGACATGTATAGCCGAATTTACTCTGGTCACTCACAGTCTAACCAGCATATAACAGGACAATTGATATGGCGTGAGTTTTTCTATACAATGTGTGTGCAAAACCAATATTATGGAGAAATGGAGCGAAACCCTATTTGTTTAAACATATCATGGAAGGAAGATGTCCAGGATGAAATCCAAAAGTGGGAAAATGGACAAACTGGATATCCTTTTATAGATGCAGTCATGAGGCAAATGCACCAGGTAAATTAAGAATTTACTGAGGGTGACTGCATTTATTGTGTATGGTGACTTAATTCATTGAACTACTTTTTACCCTCTCTTTAGGAAGGATGGGTTCACCATGTTGCTCGTAATGCAGTTGCATGTTTCCTGACACGAGGTGATTTGTGGATGAATTGGGAGATTGGACTACGATTGTTCCTTCGCTTGCTTCTTGATGCTGACTGGTGTCTTTGCGCGGGAAATTGGATGTGGGTTTCCTCCTCTGCTTTTGAGCAGCTGCTGGATTGCAGTTCTTGTGTGTGCCCTGTTAGCTATGGACGAAGGCTTGACCCCCAAGGGGAGTACATCAGGTAATTGATTACTGCTGCAAGCTATTCCTGCCCTGCTGATACTGTTGACTAATAATTGTTCTTAAAAAAATTGTAGGAGATACATTCCTGAACTTCGAAATTTTCCTCAAGAATATTTGTATGAACCATGGAAGGCTCCTTTGGATGTACAAGAAAGAGCAGGGTGCTTTATTGGTAGAGAATATCCAGATCGCATGGTAGATCATGCAGATGCTTCCCAGAAAAACCGAAGAGTAAGTGCTGACAGTAAAAAATATTGTGTTACAAATATGAGTATGAGTATAATAACTTTTTTCTAATTTTAGATGATGAGGGACCTCAGGCTCAGCCTTGTGGATGATACCCCACACTGTTGTCCATCTAATGTTGAAGAAGTTCGTCAGTTTATGTGGCTTCCAGAGTCATGCACTGATCATTTGTGTGAGACTGAAAAGGTGTAGAGGTTTTTTTATTTCTTTTTCAGTCTCTCTCCTCAAACTTCTGTTGTTTACATGATCGCTTTTTCTAGTTTTTATAAAATAAATTATTCTGACACTCTTAAAAAAGACATTTAAATTTTTTTGTGCCTTATTCTTTACTATCATTTGACAGTCTGTCACACTCGTCTCACATTATGCAAATAAAATGACTATAATGGAACCAAAAAATTGTCACCTCGATCGATGTTTTTGATGCGAATCTGGGGTGGTGTAGGGGATTTCCGCGGAACGACCAAAACTGCCACATGGTGCTTCCCTGACAGGACACAGGGTGGGTGGAGGGCGATTTCAGGGAATACAAGTTACCGTAACATATCAAAGAAGCTGATAATGTTTAAAATGAACTAATCTCATGCATAAAGAAGCATAAGTTTTTAACTGGGACTTATTAGTAAAGTGATAAGGACATGGATAAGAGTTTCAGCTTCGCAAGAAAAAGTCGTTCCATTCGTAGTTAGCGCGCCCCCTCATTCGCGCGTTGCATCGCTTGTCCGGTTCACTCCCTGCTGGGCTGCTAGCCTTACTAGATAACTGTCAAAAAGAGTCTCTTCCTTTTTTCTTCGTGATTCACTCTTAACTTCCAATTTTGTTTCATTTTCCAAAGATACTAGGTGGAAAGGCCCACGAACAGACGCTACGTGCACAGCAAAATATGCATTTGTGTGACTGTACGATTGCGTAGGTTTCCTGGCCTCTAGCATCCTTGATCAGGATGAAGTTATCGGGTCGGGATCCATGGTGCTGTGATGAGTAGTGATCCAGTTCCTAGTACCCCTATTTAAGTTTTAAATTAAACCAATAATCGCGTGTTTGTGGAATCTTTGCCAATGCATTTTTAACATAATGGACTTTCCGCGTCTTTAAGTCATGTGCGATTCTTCTGTGAAAGGAATAGGGTATTTACATTCTACAGAAATTGATCAACATGGCTACCCACGACGGCGTCGATGTGATAGAACTAGCAGAAAGTACTTTTGCCAAAACTCGTAACATGCGAATCTCCGACGACGACAGTAGGGATCAAGAGGATGAGAGTGAGAGCGAAGGTAAACATCTAGTTGGTTTTCCGCGGTTAACCAATTTTCTGCTAAAGTTACGATACGATTGAAAGGCCTCGGTGACAAGGAGAGGTTAAGACCCAACCTCCTGCTTGTAGCCCCTATTTTGTCACTATTTACGAATTCTTTTGCTCGGGACTGCTGATTGGTATTAACGTGCACTGACCGAAACTCTGTAGATTCAAAAGTGGGCTGCTTTACCAGTTACCCTGAGAGGCTTAGATGGGAGTGTCACTGTCAGCTCATTCCTGTCCTTCAAACCCAAATAACAGGAACAGGTTTATAATGGACTTTGACATTTCTTTCGGTTTTATTTTTTCATGTGACTAAGGTAAAATTTTACTTCACTTATAATACTAGGCGTTCTGTCCTGTTGCTTTTATTGTTTTTATGGAAACATTGTATTAGGTAAAGTTTGCTAGGTCTAACAATTAAGCCACTACTCCTTTCATAGCAAATGATATTATTATTGTTAATGAGAGTTGTTTTGAGTTTAGCTGTCTGGTACTTAGCTCCTGTTGTATACTCTCCCATGTATATGTTGCAGATGGAAAACATGCACTACCTCCACTGGACGTAAGTTTTGCGTGGTGTTTTATTTCTTCATTTTATCTGCAAATATTCTATATTTTGTCTCATGTCTAATTTTCCTTTTATTTTATTGTAATTTTTTCTTTTTTTGGTTAATTTTAGATATCAACAGCATCTGGTCAGAATGGCTCAAGTGGTCCCAAGACTCCAACTTCTATATCAAGGCACAAATCTGAAAAGGAGAAGAAAATTGGTCACAGACGAGTTGGCCTTGGGGGAGAAATCACATATAAAAAGGTTTGTAATTCATGTTTATTACCAGAAATTTTATTGTCACTATCAGTTAACTCTCTACTTACTATATTTCTTTCTCGTTTTGTAGATTCAAACCACTCAAATTATGGGATCCATCCAACTGGGTATTCAGCATGCTGTTGGAGGATTGGCATCCAAACCAGAACGTGACCTGCTAATGCAGGATTTCATGACTGTCGAAACAACCAACTTTCCACCTACTGGTTCTAACCTCACACCTGCACATCACTATATTGATTTTGTTTTCAAAACATATGCACCTATTGCTTTTCGACATTTCCGTGATCTGTTTGGCATTCAACCTGATGATTATTTGGTGAGTATTGCAGCTGTTGGTACATTTTGTATGAGGGTTGTCTGAAGATGCCCTGTTATCTTAAGCACCAATTGACTCTCATTTTCAGATTTCAATGTGCAGTGCGCCATTACGGGAATTATCAAATCCTGGTGCCAGTGGTAGTATATTTTATTTGACTGAAGATGATGAGTTCATCATCAAAACGGTTCAGCATAAGGAGGGTGAATTCCTTCAAAAGCTGCTCCCTGGGTACTATATGGTACGTTCCCTTCATGTATTGTACCTTTCCCTTTATCATTCTGTTGTAATGCGTACCTTTTTTAATTTTTCTCATCTTTTCAAGAATTTGAACCAAAATCCAAGGACACTCTTGCCAAAGTTTTTTGGATTGTATTGTTATCAAGTGAGTCTCCTGTCTTTAAAGTTGTTGTATTCTTTAATTTGTCTTTTTCAAGCTATTTCATGCCAAATATTCTGTTGTTGATTTTCCTCTAGTGCAATGCAAAAAATGTTCGCTTGATAGCTATGAACAACCTCCTGCCATCTGGAGTAAAACTTCATGAGAAATATGATTTGAAAGGGTCAACCTACAAAAGAAAGGTAGAGAAAGAGTGAAATGTAAATATGTTATTTCTTCTCAGACTTTATTGTGGTATTAATTTTGTAATGTCTATCTAGGCCAACAAGTCAGAACGACAAAAAAAGTCTCCCACTTACAAAGATTTAGATTGGATGGAACTTCATCCAGAAGGCATATTCCTTGAAGCTGATACATATAATGCCTTGGTTAAAACAATTCAAAGGGATTGCCGGGTCTTAGAGAGTTTTAAAATTATGGATTATTCTCTACTCTTAGGAATTCATAACTTGGATCAAGCTGCACGTGAAAAGGCGGTAATTATCATTTCCTGAAGCATTTTGTTAATAGTACCGGTAATGCCTTTCTGTTTGAACTTTTCAAGTTAATTTTGTAATATGGAATTTTTTGTTGTTGTTTTTTAGGAAAAGAGATCACAAATGAATAGCAACTCTAGGCAGGATGATGTGGGAGATGGTGCTGCTGCTGGTGGCTCAGGTGGCAATGGATCTGATGATGGTGGTGCTGCTGGGTGTAGCTCTGGGGCAGGAACTGCTCTAAATAGATCCCGCTCCATCAACCGACAGAGGCTGGTGGCCCACTCCACTGCCATGGAGAGTATCCAGGCAGAAAGTGAACCTATTGATGAAGAGGAAGATGTGCCGTAAGTTTTGCAGTGTGCCTGAACTTTTTCCTTTTTGTTACTGTTCCTTTTCTGTGAATTTCTGTCATTTTGTAGACCTGGGGGCATCCCTGCCCGCAATGCAGCTGGGGAAAGACTCCTGTTGTTTATTGGTATTATAGATATTCTTCAAAGTTACCGACTGAAGAAAAAGTTAGAACACACCTTTAAGTCAATTCTCACAGATGGGGTAAGTAGAATGATCATCTTAATTTTCACTCTGCAATAAAATTAAATATTTATAATGTCTTTTTTTTTCTTCTAATTGTCCAGGATACAGTATCAGTTCATCGTCCGAGTTTTTATGCTGAACGGTTCCTGAGCTTCATGTCCAAAACAGTTTTTAAGAAAATACCCTCACGTAAGTTTTTGATGAAATTCCTTTTTCCCTGTAACATCTATACTTCGTTGAAGAAGAACTACTTTCTAAGTCACACTTACCTCCTATATTTATATTATTTATAATAATAATATATAGTACTAATATTATTATTAGTGGACACATTTGTCCAGTTTAGGAATTAATGTTGTAATATTTGAAGTTCTTCTTGTCACGAAGTACTGATGCTGCAACAGGTGTGAAAGTATATGGTACTTTGGGAAACTCTTTGCATGACTGAAGCAGCTGTTGCTTCTGGGTGAGCGGGTTTTTGCTGATGGGTAGATGTTATTTAAAAGGTAGTGTGGAAAGTCAATGAAGAATTTCTTTCACTACATGTTTTGATATTCATCTTCCTATTAGTAATCACCACATTTGGTCTTCTTCAGATTTGTCATTGGAAGTAAATTTATTGGACCTATGGAATTTCTCTCCAACTATCCTTAAGTTCTTATAAATCAGTTATTTGCCTTTTACTTTTTGGTGTACTGCAGTTTGGAGTAGGGAAGATTGATGTTCTCTTTACCAATCTTATCTTCTTCCTCTTAATCAGTTGTGCTGACTTAACAAAATGAGCCATGTAATGAAAATGTTTTGATAAAATTCCTTCAAATGTTTATTTAAATAATAAGTTTACAAATCTTTAAAGCTTAATGGTCCAACTAAATTCTAAAAGTCACAAAAAATGGTTGATTTTAACATAATCAAGGTTTTGAAGATTTTAAGATCTGGCTCATTTTGCTACTTACTGTACAGATAACTTTGTGTTCTATTGCACATTTGTTTGTATCTGTATGTGTGTTTGTTCCCTGCCCTGCCCTGCCTTAGTGGACCTGCCTGAAATTAAAGGCAATCATCGCAAATTCCGAACTCTCGTCACGAGCTATATAGGTACCGTATTGCTCTGTTCTTGGTAATCTGTCATTCTGTATTTTTTGGTTAAGATGTTTGTTGTGAGAATAAGTTATATTGTAGTGTGTGTGACAGAGTTTGTTTCTGCAGGATGTCACATGCTTACTTCAACTCAGTAACAATTTCTTTAGTGTGCATGGTTGTGGGCATCAGACTGTGGGTGGTTTGGTCGGTAGATGCTCTCACAGTATAGACAATCTAGTTTCATGTCTTCTAAAGCTTCCACAACAAATATCTTAAAATGCTGGATTCATATGCTTTAGCTATTTGATTTTGGTTTGTGTGTTTTCATACTAGATATGTCTTCCGTATTTTTAATCATTTTCTGTTTGTGCAGTGTTAAAACTGGATCTGTAGTTTTATTCTGCAATGAATTGTTTTATTTAACCTGTTAACAGTGAAGGCTGTAATGACTGTTGCTGTTTGCCATGCAGATTTTTCTTCAGTTTCATAATGCACCTGTTTTGTATTTTTGCTAGTCACTAGTTTTCTGCTTCCCTGTGTGAATGTGTAGATCATCAACTCTACTAAATCACATTTGCCCTTGTAGACAGAACCACCCCTTTTGGTTTGTTTTCATAGTTGCAAGTAGTAAACACACTTTTATGTATCCCTTGTAAATTAGAAGGTTGTGCGTTATAATTTTTTTCATTTTTTTGTTGTTTTCCATATAATTGTGTTTTAACAGTTTTACTGCTTCTTTTCTCCATTTACGATAACTTAAAAACCAATTACTGATTTGAGACTGTTGGTTAATGGTCCAAAGTCAAAGTTTTGCGCATATATTTACATTAATATCATGGGGCTTCCTTATGATACTATTTATATTTTCATTGTCAGTTTGTAATGGGCCCATCTATCCACTTCTTTAAAGTACATCCATGCAACTATGACCTTATTATTGGTTTTTGCTGTTTTATTGATTATTCTAGTTTAACTGACATTTTTCCTTTTCACAACATAAAAATTATGCTCCCTTTTTTCGTCTCTGCTCGAGGATCACATTCTAATAACTTTGCCGTTTCTTTATTTTGGTTGCAGCTCTAAAGCATTCACCTTCAAAGCGCAAGAGTTTATCACGACCCATGCGCGCATTGGAATCTGAAATGGATATGCCAGGTAAGATTAAATATTATTGGTGTAAGGGGAGCCAAAAAAAAGTGGTCATCTGATCCTTGGTGTGGTTGTCACTTTCTTTTCAAAAGAAATACGAACCTGAAGTGTACAATTAAGCCTCTGAATACCTTCTTTTGGTATTAGTTCTCTTCAAGGTTCTAGCTTGATAATTCTTGTTATCTATATACTCAATGTTAGTTGGGTGAAGTGTCTAGTTTTAGAAACTCAATTGTCCAGATAAGTGATTTGTGTACGTGGATGTGTGTTTGCTTCTTGCTGGGAGTAGTAATAATTTAAAGAAATGTTTGAGAAAACAACTGAGAATGTTATGTAATTGATGTTTCATTTGTGGTTTTGTTATTGCTGCCACTGAAGGCTCTCAGTCAGCTGCTTCTCCTAGTAAACCCGGTAAGTTGTCTCTCATGTGTGCAAATTAGTTATGTTACGTGAATATTTGCTGAAAAGTGAGCATTGCTTCATATGTTGACTGTGATTTAAAATTTAAAAAAACCACTCGTCTATGAATCTATCTCTCTGTTTGTATTATGTTTATTTTGGCAACTAACGCTGTGTTATGTCTTGTATCAATAATCTAAAGCCTGACCCTCTTGCCTGAAGCAAAAACTATGGGTCTTTTATTTGAGCGGTTTGGTGACAACTTTGTTCTAACAATGTTATGCTGTGCTTCCTTACCTCCTCTGCTGCTGCTGTGCTGTTGCTTGCGGGTGCAGCGAGCCCCGATGCCCAGCCCGCTGCTGCCGCCTCCACCAGCACGGCGGACAAGAAGGCCCCCACCTTGCCCAGTGGCATGCACACTGGCCCGAAGGGGCCCCACGGGCCCCACGGCGCGCCGCCCTCCTACCCTGCCGTGCTCAAGGGCAAGGGCCAGGGACCAGGACAGGGCAGGCAGCGTCCCCCGCCCGGGCAGAGAGGCGCCCCGCCACCAGTGCCACCTAGGGGCTCCCCCCGGGCCCCCAACAAAGCCCTGGGCAACCAAGGAGACGCCGGCTCAAGAGGTGAAGGCTCAAGCTCCATCGGGAACGGCAATGCCGGCAATGCCGGCAATGTCAATGTCTCAGTCGTACTCCACTCCCCCACTCCACCCTCACCGTCCTTATCCTGGGCCTCCTCAGAGTCCTCAGGGCATAGTTCTCACTTTTTGGCTGTAGAAGTTGTTGGTTCTTCCTGTTCAGTAGGCTTTGATTACCCGCACCGCCAGTGCACGACCGTTGGCGAGTCTTTGCCGTCGTCTAAGGATTATCGCGTTTGTTTAGTGAAGAAAAATGTTGCACGTGAGCCAGATTTGGTTGTTTTGCCTGCAGAAAGTAATTGTGGTGTATGGGCCCGTTCTGAAACAGCATTATCTTTTCCACCTGTAGCTCATACTTCCTGTGCCACCAATCGCACACATAGTCAGCCTGTTGTAGAAAATCGATCATATATTAACAATTTGAAGCGTAGATTTGTGTTGGATACAAGGAGAAGAGGTTTGAAAACCTTAACAGATCATGTGCTGGCCTTCAAAAAACGAACTTGGGAAAAAATATGCAATGTCAAAACTTCTTTCGGTCCTAGGCAGTCTGTTTCATGTTCAAGTCAACTCAAGTTACAGCATATGCAGTCAAGAAGTTTCCCTTCGTCTGCAGACACTACCAAAAGATCTTTTGAAGAAATTTCTTCTTTTCCGTCTGCTCCTGTTTCTCTTGGAAAAATGAATTTTCCTTCCTTAAAAGGGACTAAACTGACTAAAAGAAAAGCCCCCATGCCTTTTGCTAGTATTGAGGGAGGATCATTAGCCAGTAAAGCTTTTGAAACTGCACACATGCAGGATAACGCTAACATCAAGACACTTGATTTATCTGTTTTATCTGTGGAGAAGGAACATGCCATAAAGGAAACAGAAAAATCTCATGGTACCCAGTACACTGTGATTGAAGTTAACACACCTCTTTCTGAAGAGATTTGTACAGATAAGGAAACACCTTTGCATTTTCAAGAAGGTAACCATGAGGTGCCTTTGTTGTCTAACAATAATTGTGTTTTAGTTGACTCAATTGATTCAGCCAAATCTCAGAACAGCTGCATTATTCATGATGATCAGACCAAAGTTTGTTCGGATAAATTACCACATGATGATAACTGTTGCATTTCATCCGTCTCATTATAGAACCAAGTGAAGTTCCTAACACTTAAGTTTTTGCATGTTAGATTTCTGTGTGTAGTTTTCATTAACTTGTGTACTTTTATGTAGATAGCATTTAATCAATGTAGTTATTGATGCAGTTTTGTTAGAATAAGCCTTTTAAACATGAGAAGCGGCTTGCACTACTGTTTTGCATGTAAGAAGGATGTTACACAAATGTAAATAAGATGCTATTTATTTTTTTAAGGGATTCAGGGTCTCTTCATACAGTATAACAATGGGACGTTTCTTGTGGAAAGATAATCAGAGGCTGTGTATATCAATTTTTTTTTCTTGGGAAGGATTATGCTGGACATGCTGGTTGTATCTATTTTATCTTAGTTTTTATTTTATGTATTGCTTGATTTGCTGTTATATTTTTGTTGTTTATTTCACTCTATTTTTTGAATGGATGTTATGTATGTTTATGTATGGTTAAAGCTTTCTTATTTAATTTTAAATTTTTTTTTATAGCGCCGTAGTTTTTATACATTCTGTATGCTTTGTGTTCACCTCTCACACCCTTTATGTGTTGTTTATGCTTTGATGAATTGAAGACTGTAAAATTGCACCAGTTTATTTCAGTGAAAATATTGAAGTAATTGGCAATTATAAAATGGCCATTCTTTCGATAGTAAAACTGTCCCCTCCCCCATCATCCCCCCAATTTAGTTATTTTTCTACTTTTATCAAAGCTGAATCTCTTACTGGCAGCTCTCGTCTCTGTCTAGTGAAATAAGATTTTGAGCGTCCTGCAACTGCTCCATTGCTTTTCCCGTAGGTGGCTTGAGTTTCCCTCCCTGCTCTACTCCTCCCCCGGCGTTCGAAGACGCCATCCGAGGCGACTACGTGATGGACACCAACAGCAGCACCAACACACCCTTACGCCACAGGGTCAGCGGGGTCCATGCACGCCATGCATACCGAGAAGAAGCAGTGAGGTGAGTTACAAATTAGCTCTACTACACACACCTCTTGTAATATTAGATGGCCTTCATCTTTTTTTGGGCTCAGAGCTCTATTTTTCTGATTTGTTCTCCCAAAAAAAGTAATTACCTCTTGGGTGTCCAGTATTTCAGAAATAAGACTGGAATCTCGTCCTGACAACAAGTCAACTCTTAGTGTGGAATCTGGAAGTTCAACTTCTGGATTTGGGTCAAGTGGTGCCCGAGGCCACCTGACTTGGACTCCTCCTGCTTCCGTTGAGGGTTCAACCCCGACATGGACTGAGGGTACTCCTAGTTTTACCGAGTCATCCAGCAGTGGCGATATTGGTAAGGTTTATTTGGTGTTACAAGGTACTTGTTATTAGTCCATCTGTACAGTACTGTATTTTCTTTCTTCTCCCTTCATCAGGTTGTCCCACTACTCCTGTTCGGAGTTCACATGGACGTGAAAGAGCTGCTGCTAGAGCAGCCGCTGTTGCAGCTGCCCAAGAACGACTAGCTGGCCAAGCAGAGATTGAAGTGGTGAGTAATATGGACATATGTTTTGTTTATCATTGAGGTCACTTTTCACATAGCATGAAAAACATATTCTGTGTTAAATCTATTGTTCCTGTGTCCCTTCTTCATTCCAAAAGGCATTTTACATAGTCTAATAACTGTTTCAATATTCTGCATTCCCTCATGTTGAAAATTGTTTGATTTTAACATATTTTTCATATGTGTGTTGGGCTTAATACATATGTAGTAACTAATCAAGAGGTTACAGTCTCAATTATATTTTTCACCTTCAAGCACTCCACTTATAACCATTCATCCACCTTTCAAGCAACTCACAACACATGAATGAAGGGTTGAAATAAATTTTGTTTCATGAATTTTATTGGGATTGATTCTACTTAAAGCAGCAAATAACAATGTGGGGTGCCATTTATTGCAACCGCGGTTGTGACCCGAGCTGACCTGTCCATTGACCTGCTTTTGATCTTGCTTTGGGGTCGCTTTTCTTCAAACCCTGGTTGAGATTGCTATACCAAGCATGCCTTCTTTTCGTGTTATGAGTAAAAGTGTTCAAATTTGATTGAGACCACACACTGCTGTTCACTTCTAGACTCATATTTCTTGCCTTATTTCACAGTCTCTGACACCCTTCGCAACTGGTCTCTTCTAATTTTTTTTCTATTTTGCTTCACACATCACTGCATGTTTTCTTTGATATGAGAATGCAGTGTAAGAAGGCAAGCAGCATCTTATTTCCTGGTTTTTCATTATTGATGCAATTGTTCAATTGTTCTTTCCCAAGTGACATGTCAGCTTCCAAATCCTTTTGCTATTTTGTACTTTGCTGTCATTAGTCTCTTCTGCGCTCTATCTCCTTTGTCTTTCTCCCCAGGTTGCTTCTCAAGGAGGAAAGCAGCGCTGAAGTTCATTTCATTTATCAACCACAAAAAAAGATTCTTCAGCAATAATTCTGACGCTGGTTCGCAGCATTTATAAGTTACGACTTGTTTTGTAAGAACTGTTCTCATTTTGATGTTGACTAGGCTCACTGTGTAAGTTATGTATCACAGAAAACATAACACTCTCCTGTTGGTTCAGTGTTTCACTTCATTTTGTAATCATGCTCTCATTTTACATGATTTCCAAAGAAGAAAAAAATACCACTGCCTTTCTTGGCTATTGTCTAATACCATTTGTAGTATATAAATTTGCTATTATGGTGAGATTCTGTGAATGCAAGAGTAATGTAGGCATAGCAGGCAAAATTATGTGGCACATCTGGTATCAGTGAGCTAGCTCTTAGGTTGAAAACTGCCATTTTATGTCTTGTGGAAAACTGTCCTTCTTGGAAGGTCATGTGTGTTGATATTTTAATTTATTGACAGGCTGCAAGAACTGCTTCTACCTTTTTATGATTTTAATTTTCAGTGTACATGTATTAGCTTAATTTTAGTAATGACTTCAGGAGGCATGGATGAGCACATACATTGCTTGGCAGGTTTCTGTTCTTCCTCAACAAGTGTCTAGATATGGTCACTGCAGTTTTGCTTTACCATTTTTTCTCATTTGTTTTCAAAATGTTCCATATAGCTGTTCCCAAGAACAGTTTTGACCTTGCGATCTTTGACACCTATTTACATACTTCTTGCACAGAGGTCTCAATAACCTTTTTATTTCAATTGTTTTGCAATGCTTTATTGCACAGCTTAAAGGAATTTGTTTGACCCTTGTACCCAATTATTATCTTCTTTGCACTAAACTATTTTCTGGGCCAAAAGTGAAATCCCTGCTAAATTTATAAGTACGCCCTGATATTTTGTGAAGTCTTTTAAAATATTATGTTTTAATCTGTCTCTGGTAAGGCTTTTTTTCCTTTTGCATTTTGTGCCAAATTTGTTGCTTTTCTTTCTCCTAGTATCAGACTTCAGCATTTTATCACCATGCTCTTTCTAGCCATATCTTGCCTTGACACGATGTGTGAACTGAAAACTGCCCAAATGCACTGATTTTGGTAAATACCCTGAGTAAAACTATTTCTTGACTAGGTCTTAGTCATATTTTGAAACAATTGTTTCATCCATACAAGCTTTTTCATTGCAAGCGTGTCCTGTATGGAGTTTGCACTCTATTATTTCAATTTTATTGAGTCATAGTTTAAGCAATTAATAAAAAGCTGTTTTCTGCTGACAATAAAAAAGAGTAATAAAAATAGGGTACATGTAGTAGTAGTAGTCAATTGGAAGATCAAAATTCACTTTGGAACACAAACCGGAGAGTGAAGAAAATTTTTTACTCAGGTCCTGTCAGTTCTATGCATCTTTTCACTGAACCTTTTCCTTATGTTTGTTGGAGACAAAGAAAGATGGATGTTCAATTAGTTATTATTTTTTTGTGATCCTATTTTCAAATAATGTTCATGATAATTAGACAATCTGTCAACAAATAAGTATTACATGCACATGACTGTCCATAGTCATACTAACAATAGCTTTCACCTTCAAATCAGTATTACAAAGTTTGCTTGCCTGTGAAGTTCCATGATAGTAGTTTATTTTTACTTTGTAGTTCAATTGAAAACGGTAAGCCATCTGTCTTTTCGCCTTGATCTAAAGTTGGATTGGAACTGTTTATTTCCAATGCTTCTGGTTCTGTTTAGAACATGTTTTGTTTGAGCTGCCACAATTTGGCTCTATCTTTATCAAGTATTTTATGTCTGAGCAAACTATTGATTTTTATTTGTCTGTAGTTGAAACATTCCTTTAGGCTCCATTATGTAAGCTGTTGTAGGAGACATGCCATTTTTTTTGGAAAGGGCAGTGTCAAAGGCTGTGATGAACTTTGTTGTTATTTCATAAATCAACTTTCATCATTAACAACACTGCAATAACACCGCCCTCAAGTTTGTTTGTAACTTCTATATTTGTTCAAACAATGTGTGGCGGTGCTCTTCTAATTAAATATATTTTATGTTAGTTAAAGGTATAGAATTATTTTACTCTGAGGCTGTATTACATTCATTGTATTGGTCCAATTAGATCTTTTTTTTTTAAATTGTGTTTTAATTTTTCTTAGTTTTCATCATTGGGTGGGATGTAACTCGTTATTTAGATGATTGTTTTGTTAATCGTTGCTATTTTAAACTGCTCATGTTATTTTTGCTTGCTATCATTGATTTGACTTTTTATGCTCTTGTGCTTTTGGGCAATGATATACTAGAGATGAACAGGGTTGTCAAATGAAATTTTACTATTGTAGAACATGGAATAGTTAAAATCTCTTGGTGAGATTTGTGCTCATAGCTCCATTTCCTGTCCCTGATGTACTCAGAAACTCAAACTCTCATCTACATGTTTTTGATGATGGATTGCCTGTAAATGGGGCTGGTGTGTACACACCCAACAATAACAAACCAGTGGCAAATAACAGCTAAGTGGATCCTGATAAATAAATTGTTTAAAAGTGTTCATCCAGAGAAGAGAAATCATTTGCTCTAATTTAAATGCTCAGCATCCATATCAACCATTTTAATTGTTTTTCAATCATAGGAATTAGCCTGGTCTTCATCAATAGCACATGTTTATGACTTTCTCAAATTTTCACTTGATGGAATAATTGAAGATCCATTCAAAGGTTTACCAACTTTTCTGTTATCTTGTTAGTGTTTTGTTTTTTAGCTGACGAAAAAGTCAAGACTTCAAGGGCCAGAAGCATTTTAACCTTCTGGATGCTTTTGGCCTGTTTTCTTAATGTCTGTCACATTTGTTGTGTATGAGCAAGAGAGCAGTCTTGTCACATGCAGCTTTGCTTGATTGTATTTATCTACAATGACACGTTCTTTCCTGACAGCTGTAATCCCTGTTTATTAGTAATTCATGCAATGCTGTCTTGACTGTGTGACAAAATCTTCAGTATAATCTGAGCTTTTCTGTTGAGTGCTTCTGAGTATATCTCTTTCTGCTTTCATTATATTTTGTGGAACTTTGTTCAGCGTTTACTATGTACAGACGTTTAATGTGGTGTTCACTTAGTTATAGCAGTTTCTCTATTAATATCTTATAATAGTTATACCAGATCTATCCAACTTATTGCAGAGGAGATTCAAGGTTTGGAGAAGATACTAAGTTCAGAAATATTTCAATATGAAGTATCTAGAACATTCTGTTAATGCATTGTAAATCCGCTTATTATTACATAAGGTTGGTGTTTAGTCCGTTTCTTGAGATTATATTCATTACCATTACATGTTTGTTTAGGCTGATTGGAAGGGATGCACCATCTGATGAGCAGCTGCTCATATTCCTGTTATTCCTTTGTGTGCAGCCCATGCCTATTAACGTTCCCTCCTGCTACCTAATGTTCAAACTTTTTCCTGTATTCACTTTTTTAACTTGATGTTAGTCAACGCAAGATTCTGTACAAATTTTCCTGTAAAGTATGAACATATTAACATTTCTATTTGCATGTAAATCAGAGTTTCAGGAAACCTGTTTTTCTCTGAACTACGGTTTTAACATTGGAATTATTGTTCAAATTATGATGTGTTCAGCATTACAGTGCAACCTGCTTACAATGTACTAGCCCAGGACCGCGAAGTTCCTTTGTTGTTATGGAGACTACCGGTACGTTATTACCGGGTCGAATTTATGTGCTGAAGTTTGCCACGGGACCCGGCAATCCAGAAATCATTGCGTTGTATCGGGGATTTCGTTAGTTCCGTTGCACCTTGTAAGCGAGTTCCACCATTTTGCTATGGGGGAAGGAATGTTAAGTTGGTTGTGTTGTTTATACATTGGTACCTTCCAAAGAGCTATGTTGCCTAATGAAATTTTACTATGCTTTAGTGTACTGCCAAGTAACTCTTAAGTGATTGCCCGCTGCTGTCATGTATGCATCGATTTTGAATCTCTTTCACACATACACACACGTTTTCCTTATGTCTCTCCTCATGCCTTTCTTTCATGCCAAATTCAAATTTTGTATGATTCTTGAGATTTTTTTTTTTAAACTGCAAGTACTAGCAGACTCTGTCTGCAGATGGTTGAGTCGCAGCCATCGTACGTTTGAAAATCTAAGTTGTCATGGAAAGACGTGTAAGGTGTGAGGGTTGATGAATTAAGCATCTCGCTTTATTGTTTGTAGTTTAGAAATGTGATCAATGTGATCAGATAACTCCAAATATGAATGTTTTTTCTTTTCTCTCATATAAACATATATAAATATTTATTTGGTGTTGAATTATGATGTGATGTCTTGTGTACTTATATTTATACTGTATATATCCACTAGCTTCCAATGGCCTTTTGCAAAGAAGTTCTCACTTTCTTTTATTTTATTTTTTTGAATTGGGGTTGTGGGTAGGGAGTGGTTCTACAGAAAAAAGATATGATTCAAGCATCCTCAAAGAAATGTTCCTGTTATCGAATAGGATGTACCTATGTTAGCTTTTTTTAAAGCACAAGGTAGCTTCTACAAGTAAGAAGTTGACTTTAATTTTTGAGTCCTTTTTCTGTTGTAACAGTTTCTGGCAATAAATCGTAGCATGGAACAGGATATATTAATTTTTCTGGGTAAATATGAGTGAATTTATATGTAAAGAACACCTGTTCATCATCATTATCATTATAATAATTTTCATTTTGCCTTGAGGCGAATGTAACTTTACAGTGAATTTCTTCTGTTTTACCTTGTTTGGCAGAGGGGTGCATGAGTTAATTTGTTTTATGGCAAGAGAGATGCATCAAAATGGGATGTAAAATAGTGCTGAGTATGTGTATTATTATGCTTGAAATGGACTTCTGCAATGACATCACAGTCTCAGTTTATTGTGATCTGTATCATGTTAAAACTGCATATCAGGACGTAAAAAATTGTTGTGCATTAGTCATATTTCAGTGTCTTTTTATGTACATAACTATTCATTTATAAAAAGGCAACTATGTATTTATGGACATTTTAACCAAATGTAGCATTTAAAGATGACTGAACCTAGCTCTGTTCCTTTTTATTGTTAAGGTCAATGTTATTAAGGCTTTGAAATGTTATAAACATTTGTTATGTTATTTTACAATGTTCATGGATTGCAATTATTGAATTAAATAGATACACATGCAACCGTTCAGTTCGAAGTATAATTCACCACTGTACCCATAACAAACTTCACATCCTATCCAACTCCTCACACATTTCATCTTGCAGACAAAATATCATTTACCAAGTAACACTCATCAATCATGACACATGAGCATAATGAATCGGAATCACTAGTGCATTTTATCAAATTGATTACAGAAGAGCATTTAGTAGAGTGGTTGTTGCTGTTTCCTGCTGAGCTGATAACGCTTCAGGAAACATCAGTCTATGGGATCCTTGTTTCTCCTTTACTGTACTTGAGGGAGATGCAGAGCAGTGTATTTCATGGTATTGGTATTCATGATTAAAATTCAAGAATTTCTACCACAGTAGTTCTATTCTTTATTGTGTTTCTGCACTGTGTCACCTGCTTTCTGGATTGCATGCATATTGTTCAATGGTCGCATGATGCTACTGTCCACAGGGTGCGTGTGTGTGTGTGTGTGTGTTTTGTGCACAATTACACGTCTGTATCTTTAAAGTGACTTAAATTATATGTTGTTCTTTCTTTTTACTCAGTCTTTTCTATCCTATTCTTTCTCTTTACCATTTGATTCCAAATTGCAGACTCATCTCTGACATGTCGTCAGAATCAGCGGGTTCCTCTGGATGTTCTGGTGCTCTCTTGTATAGCTCATATAATCACCATGAACACGACTATGGTGGTGCACCTCATGCATTGTACAAGAGTGACTAGGCATAGTGAAATATATTGGTAAGTGACATCAATGCTATAAGCTTTGATCTCTTGTAAAAAAAAGTTATTGAAATATTCAGAACATACATATTTTTTTATTAATGTTTTGCTTGTGGACATTAAATCCTGTCAGAGGAGGCCTTATTGTATTTGCAAGCATCCTTTGAAAAGTAGCTTGTCATGGATATCACCATTAGCATTTCAAAAGTTCTTGCATATGTTTGATCCGAGTTCAGTATTAAACTTATCTTAAAAGTTCAAGCCTCCAAGTTTCTCTCATTCATATTCTTTCCATGTTAAGAACTACCTGGTTCTCTTAAGAGTGGTTCAACCTTAAATTTCTTTCCTACGTTATGATTTGATCTTAATACTGTAAGTACAGTACCAGTGTGGATTACTGGGAGTGCATTACATAATAATTGTGTATTTTCTTTACATTTTATGTATTTTATCTTCTGTGTGTTTGGTCTTGCAAGCTGTGCATTGATAAGATCAAGAAGTCGCACTCAATTGAAAATCATGTTTGCCCCACTGAAAAGCCTTTAGTCAGTTTGTTTTGAATAATGAATCCCTTGTTTCTTTTACATGCCTGCATCTTAAAAAATGTCACTCCAATTTTTGGTTGCCTCCTCATATATCATTAGAAAAGATGATAATGTGGAATGCTGTGATAAAGCATCTTTATATGTTAGACTGATTTTATGCTAAGTATGCTTGTTATTGTTCCATTCTCATCTTTTCTTTTGAACAATGCTTATCAAAGTAAGTGGTATATAAATCTACTCCCTTCAAGTATTGCCTCGATCCTCCGTTGGTGGTCCTGCAGACCTGCAGGCACTCAGGCAGGGCTTAATGCAGTTAGAATGCGCAAGCCTCAATGTGACAGTTCCAATCAGACTCATTAGGTGCTTTCTAATGAGAATGGCAGAGATAAAATTATTTGAATGTTAGTCAAAATTAAATTCAACCAATCAAGCTTATCACCTGCTCCCTTCATGTGTTTTTGTTTTTGAGTAATTTGCAGTGTGTTCAAAAACCTATCTCTTGCTGGATCACTTGTTTCGTTTACATCACTTTACAATGGTTGCTTCCGTGTGGAGTGTAATTTTATCAATATATCCTACAATTGCAGTTCGGTTTGTACTTTGATGGATGAGCTGAGTCTGTCAATTATTTGTACTCTCTGTCCCACATTCATAATTGCTGTATGTATGTGTATGGCAAAACTATCTAGTCTTCTTGTTTTAGTCAAAACCTGTCATAATTCTATTTGTCTTTTGTTGGAAAGTTATAAGACTTCTTATTATTAGTGTATTTGCTAAACTAATTGTCTTGTATTGGATTTCATCTAGTTTTAAGTTGGTTCACAAGTTAAACTGCTTGTGAGGTTAGTTGGAAAAAAAAAGGGTGAAGAGTATTGTGTGCAATATTAGGCAATTTTGTATTTGAAGGATCTTTTATTTGTGTTTACTGCTGTTTTTGTTGTTTTTTTCTTCAGAACTTTACAATTATTGATTTAATAATCACATGCTCTCTAAAGGTGTAACTTTCAGCCACATAAAAATGTGCATATGTTGTAATAAATACTAGCCTTTGTGGCAAATTTGTCTTGTTCTTTGCCTCTCAAACTATGTCCAATGAGCATTACAATAGATACCCAAAATAGGGTGTAACTGAACAGCCACAGTTGCTCTATGTACAAAGAGACATAATCACAGTTTGCTTCCTTGTGACCCACAAAGCCCAATAATTGAAGTAAACATACAATTGATGTATTTCGATGTAATTTCACATAGGAAACATGATGGTCCTTTCATCCACTAGATTTGAGACTGAGCACATTGGCAACATGTATAAGCATAGTTAATTTTTATCACACTATCATTTTTCTAGTGAGAGCAATGTGCCAAAGAACACAATCCTACTATAACTCTAATATTGTGATGAAACAACAATAATTTTAGGCAACAGGTGACTAGTCATAACGCTGGCATAACATGATAATGTAGTAAATTTCATGAAAAATACAACTTTTCATTCGTTAACAGTAATCTACAGGCATTCTAAATTTAATAGAAATTAAAAAATATAAGATAAAGAACAACTTTGTGATGTTCCACACTTCTTGGAGTGGAGTTGTGAAATCTGCCACAAATGAAATTGATTCAGAAGAGGCCTGCCTCAACATCATTGCAAATAACTTCATTCTTACTTTTCAAATGGTTGCCAGGCAATGTTTCAACTCAAGCTAAGTTCAAGGAAGGAGGCAAAATGATGTTACTGCAAATGTTACTACAATCAGATATCCTTCCCTTACTAAATAATCTATAAATTCAACAGATTGCCAAAATGGCAAAAGAAACTCAATATTTACCAATAGCTAATACATACAAGATACAACTATCAAAAGACTGATTTTGCTCCTCATTTTTGAGGTGTTACAACATTTATGTGCAGTAAGTACTAGTTAAATATGGTGTAAAATAGTAATTTACCATGTTGGTGTGCAGCATAACAGAAAAATTGGGTCAGTTCATTCGGCCACATTCACTGCACCAGCTTTTCCCAAAATACAAGATAAAACAAATGAGCAAAGACAAGCTAAACCATTACAAAATATAGAATTATAATACTTCAGCAGTATACTATGCTAAATAATAGCAAATATTGTCCATCCGATCTACAAAAATATGAAGAGAAGCCTTTGTCTTAACATAGATTTCATGATCACTGATCATCACAATAACAATATCACTTCAATCACCAAAAGTCCTGAATCAAAAGTCCATGCCAAGACTTTGAAATCACCATACATGATATGTACCAGCACCATTTACATACACACACACACACACACACAATCTAGAAAATATGCAGATCACACATACTTAGAGACGGTCTATCTTCCCTAAGTTCAGATTCAGAGCCTTCCAGTTCATAGGAATGGGGGAGAGGGGGGGAAGGGGGGGGGTACAATTGAGGGAAAGTAAAATGGGACCACGATGTAGGAACGTTCCTACATCGTGAATGGGACAAGAAGTGGAAGTTTTTCTCCAAAACGTCAGTAAACATACCAAAAATTAAATATTTAACAATAAAGCTTCCATACAAAATACACTTAGTCAAAGAAAAATTAAAATATAACAACATAATAGAAAAATAGATTCTTGATTTTCTCATTGAACATAAAACAACACGACAGTGAAGCCAAATTATCATTTTAAGACATGGGTCAGTGCTTAAACTTCAGTGAAATAGTACAATCTAAAGTTCCAGTACATACTAGTAAGTACTAGAAGAAAAAATAGAAATTGCACACACTAGCAAATTCAGTTTTCATTTGAGTTTCTTTGATCGATCAATTTTCTTCTTGCGACTTTTTTTAAGAGCATCCCGCACATTACGAATCCAAGTTAGCGCCTGAGAAGAATCAGTCTTGATATGGGTAGATGTAGAGGCAGGAGACAGAGAATGAGAAGGTGAGGGGGGCTGAGACAGACGGGAATGACAGGGTGACTGTGGCAAGGACAAAGCCTCGTGTCATTCATTTTCTCGGTTTGTTGGCGGCCGTACTAGCCGCTCAGGGTGAGACATCGCAAGTTGAGAGAAATCTCGGACAACATCGTTAAATGTGTCATCTCCCTGAGCACCCATATCTGACGATTTCATCTCTTCATCAAGAAGACCCAAGCGCAAACTGAATAACAAAGAGAAACAATCAGTTCAGGGTGATAAACTAAACAATCTCATAATTTGGAATTTTTTTAAAAATGTGGTGTTATTTTTCTTACAGAGTGACTATGTCAGCATTTGCCTCACGAACTGCAATGTCCAACGGCTCTAAATCTTCTGCATCTTTGAGGTGCTGATCAGCTCTGTGTTTCAGCAACAAACAGACCTGGGCAGTGTGACCTTGGCAAACATAATAAGAGGGAAGAATTGTTCACATAAGTCAAACAAGAAGACTACAAAGATTAGGATTCTTAATACCTTGTTCAGTTGCTAAATGGAGAGGGGTTTTCCCTTTTGAATCCTGACTGTTAATGGAAGCCCCATTTAACAATAAGTACTCACAGGCCATGACAGACCCCTAGAAGAGAATTAAGTTTAAATAAATGATGATGCGGCAAAGCAATGAACAGAACATTCAAATGAAATCTGTAACCAACACTCAAAACAGCCTGATGGAGTGGTGATCGATTGTGGTCCTTTGGATTAATCCAAGTTTTATTGGCTCCAAGTGCAAATGCCTCACACATTACAGGCAAGTTGTGTGCAGCAGCAGCCATGTACAACAACATATCTGGGTGAAGCTTTGAAATATCTTCTTCACCTACAAACATAATCAAAAATTGGAGTGTGGCCTGGTCAACACATCAATAGGCTTTGTATCAAAGTTATGGATTAGCCTAGTTACCAATGGGTTTCTCCTCTTCTCCTTCAGTAGAATCTTCATCACTACTTAACTCAATGGACCCTGGGAGAGGAGCACTCTCTAGTTTCTCTCCAAATAGAAGAACTTCAGCATTGACAGTCTTATCTTTGTCAGAATCTCTTGATGTAGTGCTCTTTTGGTCACTAAAATCACTGGCTAAATTTTCACTTTCAGATCTTGCCTTTTCAGTTTCTTCATTTACATTTCCTGTTTCTGGTGCAGACATTTCCAACACAATAACATTCACGACCTTTTGGTGTACTGTAATAAACAAGGTGGTCAACATAAACATACCTGGTTCGATTGAAGCTGCTATGGATGTCTGTTGCCTACTTTTCCTATCACGGCTCTGTGGTCTGCGGCTACGTCTACGCCTCCTTACAGTCCACTTTTTGACAAGGGTCGGCCGCGATGAATGATCAGTAGGAGACACAGGTAGCTGCTTGACAAACTTGCGTTCAACATACTTAGTTTTTATCCACAATTCCCTCACAGCATTTGAGCAGTTTGGTGATGCACGAATTATGTCTGGATCCACATTAGCCTGGTATGCTCTGTTTACAATGGTATTTCCTAGCTCAGCCATAACTTTCAGGATTTCGGGCTCCCATTGGTCCAATGTCAATGAGCGAACTTTACTGTGATGGACTCCTAAACTGCGATGCACACCTGAACAACCTGTGAATTAGGAAAAAACAGAAGTGTAAAAAATGTTCTGTATTTAAAAACAAAAACCAAAACACACAAACAGTCAATGCAGGCTTGATACATACCAATACAAAGAGTGATGCCTAGATTTATGCTTGCCCAACCAGGTTTTTCCTGACCACAATCACAACAAACTTCATTCCCAGGAATGTTTACAAGTTGTTCCCAAACTCTAAAAGGGATAAAAAGACAATGTGGGATTAATGCAAAATAAAGAGGAAGGATCTAACTCGCCTCAATGAAGTTTGGACCAGAAATTATCCTCAACTTTTAAGGCCTGTCCATTGTGTCTGCACTGTAGAAATACAGCAGTAGCAAACTGAAGTATTATTTTATTATTTACACAGTACTGTACCTTGTGCGCCTTGGTTTAGGTGGTTGAGTTGGCGCTAGAGACAAGTGGCTCGTTCCACTTTTTGTATTAGAGGAAGGAATGTTTTTGTCTGTCTGCCCTGCCGACTGGCTTCTAGGTGAAGAAGTTGGGCCACTGACAGTACGATACTCTCCAGCACTTTGGAATGCTGCACCAATGCCCTTCTGCATGGCATCAATCCAAGCTTGGTACATTTCTTCAGAATCTGCCTGAAGTATGTGGCTCCTGAAAAATATTAATTTTTTTAATGTCAACAATAAACAAAATGGTACAATGGTTTCAACCCATTAAAACTAGTGGTGAATTAATCACAATCACTACTCACTTGTTAGGAGAAACAACCTCAAAACAAAATCTTCTGTCACCATCAACAACTGGTTTCACTGTGCAAAGCCGCAAGTCTTCCTCCATTATAGTAACATCTTCCCCTGAAATTTTTTTCATCCATGAGTATATGTTCTAACTTCAAAGAACATATGTTAACAGTTGTTAACTTGGAACATACCACTTCTTTTCCTATACACTAAATGATTATCTTGTAACGAGAACCATCGCCTGTTCCATGTTTTAAATGCATTAGAAGTTCGTTTGAAAAGGTAACCTTGAAGAGAAGGCATTGCAGACAAAGTATCTCGAGTTTCATCCCCACTAGCATCTGGTATTTGTTTCTTGTTACTGGTGACACAATCATTACTAGTGACTAATGTGTGCCTGTTTTCCATTTCCTTTTCAAGTCTGGAGGCCTCTGTCTGTAGCTTTGAAATCTGAAAAATGATGAAATTTAAGCATTCTGGTTGAAAAGAACAACTATTCTATGCGTAATTAAAAGATGGCGACAACTTACATCGTCTGCTAGCTCCTTTAAGAATGGATCTAAGTCCTCAGTGAGGTCAGATCCCTGATGGTAAAATGTACTCCAAGCATGCATATAACTGAGAAGCTAAAGGATTAAAAAATCAAGGGGCAGTTAATAGATAAATTGTCACATTTTGCTTTAAGAGTGCTACAAATTTAGAAAATTTTGGAGAGGTACATACTGTTCCAAGCACTTCATGGCGCTTGCGAGTCTGCAACAGGCTGAGCACCCTCACATGATCTAAGGCTGTGTGGCGAAAACACGAACGAGTCGCACTCAAAATATTTTGAGAATCTTCAGCTTCTGCTGGACGTGATTTTGGAACTTGAGAGTTCTTTGAGAGAGCAGCATCAAGATCCCCAGATATCTTCTCTAAGTGATGGCGAGATTCTTTGGCATTTTTAATATTGCTGTTTACACACAAAAAACACAACAAAACAAAAATAATGTTACACTAGTGATCAGAACATCTTTTATAACTGAATAGATAGCAAAACTTTTTCAAAGCTAACAACAAACTGAACCAACGTTTTGACAAAACTTTGTAGGTTTCTCAATACTGTTCGGCTTGCTTGATCAAGAAGAATATTCTGGAACTTGTTCATCTCTTGAAGAGCAGGAATTAATTTGTTCAGAGGTGAAACTACTGGAGGGTCATCTCGAAAATGTGCACTTAGATCCCAGAGAGAGTTAATAAATTGTGACTGCTGGGCAACAAAATTTCGGCCTGAATCTACCATCTGACCACATGTCTTCAGCACCTGAAAAGAAAAAGAAGCAATGTAAACTGAAAATGGAAAGAAAGACCAAGCAGTAACAATACAATAAGAAACAATAAGAATGAATGTTACCCTTTCCAGGCGTTGTTCCAATTGTTCAATATTTTGCTCTTGTTCTTCAAGCGTTGCTCTAGGAAACAAAAAGGTTGAGAGATAACACTAAGTGCAGGAAGTGAAAAGAAACAACACAACTAGCTCTCTTGAACAGGTAAACTTAAATTTAAACACAGCCTTAAGTCATTCAATATTACAGGTCAGAATCAATTTGAGTGTGGATAAAACTTCATCATTGGAAGTATTGTATAGCATTTATTACTTTTAACTCTGTCCGAATGTGTACATTACAACAGAGCAATTTTGACACATTGACACATTAGTGTCACATTAGTGTCAATAAGAGATGGAAGTCGTTTAAAAGTAAACAACGGTAGGGATAGGTTAGTGTCATATGAAAGTAAATTACCGAAACTTTGGTGAGTCACGAAGGCATTCTTCAAGTTCAATAATGGGCGTCATTTTAAGAATTTACTTCACGATACAGACGAACACATTACAAATTCCACTCATAGAAAGTCCAAATATAACAGAAGTAAAAGTCGGCCACAGACAACACCTGCCCTGCCGCCCCACATCAAAATACAAGAAAATAATAAACGAGAGAGGGGGGGGGGGTGAATCGCAAGCGATCGCGTTTCAGCTGTCGGAACTCGGGACCGAGCCGAAGGCACACGAAGCTGACCGACGGACCGCCGTTGCCCGAAGTCTAGCGGGGCCGCCTCGTCTTCGTCTTCGTCTTCGGGAGCGCGCGGTCGTACAGCGATACGAAACAGAGCGCTCTTTGTCCCTTGCCTTTGCCGCGGTTTTCTGGACTGGACTTGAAAGACACGGCTCCCAGCCCAGGATGAGTCAGAGCTACAGCAGAGACCGAGTCAGAATCCAACATAAATTTGGAATGACGTCATACAAGGCGCTGAGAGAGTGGGGGGAGGGAACGACCAACCTGTTGAATTGGCGATGACGAATCAAGCCATAGACTCTTACGAAGAGGCGCGACAAGGGATAAGCGATCGCAAACATCCCAAGCAGTTCTTTTCCCAATCTTTCTAAAATTTCAGATGAGGCCGATGCTTTTGACTGCCATTGCTCTTCCCTCGAGTTCTAGAAGTTTAAGGCCTGCCGTGGGAGGGGGCGGGGCGCAACCCGTTGCTGGTGTTTTCAGCCCCTTTGTCGTATCTGTACTGTATCATCAAAGGATCCTTCGAACCTGCCCTGCAGCCTTTAGCCGGCAATAGAGGATGTTAACCACCGAATGCACATTGAATTGGGGCCGAGCCGCAAACTCTGGCGGCAGTCTCCTGCCTCTCCCTCCCCGGCCCTCACCATCGGCCACATCCTTCCTTTCTCCTTCCTCTCCCCCTTCACCTTGCTCCTTTTGCCCCGGTGAGTTCCGGAACGCCCGTCCTGCCCGCCCCGCCGGCCTGAGGCCCCCCTCCTCGAGGAAGGCCGGCCGAGTGACCACGCCACGCCACTGCAGGGCGGGCATCGGCATCATCGTGGCACATCGTGGTCGTGGCGAGCGGGGCAACGGGGCAGCGGGGCACACCGAGGCACACCGCACCGCGCCGTTCACCGAACCGGGCGTCGCGTCCGTCGCGTCGCGCCCACCGCGTCGCGTTACATTCCGCGCATCGCGATAGTCGGCAGCCGGTTGCAGCGAAAGCGTAGCACCGACGGTGCAACAGCAACAAGCAACAAGTGGCGGCGTCGACGAGAGGCCAGCTGGCCAGGACCGCCAGGACGGGGACCACCATGACGGCGGCGGCGTGCTCGCCGGGCGCGGAGCGCGCGGAGTGAGGTGAGGCACCACAAGGCTTGACGGCGTGCTCGGCGTGCTGGAAGGTGTCCGCGGGAAGCAAGGCGCGGTGCGTGGACTATCTCTCCGCAGCGCCGCGGCACGACGAGGACGGCAAGGACTTGGATGTCGAAGGGTGGCGTGGAAGCTAGACACACGGACAACGTCCCCGACAAAGCGCCTGACTCGAACCACTCGAACACACGGGAAAGTGCTGAACTGCAGAGCGATTTCGAACATCGCTTTCGTCCCTATGTCCATGCTATGTCCCTCTCCCGCTCTTGGGGTGTTCCATGCAGTTGCGAGGGAGGCAGAGCTAGTGATAACGCGCCGACTGCAGTGAAATGCACCTCACATTTCAGAGCCGCGGACTGCGCCGGCAACGGCATGTGTGGGTGCGCGATGCACCCGGTGCACCTGTGCGGACTGCTCACTAGGCCGGCCCGGTGCACAGCGCACAGCGTGGCACAGCGCACCTGCGCAATGAGTGTCGGCACGCCGCGGCACGCGGTGCGCGAGTACAGTGTAAGCCCGGCCGGCCTGGCCGCCTGGCCGCGGCACAGTGGGCCAGAAGACCGGTGGAGGCGGCCAAAACTCTAGACGCGTTTTGAGCTCCAGAGTCACTAAATGGGACTCGAACCGAACGTGTGACCCCACCAATGGATTCCTCGTTCGGAGAGCAATCCATTGGTGGGGTCACACGTTGGGTTCGAGTCCCATTTAGCGACTCTGGAGCTCAAAACGCGTCTAGAGTTTTGGCCGCCTCCACCGGCTTCTAGCCCACTGTGCGTCCGGGCGGGGACTGGCATCTTGCTGGCGTGGTGGGGACCGAGTAGGATCGAGTAGCGTGGGAGACGGGTCAGGGTGGCGGCTGGGCTGGGCCGGGCTGGGCTGGCCGGGGATGTGGTCAATGTGTGTGTGTTGTCCCGGTGTCCAGGGGATCCAATTTCTTTTTGCATTTTGGCGCGCCGCTGCGGGCTGCTCGGGCTGCTGGCCATCGCCGGCTGCTTGCTCCGCTCGGCCCGAGGCGTTGCGCGGTGCGCGTTGCACCAAAGAGCAAAGCCGGGGGACCGAGTGCCACGCGTGGGCTGCGGTGGGCTGCACGCTGGACAGCATGTCCTCGCTCGACGAATACGCGTTCACGGCAAGGGCCCCCAGGGCGGCGGGGCGCGGCAGGGCAGGGCCTTCCAGGGCCTTCTTGGAGCAGACGGCGACTCGAAGGCGTCGCTTAATTGCTACCCTCCGCTGCGCTTTTCTCGTCACCACGTCTCGGACCGTCGGAGCGCCGCCAGCGCCGCGCCAGCGTCGTCGGGCAGGCCTACCTTGGAGGCACCGAGCGCCAGCGCCCTAAGTGGAGGAGTCCTGCAACGTGCATGCTGCTGGCTGCTGACTGCAGTGAATCCACCACCACCCGACACCACCCGACACCCGACCCCTCCGGCCGGACGGGCAATAGTGTTCCCCCTGTATCTAGGCAACCCCCGGGCCACCGCCCCCTGTGGTCTTCCCCGCACCGTGCGGGGAAGACCGCACCAAACCCACCACTGTCGGCAGAGGTACTCCAATTCTGCTGCGCGCCGAGGAAAATACCTAGGCCTAGCTGTAATTGTAGTTTTGATGACCTCCAGCTCAGCGCGGTCAGTTATTATCTGGGCATTTTTCCGTTTTTTCCTCCACGACGAGCTTGGCCTTGGCGGAGGAGGTGGGAGGGAGGGGGAGAAGCAGGTGGCACTTTGGCTTTGAGTGAGTTAGTGTGTGAGTCAAAAGGAATATACACAGCGTGGCGACGCGGAGTGTGGAGTACGATTCCGCGCGCTGCTGAGTGATTCCGGTGAGTCGTTTCGTCGCTCCGGCTCTCTCGCACAGTGGGCCAGAAGACCAGTGGAGGCGGCCAAAACTCTAGACGCGTTTTGAGCTACAGAGTCGCTAAACAGGACTCGAACCTAACGTGTGACCCCACCAATGGATTGCTCTCCGAACGAGGAATCCATTGGTGGGGTCACACGTTCGGTTCGAGTCCCATTTAGCGACCCAGGAGCTCAAAACGCGTCAAGAGTTTTGGCCGCCTCCACCAGTCTTCTGGCCCACTGCGGGACGCCCAATGAGTGCGAGAGAGACAGTGCCCCAGGATTCCTGCCCGACACCTCAACCAGCCTCAACGCCTCCCGCCCACCTCCCAGGCCAGGCCCGGCTTAATTCCACTGTACCTGCCCGTCCAGCCTGTTCTGACGACAAAAAATAATCATCATCATCATTATGAATAAAAATAAGAAACGGGACCGAAGCGGCGAGGACGAGCCCAGGCTGGAGCCCAGGCTGGAGCCCAGGCTGGAACCTGGCCGAATCAACAGAGTTCTTTAAATCGGCTTAGAGACGCGTCACGTCGGTTGAGCGTTGGGTCGAGAGAATCGGAGCGCCTCGATGCCTCTTTCGGTCTGTAAAAGGTGCTCGTCCACTTGAAATGTTAAATCAGCATCCCGCCGGCATCCGCAACTCATTCCGACCGATTTAAAGCGTTCTTTTGTTTGTGTTTCGGTGGCGCGGCGGCGGCGCGCGGCGCGCGAACGGACATGTGTCATTTGAGCCTCGTCGACTCGTCCGACTTGTCGTCCGAGCTGTCCGACGACTGGCCGACGCGGTGCACCGTCATGGTCATGGCGGGCGGTGCCGTGCGGTGGCGTGGCTCGGCGGCACTGGAGCGCGTCGCACCGCGTCGCGTCGGCGCGACGGCGCGACCCGCCTCAGCAGCCAGGCCACCGGCAAAATGGAAGTGACTGCAGTGGAGTGTCCGCGGACGCCGAGCGATTGCCAGTTCCGAGGGACCGTTTCGCCGCTCCGTCTCTCTCGCACCCCTATGGCCTAACGGCCTGGGCCAAGGCCGGGGCAATCCGACAGGCGGGGGGCAAAGCCAGGCAAAGCGCACGCAGTTCGCAATCGACAATCCCACACGGAAACAACAACAACAACAACAACAACAACAACAACAACAACAGTAACAAGATCTTGCTGTCGGCGACACTGCGGCTGGTGCATGGCGTGGCGCGGCCGGGCCGGTCGGTCGGTCTGTCGGGATGGGATAGTCGTCAATTGAGGAAGTTAGGGAGGGGGGTCTTGGTTGGCCCTTGCCCTTCGCACGGCCCTTGCGGCCTCTCGCATTATCGGGCCGTGTGGGGCGTGGGGCGTAGGGCGCAGGGCAGCGCAGGGCGTGGGGCAGAGTAGGGCGAGGCGGTGGCGCTTTGCCGACAGACTTCGGGCGCTCACGCAGGGCTGCGCACTGGTGAAACAAAGGCGTAAAAATTATGCCCTTTAAGGGCGTAAATCGTTTACGCCCTTAAAGGGCATAAATCGTTAATGCCTTTCGGAAGGGCATTAAAATTTTGCTTGAAATTCCTAAACCATTTACGCCCTTCCTAAGGGCATAAACGATTTATGCCCTTGCAAGGGCGTAAAAGAGCATTTATGCCCTAAAGGGCGTAATTTTTATGCCTTTGTTTTACCAGTGCGATGACGCCAGGAGGGTGCGACAAGGGGAAACTGGCCGAAAATCACGGGGGCGTCATTTGGAAAACTGAAAACCGAGAAAGCTGTTAAGGGAGGAAACCTCAACAGAACATGAAAAATAAATTTAACGAAGAAAATTCCCGTTGAAAGTGAAGAAAGGTGTGCCGCAGCACTGAAATGCGCCCGCTCCGGCCCGCGCCGCTTTGGCCGAGGCTTTGGCCCGCGGCCCGCGGCCCTCTGAACGGAACAACGGAAGTAGGGCCCGTATTTGCATAGCGCGGCGTCACGGCGTCACGGCAGGACAAGTCCAAGGGACGACCCACGCCCCGCTCCCGTCCCGTCGTCGCCCCGCTCGGCCGTGGAGGCGGCGCGGCGTCGCCTCATGGACCGCGGCGGGGCGGGGCGAGGTGGGGCGGGGCGGGGCGCGGGCGCGGTGCTCCGATTGTTTCATAGCGCGGGGCGTCTTGATGACCCGCTCGCCGCTCGCCGGCGGCTGCCTTGCAGTGGGCTGCCTTGCAGTGGGCTGCCTTGCAGTGGGCTGCCTTGCAGTGGGCTGCCTTGCAGTGGGCTGCCTTTGTCGCGTCGTCGCCCCGCTCGCTATCTGCCCGCGTGCCGATGATGCACGCCACGGAGTGTCGCTCCGTCTCCGTCGCACTCACGGGCCGTCGCGTCGGCGGGTGCGAGAGAGACAGGCAGCCCGCTGGCCGTCGTGGCCGTCACGACGTCGCGCATGCGGCACGCACAGCACGCACAGCACGCACGGTGGGACGGCCTGCCACGCCCACGCCCCGCCACGCCACGCCCCCCTGCACCAATTGCCGATGGGCGTTCCCGCTTTAATTGTGCCGCCGTGCTGCAGTCGCCCCGGGCTGCCCCACAGGGCTGCGGCGTCCGGGGCCGGGACGGCCGGGACCAAGCAGCAAAGCAGGGGACACGCGGACGACACACCGCACAGTGGGCCAGAAGACCGGTGGAGGCGGCCAAAACTCTAGACGCGTTTTGAGCTCCAGGTCGCTAAACAGGACTTGAGCCGAACGTGCGACCCCACCAATGGATTGCTCTCCGAAACGAGGGATCCATTGGTGGGGTCACACGTTCGGTTCGAGTCCCATTTAGCGACTCTGAGGCTCAAAACGCGCCCGGAATTATGGCCGCCTCCACCGGTCTTCTGGCCCACTGTGCACCGCGCCGCAGCGGAGCAACGGCGTGGACAAGCGTGAGGTGGGGGCGGCGCGGCGCGGTGCCGCAGGCTGATTCCGAACGCCCCCTTTCTCACTTTTTGGTCGCTCTGTCTCTCTCGCACCCTTTGGGGCGTCTGGTAGCGGTGCGAGAGAGACAGAGACAGCCCGCTGCTCACGCCGGCTCACGCCGCAAGGCCCTGGATGGAAGGAAGGAAGGAGTTACTCGAGGCGGTCCGCCGCGTCGCGCCTCGCGCCACAGAGTGCTGTATTTAGCCCGACGGCCACGCGGCCACCGACGGGTTGAGCAGGGCGTGGAGCGAGGCGCGCGGAGCGACGCGGAGCGGCCGCCAGCTAGTGTCGAGTAGCGCGTCGCTCGGTGCAGGCAGGCAGTGCAGGCAGGCAGTGCAGGCAGTGCAGGCACACCGAGGCGCCACACCAAACGCAGCGGACGAAGCGAGGGAAAGGCAGTGCCGGAGTTTGGCGGGACCGAACAGTGTACACGCTGCTCGTGACCACGCGGCTAGCGCGGCTAGCGGTGTGCCTGACGGGCCTGACCGAGGCGAGGGCCTGACGCGTGACCGCGTGACGCAAGGAAGGGTGCGTGCGGCGAACCGGCCACTCCGGCCAGCGCGGTGCAGCGGTGCAGCGCAGTGAGGTCGTGATCGACGAGTGCCGATCGCCTGCCCCGAAATCGCTACAGGTGAGCCCTGCTCCGCCCTGCTTGGCCCTGCTTGGCCCTGCTTGGCCCTGCTTGGCCCTGCTTGGCCCTGCTTGGCTCTGCTTGGCCCTGCTTGGCCTTGCTTGGCCCTGCTTGGCCCTGCTTGGCCCTGCTTGGCCCTGCTCCGCCCTGCTTGGCCCTGCTTGGCCCTGCTTGGCCCTGCTTTGACTTTACGTTTGGCGCCCAAACTCCGAAACGTCGAGACTTTCCCCCGCGCTCTTTAAAATTCGCATTGGACATGTAAGAAGGCGCCACTGAAAAAAAATAATTGAACGTTAAAATTCGAAATCACAATTTTTCGAAAAAGGCCCGCGCCCCTACAAACTGTGCGGCCCGGCTCAACACCGATTCATACCGAGGAAAGGTGTCTGTGGAGGAGTGGAGGGAGACTGATCAGTGGAACCCAAAAGACGTAGGTTCGTTTTTTTTAACCATCGGCAAGCCTTTTGAAAGTCCTCATGGTTAACCATCACATCTCTTCATCACCACCACCTCCGTATGGTGTCGCCGTATGACCGTCTGAGTGAGGCCCAGTGCGGTGGGCAGCCTCGCGCCTGTGCCGCGCTGTGCCGCGCTGTGCCGCGCTGCTGCGGCCACGCTGCGGCCAGGACCAGTGAGCCGCGAGATTGGAGACGCCCCTGCAGTACAGCACGGCAAGCACGGCAAGCACGGCCCGCGGCGCAGCCTGCGCAGTCGAGTAGGTGTGGCCTCCATGCGCTGCGTGGGTGTGAGTGTGTGAGTGGGCATCGGTGGGCATCCTTGTCTGGACCTTGAAAATCCGCTGCACTTTAAATCTGGGAGGACGCTCTCTGTCGCTGGCCGTAGGCTTTTTTCAAAGTATGCCGCGACCTTAAAATCGTGGCAATTCCGCCCACCGCGCTGATGGCGCAACCGCGGTTAAAAATAGTACCCGTCTTATGTCATCAAATTGGCCCTAATTGCGGGCGAGCTCAAGCCAAGCCGGCCGGCGGAGCCGCAGACAAAATGGACCTCGCGGATTGAGTGATGGGTGCATTGTTATCCAGAATCATTGAAAGCCAAGCAAATCAATTCCCACTGGCCAGAAGCGGAAACGGCAGGTGAATCTGACCGGCTGGCCCTGCCTGACGGGGCTGGTGGGGCAGGAGGGGCTGGAGGGGCTGGAGGGGCTCAATGAGGAAAAGAGTCCCCTCTGCCCGCGGCCGGGGCGTGGCGGGGGCGGGGTGCGCCGTCCTGCCAGGGAATGCAGTCCAGATGATGCTCTCCCTCCCCCTCTCCGTCCGCCACTGCCACGCCACTGCCAGTCAAGTCCGTCAGCCCAGTCGAAAACTTTGAGATAGAAAAGGGATTAGTGTGGCCTCTCAAAGCCCGGGTCAGAGGACCCGGCCCGGCCGCCATGCCAGACCAGTCAATGAGGGGACTGGGGGACCCCGGGCCAGCCTGTTGGCTCTGCGGGGGTTTGGAACGGAGGCGCGCGGAGGCACGGCGGCGATGTAACGACCAGAATGAACAGATAATAAAACTGATGCGTACAAAGAGCCGGGGGAGATAGGCTGTAACAACGAAAACAGTGTACACACACAGCTAAAGAGTGAGGACTGCCGGCAGGGAAAGCCCAGCGGTCGGCCCGCGAGGCACGGCGGGGCCTATCCGGTCTGGCTGCGCCGGGCTGCGCCGGGCTGCGGGATTACGGCCTGGCAGTGGCGGCCTGATCCTATCATCGCCAGGCCGGGCCAGGCCAGGCTGTGGCGCAGCGCACTGCTAGCCTGGAGTTGAAATCATTTCAAATTCCCAATTTCCCGCCACCGGAGGGCGTCCCCATTGGCTGCTCCACAGGGGAGCGTTCGAAAAACCCGGTAGTCTCCCTCGGACCTTGACTCGACACTTTCAAGGTCGAACGCACCCCGTGAGCGCTGCTGCAGTCTGATGTACCGAAAAGCGCCTTCGTCGCTCTGCCTCTCTCGCACCGCTACGGAACACCCCATGAGCGAGAGAGAGAGAGAGAGAGAGAGAGAGAGAGAGAGAGAGAGAAGAGAGACAGAGAGAGAGAGAGAGAGAGAGAGAGAGAGAGAGAGAGAGAGAGAGAGAGAGAGAGAGAGAGAGAGAGAGAGAGAGAGAGAGAGAGAGAGAGAGAGAGACGAAGGACTGCTCGGAATCAGCCCGCTGTTGCTCGGCAGCACCTCCGACAAGCAATATCCCGCGCGCAGTTTATTTTTCGGCGGCGCGGCGCGCCCTTGCCAAGTTTTGACACTGATTTTGATAAGTTGGCTTTGCCCGCCACTCTGGTTCGGCCGGGGGTTGCTGGTTGCGCCCCTGGAGAGGAGAGCGGTAAAGCAGCGGCATGGCGCGCCGAGGTTTGTCTCTGTCGGCGCGTTCAAAGCCAAGCCAGAAGCGAACCGGCAAAGCGCCCGCGGAGTCCGGGGTGGGCCGCCCCGCGCCGCGCACCTGCGTGGCGGGCGGGCCTACCCTGGCAGTGACAGGCGCCTGGCCGTGGCCTAGCCGTGGCCTGGCTGCGGCGCTGCTGTAGCACAGACCCAGGGCGGAGGCTGGGGCATTCAAGCGAGGGGGAAATCACTCTTAAAAACTGTGACCCGACTACTCCCTATTACGTTCTATTACGCTATTACAGGAGGCTTATTACGCTCCAAAATATCCAGATTTAGGCTAAAATCGGACCCTTAAGAGGGAAAATTTTAAAAATTTGGCTATTACGCTATTACTATTACGCGTAATACTAGGAATCGGTGACCCGACTATTACGCGAGTGATTTCCCCCTCGCATTCAAGCGACATGCTCCAGCGGCCAGGGCGCACAAGGCACTCTGTTGAGCTGAGAAAAATCATCCTTCGAAATGAGCCGCTCGATTTCTGCTCGACTTTACTGACTGGGTGGCGCCATGCCAGCGGTTCGCCGGATTACGCCGCTCTGCGCACGCGAACGGCCAACGCGTTTCTCTTCGGACCTAGCAGTGCTAGCAGTGCTAGCACGCAGAATAACCCAGAACAGCTCGCGAGGCTGGGCCCATCGACCCAAATCGCTCCTCCGCCAATGGGCACTGCGCAAGCCTCTCTGTCTGCTTCAGGCCCAAATGCGCGAATGGTCCATGGCTCCCGCCCCATCTGTTGCCATAGCTAATTACGAATCAAGTTGTTGTTGTTGTTTGTTGCGTTTTGAGACAGACCTTCTAGCTTTTGTCGACCTATTTTTGTTCCCGCAATGTGTCTTTTATCGGCTGCGTGTTCTGTCTCAGGAGGCGGTGCTCGAGGCGGTGTCCAAGGCGGTGCTCGACGCGGTGCTCGACGCGGCGCTGCCAGAGAGCCACCACGGCCAGACGCGAGAGGGCCAGCAGGCCTTCCAAGAGGGCGGTGCGGAGGGAGCGCGCCTGCGACTGTCTGGGCGGCGCGGGTCGCCGAGCGCGCTGGGCGCTGCAGGACTGGGCGCGGGGCGTGCGCGGCTGGCTGCGTCGACTGCGCGGAAGCCGCTGGAGGTCGTCGCCGAGGACCTCGCCGAGGACCTGAGCGCGCCGGGAGGAGACAGGTACGCCGCCGGCCGGAGCGTCGCGCCAGAATGAGAGGCGCGAGGGTTTTCGTTTCATGATGGACGGGAAATCCATGCCGCGGTTGTACATTTTACAGCGCGCGCGCACACACACACACACACACACACACACACACTAGAACACTTTCCCTCCCCCCCGTGAACTGTTCAACACGACCCCAGCACTGCTGTTGTCGCGTTGTGCACTCGGCGCCCATAATAGCCTCCGCTAGTGTTGTCGCTGCGCCCTGCCTTCGCCCTGCCTTCGCCCTGCTTGCGCCCCGCGCCGCATGCCCGGCCGTTTACGCGTTTACTCGGCACTCGCCGCCACGCTGGTCACGAGGCTGGCCATTGCCGCTGGGCCGCGGAGCGTGTCCGTGACGCCGTGACGCCCGGCGCCCAAGGCGAACAAAAACACTTGAAAGAGCGTGTATTCCGTCGCACTTTCACTCTTCAGATTCAAATCGCCCTGCTGTTTGCGGCGACTCAAACCTTCATTATTGCAGAGCGGCCCCCCTTACCACGATACACATTTAGTTTTTTCAGAAATCCTAAAATACTCAAGTCAGGCAAAATGAATCAGCAGCAGCGGCGGCGTGCACAGGCAATAACTCGAGTGTACCGGCGTCTACGCGGCGGGGCCCTGGGCCCGGCGAATCCAAACCACCCGCAGGCCCCCGCTTCCGCGCAAATTCCTCCGAGCCACGACGCCCTGCCGGGGGGCGGCGCCACGCCCCGCCCTACCCTCCGTTGCTGGAGCGGGCCCCCGGCCCACCGAAAAGGGCGCCCGTCGCGCCCCGTCCCCGGGCCCCCCGCCCACCACGGCCGGCACGGAGCAGGCCAAACGGCGGGAGGCCGCACGGCGAGCGGCCGAAAGGTGTCCCGGCGTGCTACGCGGCGCGCGCGCCAGTGGGCCCGGCGCGTGGCCAAGCCCGACCACCCGCACGGCCGCCGCTTCACGCGCAGAGTGTCCTCCTGGGTCGGCGAGGCGACGCGCCCCGCCAGGAGGAGGGCGGCGCTGCTGACGCGGCCCGCGCGCTACCGCATCCGGGACTGGACGCGCCCGCTGCGCCACTGGACCAGGAACAGGGTGCGCTCCGTGCGCGCCCTCGTCAACAAGACCCCCAAGGAGGAGGGGCAGGCCCCCAACGCCGTCACCGCACCGCCGGCAGCGCCTGAGCAGGCCAAGCAGGCCGAGGAGGCCAAGCACGTCGAGCAGGCCAAGAAAGTAGAGCAGGCCAAGACAGTCGAGCAGGCCAAGAACGTCGAGCAGGTCAAGGACGCCAAGCAGGCCGAGCAGGCCAAGAACGTTGAACAGACCAAGCAAGTCGAACAGGCCAAGCCAGTCGAGCAAGCCAAAGTAGTAGAGCAGGCCAAGCAAGTCGAGCAGGCAAAGCACGTCGAGAACGCGGAGCACGTCGTGGTGGCGGCGACCACGGCGACCACGCAGGCGGCTGCTTGACGCGCCGACGGAGTGGACGGAGTGATGTCACCGGTAATGAACTGCTGCTTGACCCGGGCGAGGCAGGCGAGGCTGTCGCCTGGGCTGTCGAGGCTGGCCCGGCGCTGCCGCCGCTGCGCATCGTGGCAAAAGTGATAGCGATTGCCGCCGCCCCGCCCCGCCCCGCCGCGCCCCGCCTCAGCGACAGGGCCCGCACCGCGATGAGCGGCAAGTGGAGCCGCAGTCTCCGCCGCCCCCGCCGCCCCCGCCGAGCCCCGGCCGCCGCCCCGCCTGCTTGCTGACGGTCTCCACCGCCACGGCGACACACGCAGCGCGCGGCGACACCACGACGACATGAGGGAGAAGGATGGCGACGCGGCCGGCGCGGCCGGCGCGGCCAGGGCGCCGCCGAGCCTCGCCTCCTTCAAGGTGTTCCTCTTCTTCTTCTTCGCGGGTGAGTATGAGCCCGGCCCTGCCCGGCCGCGTGGGGCGATGCCTCGATAACATTCCTCGCCAGGGCTGAAACGCGTCTCGGAATGCACCTCACCTCCACTTCTACTCGATTCCTTTCATCTTGGAGCGGCGAGAGTTACAGTACAAGAACGGTGCGCGGCCGGCATTCGCCGACGTCGCGACGGGGACAGGGACGCCTCGCTTCGCGCTGCTTCGCGCTCCGCCCCGACGGCATGGCGGCATGGCGCGAGCACGGAGGGCGGAGCGGAACATGGTGTCAATCGAGGTGGAAGAGGGAAGAGCAGTCGTCGATGCTCTCTCTCCTTTCCCGAACGCGTAGAGATGCCCGCGTTCGTCCTGAGAAAGCTGAGCCTGACGCCTGACTGTTCCTCTTTGCCCGGCCCCCCTGCCTGCCGGCATGCTGCCGGCCCTGCCCTGGTTCCCGCTGGTGCCGCGCCGCCTGTACAGTTTGGCGGGTCAAACGGAACTCGCGTGCTTCTCTCACTCTCCCCCTCTTCCCCTGCAGACTGATTCCGAGCGTCGTTATCGTCACTCTGTCTCTCTCGCACCCACGCGGGGCGCCCAACGAGTGCGAGAGAGACAGAAAGACGAATCAGTCTACTGCCCCTACAGTGCCAATCTCGGAAACAATGCGTGCCCCAAGCGTACCTGGGAACACACTCAATTCCCTTCGGATTCAGACCGGCGAGTGGCCGCCCACACTGTTAGAGTCTCGTGCGTACGGCACACTACTAAATCCCCCTTTGCGGCTTGAGCCGCGGGCGCTGCCCGAGAATAGCAGCGACGCGACACCGTGAATTCCAGATTCCTGGGACTTCGGCATTCCCTGCACTCGCAGTGCGCAGCGTACGCAGCGCGTCTCTGATTGGCGGCAATTAATTGTGTTCTCGGAACGGCGGCGGCAGCGAACGCCGCGCCCCGCCACACCGCCGAACGCGCCGCGATGTGGGCGGCGGGCGCGGGCCTTCCGCGGTCCCCTTTAAGGGGGACAATCTCTGCAGTTTGCGCGGTTTGACAACCAGGGTGGCGGCTGGCTTGGTGTCCGCAGGTATCGGCGCGCTGGTCCCCTTCCTGCCGCTGCACATGCGCGCCGCCGGGCTGACCGCTCGCGAGGCCCGCGTCGTGTCCGCAGCCGCGCCGCTCACCGGCCTGCTGGGCCCCTTGGTGGCGGCCGCGCTGCTGCACCGACGCCGCCGCGCGCGCGCCGACGACGAGGAGAGCAAGAAGAAGAAGAGGAAAGACGCGGCGGAGGACGCGGCGCCGCTCACGGCCCCGGACAAGCCGCCGCGCGATGAGGAGGCAGAGGCCGCCGACGAGGCCAGGAAGGTGCGCTTCCTCCTCGCCTTCACCGTCCTGGGCGCCGCCGTGTGCTACAGCGCGCTGCTGCTGCTGCCGTCAGTCACCTGGTTTCCGGTGGGTGCTTTGGTTTCCTTCCCGTTTTCCCGAGTGTGTTCGCAACCTTTTGACCGCTCGCCGTTTGGCGGTTTGCCACTGCTGCAGGCGAGGAGGCCGTCGGTGAGCTTCAGCTGCAACGGCAGTGGCGCGGCCGTGCTGCAGGAGCGCTGCATGGAGCCCGCCTGCTACCGCTGGCCACAACAACAGGTGCGTCCGTTTGGCCTTGAACGAGGGGCCTGGCCGGGCCTGGCCTTGGGCTTGGCCTTCCCCTCCCCGTCCGAAGACCATTCACTCGTCAACTTGTCTACTCTCTTTCTCTCCACTGCGTTGCACTGTACACTGCGTTCAATGTCTGACGGCTTTCCCCGACAGGTGGGCCCGCTGTACCTGACCCACTGCGAGTACGAGTGCCCCGACTCTCTGACGGCGGGCAGCGGACGCCAGCGAACCAGGACCCGCGGGTCCGCCGCCGCGTCCGTGGCCGCCGACGCCGACGACCGCCTGCCGCGGCTGCGCACCATGCCCGTCGAGCCCCCGCACATCTGCGGCCCGGACGGCCCGGGCGGCGCCTCGCCCTCGTCGCGGACGTGCCACGTGTTCACCGTCAACGACTCGGGCATCACCATCAAGGCCTCCCTGCAGCACGCCACCAACCCCGACGCGGACCAGAGCCAGTGGTGCCACTACCCCATCGGTAGGCAGTGAAGTGGCGGAGGGCTTGTCTTGCACGACCTTGCGGGAGTGCGGGGGAGGGGAAGAAGGGGAAGGGGGAGTGCGTGGTTATGCAGTGCACCGACAAGGCGTCATCTAGGCTGCCACCGCAAGGGACCTATTTATGCCCGCTCCGGACGAGGACGGCGCGGTGACACGCCACCCGATGCTCAGCATGCTCTGGGCTCGGCCGGGGCCAGGGCAGGCCAGGGCAGGCTCCGCTGTCCTCGCCCTCGCCGACGTGGTGGTCTGATCCGTCTGGTCGGCCAGGCCGGGCCACGCCACTGTCGCGTGACTAGAGTGACTACGGTGACGGCGGTGCGCCACGCCGGGTCACGCCGCCCGCAGGAATGCTAGGCGATTCCAGGGCCCGACATGTCGTTGCACATCAAGACCATCACGCTCATGCACGCACGCGCGCTGCGCTGCGCACATTGGGGACGACGGAGCACGCCACGGCGCAGGCCTTGGCGACGCCGTGCGCACGACAAGCAAAGGCACTCTTTCCCAGGAGGGCCGTTTCTTGGGACATGTTCTTGACGTGCTTTACGGCAGCCAGGACCGCCAGGACGGCCTGCAGTTTGATTCCGAACAGCGCTTCGTCGGTCCGTCCAGGTCCGTCTCACCCTTTTAATCTGCTCGCAGCCGAGTCGTTCTCCTGCGCACTGCCCTCCCCGCTGACGCCGGCCTGCCGCGTGCTGTGCGACATCGAGCACCCCTACACGGCGGAGGGGTCGGTGCTGGCACAGAGCCAGTGCCAGGTGCTGGTGGGCGACCCGGTGTTCACCTTCTGGAGCTACCTGGGCGTGCGCTGCCTGGCCGACGCCTTCCCGACCGCCGCGCTGGCCATGGTGGACACGGCTCTGGTGGTGGCGACGCGGGAGCGCGCCGGGCTGCCGCGCCGCGAGAAGGCCGACCTGGGCCGGCAGATGGCCGTCGGGCTGCTCGGCACCGCCATCGCCGCGCCGCTCGCCGGCTACCTCAGCCCCTACCCCACGGCCGACCCCAACGTGCCCGCCGGCTGGCCGCCCTACGGCGTGCCCATCCTCGCCTTCACCGCCTGCATGATCCTCGGCGCCGCCGTCCTCATGTGCTCGCCGTGAGTATGCCGTCACAGTGCACCGCCACGAACGACGAATCACTGCCGAGTCCCTGGCCAGGCCTTAAGTGACTGCTCCTCGGCAGGTCCATGCCGCTGGGCGCGCCGGCGAGCTGGTGGGAGGCGGTGCGGCCCGCGGGCAAGTCGCCGCGCAAGTCGAGCTGCGAGGCGGCCGCGCTCTTCCTGGTGCTGGCCATGCTGGGCGCCTTCTGCTCCGCCATCGACTCGTACCTGCCCTGGCACGTGAGCGGCCTGCAGCGCGAGGGTCTTGGCCTCGAGCAGGACGACGTGCAGGGCCCGGCGGCCTGGGGCGCCACCCCGGAGCTGCTGGTGGGCCTCAACGTGCTGGCCGGCGTGCTGCCCGCCGTGCCGCTGCTGTGGCGCTCCGAGAGCCTCATCCGCTACTGCGGCTCGTCCAACCTGCTCATCACCGCCTTCACCTTCTACATCATCCGCTACGCCGGTCAGTTGACGAGGCGTGCGCGCTGCGGGGTCGTTTCGTCGGCCTGTCTCTGTCGCACACTTGGGGCGTTGGGTGCGAGAGAGACGGAGCGACGGAACGACTTGGAGGTCCAGTTTTAACCGCGGTGAACTGTTGGCAGGCCTGTCCCTGATGTGGAGCCCCTGGTGGATCCCGCTGCTGGAAGCCACCGAGGTGTTCACGCTCAGCATCATGTGGACCACGGCCGTGCTGGCGTTCGGCGCGCTGGTGCCGCGCCGCCTGCTGGCCGTGGCGCAGGCCGTGTGCGTGGCGGCGCACTTCGGCGTGGGCCGGTCGCTGGGCGCGCTGCTGGGCGGACTGCTGTCGCGCGACGCGCTGCCGCCCGACGACGAGCAGGACACGGCGCCGCCGGACGACCCCCAGCTGCAGCAGCTGCGGCCCCTGTACGCCGCGGGGGCCGGCGCCGCGGCCGTCGTCGCCGTGCTCTACTTCGTGCTGTACCACTGCTGCCTCCAGGGCGGCGACCCCGGCAAGGCCAGGAAGAAACGCAAGGCGCTGCTCGCCGACCGCTCCGTGCTGGCCGGTACGCTCACGCTGCTGTGCCGCATGGCGGGGGACTTGTGCCTCATCTGCCTCAAGTAGCGCACGCTGGCGCACGACACCCATCACACCTACCCGCCGCGCTGTGCGCCGGTCCCTCTCCCCGCCACTCGAAACTCAAAGCATGCCCTTCCGGGAGTAGGTCGTGGTTGAGCTCCAGCGAATGCCGCTCAACACTACAGTGCACACAACCGGTGTCGAGAGGGCCGAGTGGGTTGCCTACACTCTCATTCAGGGGTGTTCTAAAACTTGACGCAAGCGACTAAAGGCGTCAAGTTTTAGAACACCCCTGAATGAGAGTGTACCTCCACTTCTCTGTCAGTCCGAGAACGAAGCGAGGACGCTGGCAGGCGCAGGGCGGAGGTAGGCAACTTGCTCGACCACACCGGCGCGCGCATTTGGTGTTCAGCGGCACTGCTGCACCGCTGTGCCACCCCGCGCCAAGCAGCGCCAAGCAGCAGACCTCCCACCCTTCCCACTGACGCCACAGCACTGTACGCTGTCTCTGTTGACAGGACACAATGTGAATGGATCGTACACACCCCTCCGGGTGTACCACAACGGACACGGTCGCGGCCAGGGCGCGGCCTCCACGGCGTCCGCGGACGACGCCGGGCTGTGAGCTGTGACGGTGTGCGGGGCCACGCGGGGCCAGGCGGAGCCGTGCGGAGCGGCGTGGCATGTCGAGTGCAAAGCCGTGTGGGTTCGCCCGGGTTGCCGCTGCCGGCGTGCTGCCGGCGTTGCGCCCATGCTGCCACTCCACTGGCTGACCTAGAAAGCTGCCGCGAGTATAGTGCACACGAGTGCACACGCCCCGGGCCAGGCCGGGCCAGGCCTTGGACGAGTCAGGGACAGACGCGAGAAGTTTTGGCAGCTTGTTATTAGCTTTTTGTTCGCCGCGATGTTTGCCATTTGCCATGAGGTGCAAAAGGACGCCGTGGGACTGTTTACGCAAGCTTCGAAACATGTGGTGCGCCGGTTTGGCGCAAATTGTTTGAAAAGTTTTTCCTTCAAAACGCAATGACGGATTGCGCGCTCTCCGCATGCGCTCTTGCTTTTCCCTCGCTGTCCCGGACTTTATCTCTACTTACTTTGCTCCTTGCTTAAGTTAGGAAGTCAATAGTGAAAAACCTGAAGCCAAAGCGGAACTATTAAAGAGGTTTTTAAGAGAGACGCATTGTTAATAAGTTGTCCAAGTTTTTTTTTATTAGGATGATGATTTTAATAGCAGGGTAGGGAATAACAAATACCTTAACTATGTACATTTTGTCGATTTCTGTGCTCAGTGAGAGGCATGATCTACGTTGCTAGAACATGAGAATAAATCTGCCTGCATGTATAAACTACAAAACAAGAAATATCAACTAATGAGACTGTACAAATATAAATATTGCTTAACATTTGAAGGTGTGTACAAAATTTCACTTGTACTCTAGTTTTATTGCTAGTCAAGCCGCTTGCCATCGTACAACGTGACCTAGGACAGTGAGCCACACAAAGTTGTGTTCATAAATACGTTCGTCATAAACGATTTAGAGCTGTGTATCGACGTGATGGGGTCGACAGTAGTGAACCATGTGACTGCCTTTAATAATAAAATGTGACATAGTATCTCCGTCGTTCTTTTTTTTCTATACCCCGAATCTAAGTTGGCCTAGAGCTAGTGCTGCAGGTCCCGAGGAGCGTCCGCGGCCTCGACGAGCTGACCGTGGCCGTGAAGGCCGTCGTCGTGGTCGAGGAAACCGTGGACGCGGAACCTGTAGACGCACGTGAAGTCCGGGTGGCCGTGGTTGCTGTCGATGCGAAGGGCCACGTACCGGAAACTGCCGACGGGTCTCTAGAAACAAAGATTAAAAATTTAACATGTCGAAACAAAAACAAAACCGAGAGGGACAAGCGAGTTGCGCTTACAGGTATCCTGAAGATCTGCAGGGGCAGGTCGTCGATCTTGTAGACGAATCGTCCCAGTTCGACGGCCCGCTCGTCCAACTCGGGGCCCGGCAGGGCCTGCAGCGTGCAGCGCCGATTTCACTTTTAGAAAGGTCAAGACCGGCCGACCGGCACAATAGAACCGGCCCGCGGCGATACCCCCTGCGCGCAAGGACGCTACGCCGAGCGACGCGGAGTATCGCCAGGTAACGCTGGGAGTCGCCTGAAGCCTTAAGCCCGAAGGGCCGTGGCTCTTGAACGTGATGGAATGCCAATGTCGGCGTTACGAGGCAGGAGCCGCCATGCTCAGAGGGGAAAAGGCTTAGCTGCAGCATGCTGCACACAGTAGGCGAACCACGCAGCAGGTTTGCCACCGGGTTGTCCACCTACCAAGATGACGACGTCCTTGGGGGCGGACAGAGTGACCCCGGTGGGGGCCTGGCTGGCGGGGATGTGCTCGATGCTGACGGCGGACAGGTGCACGTAGCCCAGCAGGGAGACGACGGCCACCCCTCGCGCGCCGCGGAACGCCCAGCACGCCCCCGGGCTCATGTCGGGCTGGAGAGATGGAGCGGCGTTTCTCGCGGGAAAAATCATCACAGCAGGCATCCCATCACATCAGCCGACATCGCATCGGCATCGGAGATCACATCACACGGCCACACGGCCCTCGCGGCGTGGCTGGCGTGGCGCTGCGCGGGCGCCAATGGGGACAACCACATCAAACACGGCGAGGCGCGCGCCCCGCCCCGCAACCGTGGCGTGTCCCACTCACACACGCTTCGCGCTTTGCATTCGCACTGATAGGATGGATACACGTCGATGGGGCCCGGCCGGCCCGGCACACTTCGCCATGGTCGCGGGCGAGTTTCTTCGGGATTCGTCTCGCCCGGGCCTCGCTAGCAAGTCGCCAGCAGCGCCAGCTGCCTGGTACATCCCAAACATGATGTCTTTGTCATGTTTGTGTGAGGCAAACAGCCAGCCAGGCATTCTCCCTGTTCCCCGCCCCGCCCCATCCTGTCCGGGCTGGAGGCGGAGGGCAGCCATATTAGCGGCAAGTCTACTGCGTAGCGCCCCGCCCCGCCCCGCCCCGCCCCGCCCCGCCACGCGCCGCGCAAACCGAAACGCCGTTAGAACAACGCGAACAACTTTCCTCCGCCCGGCTTCGCCCCGAGCCCGAATCCCGAACGTTGAGGCGGGGCACTGCGAATTGAATCCCGGCGAGGCGGTTCCGGCCTGGGCCTTGGCTCGGCCTGGCCAGGGCCGGGCCCTGAGCTCGGGAACAGGACTGCTCATTAGCATTCAAACACGGTGGGAAATGGCGGGGCGGGGCGGGGTGGGGTGGACTTTACTTAGTTGTGCAAGTGCAAGCGGCGAGGGATGGATCCCGTCGGACTCTGGAGGCTGGTCCGGTCCCCGCGTCCCCCGCGCGCCCCGCCCCGCCCCGTCACGGCCGGCTGGACTTGCCCGGCCCTGGCGCCGCCGGGCGCTGCGGGGAAGTTCCTTCCTCCGCCTGAAGTGGTAGGCGCAGGAGGCTCACCTGCAGCATGGCGTTGGGGTCGGCGCGCGTGTAGTGGTACAGCCGGATGCCCAGGAAGTGCAGTGAGACGTCCTCGGCCTGGTAGGGCGGCGTGCCCGCCGTGCTCGCCACGCGCCCCCCTGCAACACGCGCTTCCACGTGGCGGTCTCTCCGTCTCTGTCGCACTCGCGGCCTCGCGGCCTCGCGGGCCGTCCTGTACGGGGGTGCGAGAGAGACAGAGTGACGAGCTGCAGGCCGCGCCGCCGCGCCGTCCATCAGTCTTGCCAATCCGATACATCAATCTAGATGATGACGGACAGCCTTTCAGTGACGTGGCGGGGGGGCGGGGCGGGGGCGACAACCCCGAACCATCCACCCGGGCCGGGCCGATAATGCGCGGGAAAGGGAAAGGCACTCCGACGCGGACTAGACGCTGGAATGACACGTCACGTTCCCCGCCAATTTCAACCCAGACAGCGAGGGTTTTGATTTGGCCATCTCGAAATGCGGAATGGACTCGAAGCTGCCTACCACCAGGCGTCTCGATTCGACCCTCCGCCCCACCCTGCCGCCACCACGCGGCACGCCACTGGCACGTCGACTCACCCGCGGACTGCAGGGCGAAGTCCACCAGGCCGGTCTTGTCGTTGTCGCGGAGCCACATCTCCCGGCGCAGCAGCGACGCCAGCTCGGCGCGCAGCCTCGCTGGCGGGGACATCCGACATCATCAACCTGGCCTGGCCTAACCTAACCTGACCCAACCCGGCGGCCGGCACAGCGTAGCACAGCGTCGCCGGAGAGGTAAACACAATCAGGCCGAGCAGGGCCGGGCCGGGGGGCGCCGGGCCGGGGGCCTGTCCGCCACAACGACCCCAGCGTCTGCCTTCTCGGCCTGCCCTAGCCTGTCTGCAGACTGAGTCAGAGTCGTTTTCGTCGCTCAGTCTCTCTCGCAACCATACGGGACGCCATGAGAGCGCGAGAGATGGAGTGACGGAAACGAATTCTCTGAACCAGTCTGCTGGAGCGGCAATCGCGCCAGTGGCCCCACCGCAGCCCGACTCGGCGAGGAGAGCATGCACCGCACTCTGTCTCTCTCGCGCCGCCGCACAGTGGGCCAGAAGCCGGTGGAGGCGGCCAAAACTCTAGACGCGTTTGAGCTCCAGAGTCGCTAAATGGGACTCGAACCGGACGTGTGACCCCACCAATGGATTCCTCGTTCGGAGAGCAATCCATTGGTGGGGTCACACGTTCGGTTCGAGTCCTGCATAGCGACTCTGGAGCTCAAAACGCGTCGAGTTTTGGCCGCCTCCACCGGTTTCTGGCCCACTGTGCGCCGCGGGACGTCGCTTGAGTGCGAGAGAGACAGCGTGCTCGTTCTTACCTTCGGCGCGGTTAACGTGATCGTAAAGCTTGTCGTGCTGCGCCTCCTGCCGCCGCTGCACCGCCAACAGTTTGCTCTGGACAAAGAGACGAAGAGGGATTGGTGTCGCCGCTTGGTCGCCGCGTCCCAGAGCCGCCGCCCCCGAAGGCTGCTGCGATGCAGTGGGAGAGCGAGAGAGAGAGAGGACGCTTTTCTCGCGGCCCAGTAACGACAACATTGTCGGTGAAGCCGATCGCTTTGACGGCGGTCCAAACGAGGGCACGCACTGCAGGCCGATTCGCTCTGTCTCTCTCGCACTCACGCGGTGTGCCACATAAGAGCGAGAGAGCAGAGAGAGAGAGAGAGAGAGAGAGAGAGAGAGAGAGAGAGAGAGAGAGAGAGAGAGAGAGAGAGAGTTTTTTTAGTTTATAACAGGATTTATTGGGGGGTTTTTTAGTTCACAATACGGGCCAAAACGGGGAAGTGTAAAAATTTGTCACAAAAAAAATCATGCTGTTTTGTTGTCTCTTAGAGAGAGAGAGAGAAGTAGAGGGAGCTCTGCACGCGCGGAATGGCTCGGCGAGCGCCTGCAGAGCGGCGGGTAGGCCACCCGGCCCTCTGCACACACCACTGTCCACTGGGCTGCCTATGCTGCCGCCGGCAGGCGTTTCCGCCGTCCATCGGTGGAGTGCGTGCTACACTACAATGGTACAAAAGGGTAGAGTGAGGAGGGCGCCACTGACCATCGAGCTGTCCACTTCGGCGGAGAGATGGTGAAGCTGTCGGCTGAGCACTCTGACGTTGACGTACATTCCGGCCATGGCTGCGAACAAGGCGGGGGAATAGCCATCAGAGGGCCGTGCATAAACCACGCGAAGCCAGGCGTCGACCTCTTGCACGGAGAAGGAGAACAACACGGTAACAACGCGTCTGAGAAAACCAGGACAGAAAGGCTCCAACATTGTACGGAGGGCCCGTTTCAACGACGGTCCTATGGCAAAACTTCCAGGACCCTCCTGGAATATGGAGCGTTTTTTTTTTAGCCGACCACCCGTTTCCAGGACTGTTTTAAAAGAAACGGACGCTTTCGACCGCTTTCGATCAGACGCAGTGGCTGCTTAAAGTCGGCCCAAAACACGATTTTTCAAAAGACATTTGTAACTTTTGATCAACTTTGCGGCAATACTGCTGCCAAACTAAGGCAGATAATCGCACTCCGTAACATAGGCATGGTTAAGGAAGATCCAAAGACTAATTGCCCGTTGAGGGAGGACGAAATACCGCCTCGGATCAGACGCAGTGGCTGCTTAAAGTCGGCCCAAAACGCGATTTTTCAAAGACGTTTGTGACCGTTTTGATGAACTTTGGGACAATGCTGCTTCCAAACTAAGGCGGACCTAACCTAACCGGTGCTTTTATGCAGCACTGCGTCTTTTTTTCTTCCTCTTTTCCCTCACTCACCGAGAGACAAGAGCAGCGTGGAGACCAGCGCCAGGGCGAGGACGACGCGGCGCGCGGCCATGCTCGTCACCCGGAACGCGGCGACCGGGTCGCCGGCCACGTCGCGACCCGGACCGGCGGCGCAACCAGCCAGGCCAGCGGGGCCAGCGCCTGTCAGCAGTGTCAGTCCATTAAACCGCGCCGCGGGCAGGGCAGGGCAGGGCAGGGCAGGGCAGGGCAGGCAGGGCAGGCAGGGCAGGGCAGGCAGGCAGGGCAGGGCAGGGCAGGCAGGGCAGGCAGGGCAGGGCAGGCAGGGCAGGGCAGGGCAGGGCAGGGCAGGCAGGGCAGGGCAGGGCAGGCAGGGCAGGGCAGGGCAGGGCAGGGCAGGACAGGCACGGAGTGCAGCGGGGCACACAGTGGCCCGGAAAGAGAGGCGGCTGCCAACGGCCGTCAAAATGGCCAACGATGGAAAATTCAGGCGCACTGACGGGTCGCGTGATGCGATTCACACGTTCCCCGGTCGCGGCGAACGGTTGCCCTGCGTCACCCCCTATCGGCCATCCCCAACACGGAGTCCATCGCAAAGTCAAAGGGACAAAAAAGGGAAAGAAGAAAGAGGATGAAAGAAAGAGAAAAGATTCCCGCGCGCGAAAACAAGCTCGCTAGGTGATGAATGGCGTTCCCGTTCGTCCGTCGTGAGCACCTCTCTGCTTGGCCGTGCCGCGGTCCTGGTCCGAGACGCGGCGCGGCAGGGCGGCGCTGGCGGGGCGCAGGGCCGAGCAGGAGAAGTCGCTGCAGGAGCGCAGGTCGTAGAAGCGGCCGAAGCGCACTGAAACGGGATAAGAATGAAACGTAAGAATTTGGGGCTAGTTTTTTCCCCGCCGAGTTTGGAACTTTGTCCGCGGCCCGTGGCGGCGAAGGCGTGGGCGGGGCCGCGCGCCGCTCGCGACCAGTCCGTTCTAATCAGAGGCAACTTTGCCTCCCCTCCCCGCCTGTACCGCGCCGTGCCGCCACTGGAGCCTCCGGCCAGGCCATGCTGGGCGCGCTGGGCGTCAACGCGGCAATGGAGAAGTTGGCCGCCGAGTTTACGAACCTCACGTATTTACCGAAGGAAACTTGTGTCCAGCCCTCAACTTTTATCCGGAGACGCCGCCGCGCGCGTCGGGGCCGTCGGGGCCGTCGGGTCGGGGCCGAGGCCGGTCGGCAGTCGGCGCGGGGCAATGCCGGCCGAGGCCGAGCCGCGTGGCCAAACAGGTAAATAATTTGGGGGCCGCCCGCACCGCCCTGTCTCTCGCACCCCGTAGGAACGAGAGCGAGAGCGAGGAAGGCAGAGAGCAAAACGCGCTGTTCGGAATCGGCCGCTGTCAAGGACGTCAAGAACGTGAAGGACGTCAAGGGCGGACCGCTGCTTCCACCTCCTAAGCACAGAAAGCCGGCAACGTGGCGGTGGCGCGCAAACGTTCAGCCACTCCCCTAACCTCACTTCCCGGGCCGCGGCGTGCCTGCGTGTCGCACAGCGACGTAGCCAGGCGAGCCCGGCCCGCGAGAAAGATCACCTCACGACTTTAGACACCTGTATTTATTGAACCAGTGGAGTTGTCCTTACCAAAGATTAACCAAAATGTGCCAAAAGTTTGTCAGAGCAAAGTGGAAAAAAGGTACAAACGTGTTCTCCGGCGCGTTGCCGATGAAAACGACATGCTATCGGTCAACCCTAACCTCGGCGGGTACGCGTCGACTTGTTGGTGATCGTAGGGGCAGGGTGTTTTGCGGAGGCGAGTACTGACCGGTGACGTCGTTGCTGCCGGCGTCCCCGTTCATGGCGTGGCACTGCGTTGCACTGGTTGCAGTGCCGCTGAGCACCGCTGCGCCCAGCCCGCACAGCCGAGCGGGGCGTCGCGCCTACATTGTTGCAGGCGGAGCGGGTGAGGGAGGGGTGGATGAGGGGAGAGGGAGGCTAGGCGCCTCGACGCAATAATAATTATGAATGAAAGTTGGCTGAGGTCTTCGCAGGCCTGCGGCAGGCCGAGGGTGCGGGTTGCGGCCCTCCTGCTGCTCGGGGAGCGAGCGGGATTGAATATTATATCGGGGTGTCCCGTCCGCGCTTGGAGTAATACAGTGGGGAGTCCTAACTGGTGCGGCGGTGGGCCGAGCTGTCTGGCGAATTCTAGAGAGAGAAAACCACCCGGACGGTAATGCACTCCATGAAACCGACCGAATTCATCAATGTTGATTACATCCCGTCCATCTTCTTCGCCTTCTAAATCCATTTTTCAAAACCAGAACCTTCTAAGTTGCCCCAGTCAGGAGCTAAATGGTGGCAAAGTTCAGAAACTATCTCTTTCTCTCTCTACGATTCGCCGGACACCTAGTGCCACGCACAGAAACGCCCCGAACTCCGGAACGGTATGGGTTAGCTCCAATCTGTTTGCATCCCGTAAATCCTCACTCTTTTTGTGACAAGATGAACTATTGGAAAAGTCTCTAAGTTGAAAATCAAGCCTTCAGGGCGTTGGCAAACAGAAAGGTGCAGCTCTAGTTAGGACTCCCTAACAGTATTACTCCAAGGTCCGCGGCCGCGGGCTGGCCCGGGCTGGCCCAGGCTGGCCCGGCCCTGCTGCTGCCCGCTGCTGCCCACTGCTGCCTGCGGCGGCCGAGGCGCGGCGAGGCGCGTGCCCCATTTGCTTAATCATCCCCCCGACGCCGCCACGCCACGCCAGCGTCCGGGCCGCTGCTGCGCTGCTTACCCTTCGGGGCTATCCCATTAGCAGGGCTCCCGTCCCGCCTCCCGGACTCGCCGCTGACGCGGGCCTCGGCTTGGCTCGGCTTGCCGCTTGGCGGGGTCAGCTGGACACGGGTCTCGACTCTCGAGCCACGAAACAAAACAAGTTTTCATTTTGTTGTTGTGGCAACAGCTGCGCCCGAGGCCCCGCCGGGGTTGTCGATGACCCTACAGCAGCGCCCAGACCCTATTCGTGCAGGACACATGGGCCGCGTGACAACGGAGTGCCCCATCCGATGAAGGGTGCGCGCCAGACCCTCCCCTCCCCTCCCCGCCCCGCCTGGAGCGCGAGGGCGGTGGCGGGCCGGGCCCCTCGGCGGGCTGCCGCCGCTGCCGGGCGCAGTGCGCGCGGAGACGCCCCCCGCTACGGACGTGGCAGCACCAGCACCGAGCCCCTTGCCTCCGCGCCAGCCGCACGGCCGCACGCGTGCTCGACGAGTGCCCCTGGCAGTGCCCCAGGCAGTGCCCCAGGCAGTGCCCCAGGCAGCACGCCAGACCGCGCCGGGGCCGCGCCGGGCGGCGGGGCGGTCGTGCCGCGCGCCACGCCATGCTCGTCCTCGTGCTCATGTTCCTGTTCCTCGTCACCCTGCTGGGCTCGTACCTGGACTCCGTCTGCTGAAGGGAAGGCCCGCCGCTGCCCCGCCACCCCGCCTCGCCAGCAGCATGGTACGTCAGTGCGTCGCCTCGCCGCTCGCGACGACGCGCTCCCCGGGGGACTGACGAGGGGACTCTCGGAGACTCACGGACCGAGTGCATGTCGAGCTGTACTGTGCATGGTAAAAAGTTCCCCTCATCTAGCGAAAAATAATACAAAAATTAGCTGCGCCGTCAGAAACAGTGTGTTCATGCTGCCAGAAAATTGGCACCCGTGCGACTCCGGTTTTATTTATTTTTTGTGGAGGGGGTCGTTGTGGTGGGCTGCGAGGCGCGGCACGAGAAAAAAGGAAAATCGGGCGCCGCGTGTAACCGTCGGGTCACTGGGAGGCTGGGGCAATTTATTTGTTGAAAGCATGCGGCTTCGGCCGAGAAAAGTCTGCTGGCTCGCGGTGTAATTATGTTGTTTCTGATTGCGACTTGAATGTTCGACCCTCTTGCGTGGTTTTACAGTTGATCAACTAATTAGAAACTTGCAGGGAAATTTTGCTCTTGACGGGGTGTTGGATGATCCTGGAACTGGACCGGTGCGACGCGCCCGTCGTCGCTGCCTGCTTGTCAGTGCGGTGTGGTGCCGTGTGGTGCGGTCGCGGGGCGCGCCCCGTCCAGGCCACGTAGCCCCAACTCCGGGGCGCCCCGTGCCCCGCCTAGCAGGTTCTTCGCTCTGTCTCTCTCGCTCTAACGTGGCTTCCCGAATACGTGCGAGAGAGACAGAGTGACGAAGGCGCTGCTGGCCTCACCCTGTGAGCCTTGGCCTCTACGCCAAGTCAATAAATCCCTCGTCTGGAATGTAATATGCATGGACGGTAGCGCGGCGGTCTGTCGCGACAGTCGTAGCCCCCACCTCTTTCCCCCTTTTCTCTCTGAGTGGCGCGTCGGCGTAGCCGCTTTTATACGATTCGCGAATGGGACACGGTGTAGGAGCACCCCGGACAACAACGCGACACGACCTTGGTCCTCGGTCCTTGGTTTCGACCCCTGGCCGGGCGGGCGGTCGGGCTCAAGTGATTTTTATGCCTTTGTCTCGGCCACGCGCCCTGGCGCCGGCGCCGCGGCCCCTGCGAAAGGCCCCCACTCCGGGGGACGACCGGGACGACGGCGACGTGGCGGCCCCGGGGCCCCGCTCCGTTTCCGCGAACAACCTTCTTTTGTCTCTGCCTGCGGTGTCCGAAGCGAGCTGACGGCTGGCCCGGGCTGACCCACTGACATTTCAGCTGTCCGCCACTGTCCGCCCTCACCCCGTCCGCCGTCCGATCGCTCGGCCAGCAGCAAGGCCAGCAGGGCCACAGCGGGGGCAGCGAGGCCAGCTGCCGGAATCAGCAATAAATTTGGAAGAAAGGCAAAGAAAGCAGTGTGAATCGTCGGGAGAGGATTGTTGTCGCCACGCGGTATGCAGCCGAAACTGCGACGAAGCTTTCGAGCTAGTATCGGACAATGATACCAACCGGCACTTTATTTCGGGCGTTTCTTTTACCCTTACCCCTGACACTCACCGAGGGACAGGCGGACAGACAAACAGACAGACTGTCAGACCGGGGTTTTGTATTAACAGTTTTGCGAGACACTGTCTCTGAACGGCGCATGCATACAGTCGCATTGTGTACAGCAGCATAAGCGGGAAGTGGGAACACTGAGTGTGTCTGTGGAAGGGGGTGGCAAGGCGGATCCTTTGCTGAGCTAGTGTTATCGTGGCACGCACCGATGCTTCCAAAACAGCTCGTGTGCCTCGCCCGGCCGGCCTTCAGACTGATTCCGAGAGTCGTTTTCGTCGCACTGTCTCTCTCGCCTCTTTACGCGACGCCCCACGAGTGCGAGAGGGACAGAGCGACGAAAACGGCTCTCGGAATCAGTCTCCTAGCCGCTGTTGGGGACTCGTGGGACTCGTCGAGCCGAACAGAAACGGACCAAACGGACGGCATGGCGGGCGAGCGTGTATGGATATTATCCACACTGGGGGATGCCAGGAGCTGGCCGGCGGCTGGCGGCGCGGCTAGCTAAGCTGGCTGCCTGCCTGGCTGGCCGCCTAGCTGCCTGCCTGTCTGTGCGGCTGGCTGCCTGGCTGCCTGGCTGTGCGGCGCGGCTGCCTTCCTGCCTGGCTGGCCGCCTAGCTGCCTGCCTGTCTGTGCGGCTGGCTGCTCTGGCTGCCTGGCGGTGCGCCGCGCCGCGGTCTCACATGACGATGCGGTGGTGGTGCAAATGGGCCATCCGTCTCCCCCGCAGGCTGCAGGCCCTGCAGGCCATGCTGCACTGCGCCGTTCGGCCGCGCTGCGCTGTCCGCTCCACTGCAGCAACTTGTCTCTGTACCAGGCTGCAGGCTTGGCAAAGATCTGAAGAAACAAACTGGAAATTTCAAGAGGGTCCGTCTCCGCGCGGGTGCGAGAAAATGGCCGCGGGCGATAATGATTGTTGATTTTCCGGCCACTTGTTTTTCACGCAGAGCGACGCAGAGTAATGCGGGCCGCTCGGGCTGGCCGGGCCGCGCGCGGTTGCCAAGTTTGCGGCCGCGGTGGCTGCGGACCACCGAACGCGGACCGAACGCGGACCGAACGCGCGCCGCCATGTTCGCGTCTCTCCTCTCCGCATCCCCTTCCGAACTTTCCCCGGTCGAATACAAAGTCAGTCCGAAAGTTGCCCATGGCGACAGCAAATTTTTAGCGTCGCGTCACACGCCGGTCGAGCCCATTTCATTTTTCCATACCGGGAGGAAGACTCTCGTGGAATCCCATTCGCAGAACGGATGGATGAGGGCCTTGGATAAGGGGGGGGGGAGCGGGCAAGAGCGGGTCAAGAGTCCCCCGTTGTCCACGGACTAGCAAAATCATGAAGTGGCTCACTGTCTCTCTCTGTCCCCCACAGGAGCCAGCCCAGCCAGCCCAGCCGGCCCAGCCAGCCCCGTCGGCGTGAGGCCGCCGCCCCCAAGGCCGCCCCGCCATGGGGGACGCCGCGGACCGCAAGGCGTCGGGCTCGGCGTCGCAGCTGTCCATCGACAGGGCGGCGCTCATCCTGCTCCGCGTCAAGCGCGTCTTCCGCAAGAAGAAGCAGCAGCGCAAGGAGAAAAAGTGAGTGAGCGCCTTCTCCTTGCCCGTGCCGAACTAGCGTCCCGCCCGCACCGCCCGCCAGCATGCCAGCATGCCAGCGCGCCTTCCTCCGGCGAGCGGCGGGCTGCGCGGCGGCATGGAATAGCCCTGGAAGTCTGTGGCTGCGCTAGACTTACATGGCCATTCCTTGCTGTCTCGCGGCCCCAGGCGTCGTCGTCGACCCGTCACAGCGAGCGTCTCCACCACAGGAAGACGACGACATCGACGGATGCAACGCGCATCGTGGAAATCGACTCGTTTTGCAGTGGTGTTGCGGTTATCGGGATTGCCCGAATACAATTAGATCTTGCCTGTTTCTTCGTAAGCGCCGGATCGGCGCGAAAACAATTAACGCGCGTGAAATTGCGGTGCCGGCGACCCCCCTCCCCCGGGCCCTCCCCCCGGGCCCT